TACGAAGTACAATTGGAGAGGATTCTTGTCTCGAGAGGTGTTTTTTGACTTCCAACAGATTTGTATGTACCTCAGTATTTCTTGTACTTTTTACCATTCTTACCTTGGGTCACTTCGCTTCATTCCTTTCGCTCGCTTCTGTCCTTTCATTCGGTGCAGGTTCCAGCTTCAGCTTGCTTCTAGCAAGTGGAGTCCGAGAAAGGAGAAAAGATTCAAGGGATTCAAGCCATTTAAATCCCGGCACGCGTCGTGCATATGGAAATCCGAGGTCCCGTACTTTCCAACCAGTGTTTCGTCGCGATGAGGATAAATGAGTGGGGAGCGGTTCAGAAATCAGATTTTGGTGCCATCCTGGTATCATCCATGTCCCCCCATATCAGGGTTGGAGATTGATACAAGATCTTGACGCCAGAATCCCTGCTGTGAGAAAGTAACTCTTCTCCAGAGTTTGAGCTAGGGCTGTCAACGACTTTAAGCGTCTGTTCGTTTTTTCCATTTTAGCTTGACAAGTACAGTGGAAGGCGAAATGGGTGTCGCTAGTTTTTTACTAATCTTTTTGGTATGGCGGGGTAGGCCTAATTCCCAGATGCTGTGATGGGGTTACCTTGTACCGGGAGGTACTGATACTTTAATAAGGGTCTAAAAATATTATATAATTCACCTGCTAGCCTCTAAGGCCATATCTTTCAAAATTGATGTGCGTTTATTCTGGACGGGTCTTCGAGCAGACTTGAGACAACCAAGTCCTAGATGTGACGGCCTAGGCCGCCACAACTACTTATGGTAATGGAACCTGCAGCAGAATGACATGTGACTACAGGCGAATCTGACAAATCAAGAAGGGCGCAGGAGTGTGCAGCTCCCAGCTCTGTGGACCAAGGCGCTGAAAGCATCTCACGCCCAAGGAACTCACGATCTATTTAAATCACAGTTATTACAATATATCTAGCTATCTTTCCTTTCCTTCACTCTCTAGTAGTCAATCCAAGAACAATTCACAACAAAGCTTGCAGACTATTCAACATTCTAAAGCATATTCGTGACTTAGACACTCACTTATACAATAACTATCGCAAGTTCTGTTTGGTTGAACCTGACTTACCACCCAACAGACATCCGGAGAAGCGATATCTTTACACTAAAACCTAGCAAGCGAGTGCGTAGTACATCGCTCACTTCTTGTCTGCAACTAAAACTACCTACAAGATTGCATATAATAGCCCAAACCTCTAAAACTTAACAACGTGAATTTCTTCATCATCATCATCATAGAAATCATCATAAAGGTTATCTCCTGGACCAAAGCCCTCGGGAAATTCAATGGACCATGGTTCGACTATGTGTTCTCCATTCTCGATAATCGCAAGGTCGCAGTAGTGTACTTGGCACTCCTTTTTGAAAACAAGGAGACCTTCACAGGTTATGCCGCCCCCGTCAAGGCGTAGCCGATACCGAAATTGGTCGAGCTCCAGAAGATTTCTTCGCATAACCGCTTCAAGCTGAGGTACAGGGTTTTCATCCAAGTCAAAGAACCGGACGTAGAAGTACTTGCGTGGCTTGCTGGTTACTAGGAGACATTTGATTGGCATGATTTTAGTAACATAATCAAAGTACCCAGAAATGCAATCTTTACCTTCGTTTCTAGGAGAGGCCCCCACAGATTCCAGCAGAACATCATTGGAGCATGGATTGCTATTGAGTTCGCCTAACAAAAGACCCTGTTAGACAACACAGTCTGGTTCATCTGTTAGATCGAACATACCTAGGAGTGCATCCATAGTGTTCGTTCCTATCGGTCAAGGGATAATCAGGGTGATAGCAAGGAATAAGTTGAGTCTGCATACCTGGGGTAGGGTCGTTCCTTTTATCATGGCGTCTCTTGGGTTATCTCATGGCTTGGCCCTCACCCGGAACCAGCGGAGCCTTGGGACAGGTTGATATCAGAAATCGCGTTGTGCAAACCCTCCATCTGGCCCAGATAGCAAATAGGAGAGGTCTAAACACATATCTCTAAGCTACTACTGGATGCTTAAAGTTTGCTGGGCAGCCACAACACATCCTGCGGTTGTGTTTCCCAAGTCGTATACGTGGCAGGTTCCGGGTCGGTGCTGTAACCATACAAATGTGGTCTCAACAGTGGACTGCTTGAGTTCAAGGTACGCGGCGATGGCGATGAGGGTTGTGAATGAACTGTAAGTACCAAATTATGTTCTTGCTTCCGTCCAATCGCTCCCTCACATGACTTCGTGGGGTTCACACCAGGCAGGTGGCCACACCTGCCCGCACACACCACGACGCTTTTTTCCATCTCCTTGTTGAATTCCAAGGCCCTTTTCCTTGCTTCAGGTTTCGGGTCCGCGAGTATGGGTATTCGATTAGCGCGAAGCCCAGACAGCGTCCTGTGTGTATATTGTAAGTCATAGCTTTAGGTTCTGGAACCGCCGCTGTTAATCGCTTGATGGTGAAGGAACTTGGGTGCATGGCTTTTGTCTCTCTATCATAACAATTATTAGTAATAGTACTTTGGGAGTACGTCTAGGTAGGATCATAAAACTAAATTTCTTGAAATGGACCCCGCTAAAAGTAATTAACTATTGAACCCGCGACACCCATTTCGCCTTTACTGTACTCTCTCACGACAAAGCTCGGTTCTAAAGTTCCAATTCTAAACTAAATCAAGGAGAATGGGAGTCTCGTGTCACAGCACGGTTCGATTGGTCTGCATGCTCTTAAAGTTGGAGACGAAGACTTCTTCGACACTTCCCATTGACCGGGCTTCATGAGAAATAAGGTTCAGGGTTATGGTTATTCTTATTCTTAGAGTCATGTCATGGTCATTCCTCTCATCCCTTATTCTCTCTCTCCGTCATAGTACGAGGGAGGACAGAACTACAAGGGGAAGGGGGGAACAAGTGAGAGAAACCGATACTCCAAGCTCAGGCAGCCCCCTGATCCTGAACTGATGGTACAACCAACTGTAGCAAGAAACGGGGGTCTGACTGCTGTACGATATGAGCTCACATAGGATGATGCATGCTGTACGCCGTACGTGTGTCCTGCCTCACCTCTGGCAAATCAGACGGACACCTGCGATTTCGCATGAATTTGGAGCTGCCGAGAGCTGTCATCACTGGTCGGTGCAAGGTAATCGAGGGTCTCACTAGTCGCTAGGGGGGTCTCTTCGCAGCTTCACGCATAATTACTTCGTGCGAATCCAGCTGCGTTTCTGGGCTTCTGTATCTGCTCAATGCCGATTCCGTGGCACAACGTAGAGGTCTGGCGATCAAGCGGTGACAGACTGTACCTGGCTGGCTCGATACTCGGCCGCCTGCGTAAGACCTCGGGATCAATTCGTGAATTCGAGGAGGCAGTGTCATTTCGGAAGTACGGTGTCGTGCGAGAATCCTCAGTACCTGGAATTAGCGAATGTCTCACTCGACAGAATCGAACGGTGCAACTGGAGAGGGCCCGGCGATGATTCCTTTTCTTCTTCTGCGCTATTGCTGCAGGTATCACTTCTGTCTGTCCCTCTGGCTCTCGATGAGCCCCGCTCTCGATTTCTGGTGTGGTCTGGTCCTGCAGCTTGCCATCCATCTTCTTATGCTTGATGCTCTTTGCCCTCTGCTGCCTGTTCTGTTTGAAGCCTGGAGACGTGAACACCACTCAATTCGTTTCGCCCTGCTTCGGCCATCCCTCAATTGCGTCTCCGCAACCAAATTTCTGCTGGCGATGTCCGGGCTCCTGCCAAACCGGCGGCGAGTCTGAATCCACAGCGTCTACTCCGACATCTCTGCATAACTTGCATTGAACTGGCCCTTGATGGCTCCTGCCCACTGGCTCGCACATGGCCGACACGTCTTTTTCCTCCGGAAACAGCTTCCCAGAGAAGTCCCGCCGCCGACGGAGTACAGCTTCCTGCTTGGCCTTCACACTTCACTAGCTCTGCTCAACTGCGATCAGACTGGTACTTTGGCTGTAATATTCCATTTTAATTTCACTTTGTAACGGGCGTGGTACTCATGTTCCTCAGACCTCATAAGACCTCACGTCACGTACTTCGTACCTTGCTCCAGCATCGTGGTTTCCTCCGGGTCGGCCAACGTACCTCTCCGTACTCTGTACCCGTGCCCAAGTCAGCCCACCTCTGCCTAATTTGGTACCCTGTACAGGCCACCGCGTAAAACACGTCAAGGTGCTCCAGGTACTCCAGGTGCAGAGTACCCGGTACAGTGCGCGCAGATCAGACTCACCTTGCCCCTTCCTCGTGTTCCCCTACTGCCCCACGCCCAATTTAGGACCTTGCAACCCGCGCATCATTCAGCTAAAACCCGTCTCTGCCTTCCAATGATCGATCAATGTTGGGATCGCGCCCAAGCCCAGTGTCGTGTCGTGGTAAACACACTGTCTCAGATCGTCCAACTTTTGGCTCCTTCCTTCGCTTTTTTTTGCGCGTTGAAGGTCACGCCCAAGGTCACTCGTTCCCTCCCGCATTTTAGCGTTTTGTCGCTCAAAGGGCTCCTGCTTCCCTTTTATTACCCCCTCGACTCCTTCCTCTGTTTGTCTTGGTCTATTCTCGACGGCTTTTTCTCTCATTCTTTCCCCTCCCCTCCTTTTAAGTTTAAACGAAAGAACCTGTCCCTCCCTTACTCCAACTCTTGTCTCTACATACGAGAATAAATAGGACGAGAACATAAACAACAACAAACACTCACGCTCACATTCATCTCAATCACACACCAGGAACACAAAACAAAAACGCCAGTGTCCGTGTCCATCACCACGATCTAATCCCTACCCCACTATTGGAACCCAATTCCAGGTCTGTTTAGGAGTTGAAAGGAGCAATTCGAGGAAGAGGAAAGCCCAACTGTGTCGCTTTGAATCTCGTGACACGAAGAACACGAAGAACACGAAGGCGAAAGCGTTCTGAACGCCTCGATACTGCGTCGAGTCCTTGTTCCCGTTCCCTCCATCTGTGACGAGTCTTGAAATCTTATACCATGTCGACTCTTATTCGCCAACCATTCGCTCCCCTTGATGGAGCCCGTCTCCAGACCCTGACCAGCATCAAGAACCGACAGAATGGTATGTTTAGTGCCCGCCGTTAGCCTTGATTCCATCCTTTTGAGCCTCGTATTCTTCCCCCTCTCGCGTGCAACTACTGTTGGCCCGATCCTCCAAGATCGCCCTCAAAAGTGAACTTGAATGGGCTTCAATTTGCCCTACTCCGTATATGTATCGACAACAATGCACTTCAATGAGCAATCTCAGAATCACTTAGACCGCCGTCCCGCCGCCTGACCCGTTGTAAAGCTTGACCAGCTCACTGACACCGCAACAGCTGCTTCCTCTCCTTCAGCCAAGAGAAAGGCGGCGGATTTGAATGAGGACGACTTTGAAAACGTCGACCCGTCCATTTTCGCCAAGAGGTCCAAGGGTGCTGGCGACAGCTTCTTCTCCAAGGAGGTCCTCAAGGCCCCTGTCTTCAACATCACCAACAAGCCTACTGCCCGTCTCGCCCCAACCAGCCCCACTCGGTCTCTTCCCGCCTCTCCTCGCACCCGCACCATCCTCCAGCCCAAGTCTCCCATCAGCAAGATCAACACCTCCATCTCGAGGTCTTCTTCCCTCTCCGCCCCCGCCGGTCGCTCGCCTACCCGCAGCAGGCGCTCCGGAATCCTTTCTAACACCCGTCGCCGAACCACTGCCGGCTCCTACTCCCGAATTGACCCCCCTCACTTCAACCTCGGCGCCGCTGCCCCCTTCAGTCTCGATGCTGCTCTCAAGGGTACCATCCCTAGCTATGCCGCCCGCACCTCCGCCTCGTCTCTCTCCGCTCGCGCTTCCGTTGAGACTCCTGCTGAACCATCGTCTTCGTCGGGCAGCTTTGATCTCGGTCGCGCCGAGATGAAGGCGTCGTGGTTCTTCGACATCCACGAAGACACCCCCGAGCAGGAGATGACCAACCTCCTCCAGCATGGGACCTGCACCCTCGACATTAGCTCTGACGAGGAGTCCGAGCAGCGTGCCACCCGTGAGCGTGCCGAGGGACGCGACAAGGAGAACATTCCCCCTGCCGATGACATCAGCCAGACCTCCCGCCGTGCCGCCGCCCGTCGCGGTGCTACTGAGGATGACATGCAGATCGAGAAGGAGCGGCTCGCCCTCGCTGACCTCGATGCTTCAGAGTATTACGCTACCGGCTGTGACGCTGCCTCTGTCATAATCGTTCCTGGTGATGAGGATGACAATGATGTTGTGGAGAAGAACGTTGTCACTGCCGAAGCCGCCTCCGTAGTCGCGCCCCAGCCCATCGAGGAGGAGCTCGCTGCCCCCGAGCACCAACCCGAGTCTCTACCCGTCAACGTGGACTTTGGCCCTGAGCTCAACCTCGAGACCACCGAGCCGTTGCCCACCGAGGATGTAGACACCCTCATGGCCAAGTCCCAGGATGAGCCCTGCGCCAAGGCCGCCGTGCTCGAGCCCATCGATGGCACTGGTGAGAGCTTCGAGCTCTGGGAAAGCGCTAGCGCCAAGGATGATGCCGAGGCCACGCCCGCCGTTGTGGAGGCGTAGATTTTTCGTTTTTCTTATTCCGAAAGATTTTCCGTCTCGGTTCATTTCTTAGGTCTTTTGGTTCGGGGGCAGTGAGGGCTTTCCTAGTGTTGATGATACCCAATCACAGGCGGAAGGAATGGCGTTTCTGGCGTGAGATGAGAGATTTCACTCACGGGATGAGTGGGATACGGCGGTACTTATGAGAGGCTATGCTGTTTCTGGGACTTTGTTTTTTTTCCACTGGCTATGTTTGATTGTTTAAAAAGGCGTTAGTATGGTGTACATGGACACGCGTTTGCAATTGATGGTTTATCGGTTTGGTTAGCTGTTATCGCTTCGTTTTTGCGGAGTTTGATTGAGTAGATGATGATGCACACAAGTGTAGACTGTACTGCTCTGCGGTAATAGGAGTATTCATATTCATTATTTATTTCTATCCCGGGCACCTATTCTCATTTCTTTGTGAGTATGAAATGAACTTCCCCAGGAGTGGCGCAGTGTGAACGGTCGAACTCGGGCAGAAAATGCATTTCGCGAGGTTGAAGGTGGGGGGAAGGAGGCTGAAGTTTCATGCTAGTTTGTACATCATAGCGCTCTGTAATCTGGCCCCATGAAATTCGAGGGTAGTTTTCCTTCTGGTTGATTGTAAGAAGAATCCGTTCCTCTACTTTTTCATCGAATCCGGTCATGTCCGCGGGCACGTGTGTCTTCAGTGTGGAATGCGGGGGCGATTTGACTTGACTCGCGAGTCCTCAGTCCTGAGGAGCCAAGGCGAACCGAACTGGCAACATTTTAGCTTCACTCGTACGGTGTTTGCCTTGAAACAGCTGTTAGACTCGCCTAATAGCAAAACGGTGCCCCTTCGCATTTTTGCAGAGCCCGGGATGAGAAGAATCCGCGCATTCCCCATCGCAGCCATTTCTCACCCAGCTTTCTCCACTTTGGCCACGGTCTTAAGATGGCGCAAAATCTTCTTGCAGAAAAGCCCTCGACTGCCGGAGGTCGCAATGCTCTCGCAGCTGCTTATCATAGTCTCCGCGTTATAGACGAGCAGCTTCAAGAGACGAACCGCGAAATCTGCCGTTTGATGGCTGTGAAGGTTGCGCACTTTGGCGCTCAGCCTGAAGTATCGAAACAATTCCGAAAGTACCAGCTTGAAAGTTTCGAGGACTCCTCCCACATGCTCGACTCAGAGTGGTGGGCTTGGGCCACGCGCAATGGTCTTCTCGAGTCCGAGGGTAACCTAGACCGCGAACTAGAGAAGACGAAAGCCTCGAAGATCAAATTTGAGGGTATATGGAGTGATCTCCGATCTTGCATCGATGAGTTATCACGCCCGTACCTGAGAAACCTGAATATCCTAGACCTACCCGATGATATTCTCCTTCTGAGAACTTTGACCTCCCATCTCTTTATTACCCGCCCGACAATGGGAGAAAGGATATCAAAAACACGCGCCTGGTCTGTCGGCGATTTTGTAACCTCAGCTCGCAGCTGCTCGTCCGTCTCGTCCGCGTCAGTTTCGACGAACTGTCACTTACGCGCCTGGAGGAGATTTCTCATCATCCCGCTATTGCAAAGGGTGTTCGTGTAGTTCAAATCGCCCTTCATTTCTACAACATCGCCCTTAACGACTTCGATCGGTTTATTTCGTACTTAATCGACATGTTAGAAAACCAAGTCAACCTCTTCGACGCGTTGAAGGATTTTAACATCCCCGAACAGAGTGCATTGGAGATGATTGCGGACACAAGGGCAGTTATCCTAGAACTTCACCAGCTTGCATCAACCCAGCCCGAACTTGGTGAACACTTTCAGGAGGAACAAGGGCTTCGAGCACGTCTAGAGGAGATCTGTTCAGAGCATCTGACTCTCTTTGAGAAGCAGCAGTCCCTAATATGGAGCGGGCGGTTCTCGCAAGCTGTTGGCTCGGCAATTGCAAGGATGCCAGGCGCGCGAAGGCTGGACTTTAACGATACAGAGTTTGCGGTGTCAACAGGCAATCGCCAACTGATGATACCTAAGGGCAATACTTGGAGGGCACTCCGTCGTTTCATACTCCAGTCCCTGACCGGCTACCGTGCAAAGGCTCACAGCCTCGATCTACCAAACTACCAATGCATTGCCAAAATAGTCGATGCTGTCCGATGCGCCGGCGTATCGCTCAAGACCATCAAAATTGAACTTTCGGATCTGGGATGCCCTGGCAGCCTGATGCCATCCCCGGATATCCGGCGAGAGTTTTCGTCTGGGTTGCAGCAGCTAGCAGAATTTAAATTCGAGTGCGACTCTCCCGACGAGCAAGATGCTGAAGGTCTTAATGACGCCCTGTCTGTCTACGTGGATACCCCTAGCCTCCAAAAGCTCAGCTTGGATATGAGAAGCTATGATGCTGGGGAGCCAGGAAGGATAGATATAGGGCAAATCATGGGGTCAAGGTCGCGAGATAGGCTGACGGACATTTCCTTTGCTTATGCTGCGATGGATTTCTCGAGGATGGTACAGTTCCTCAACCGGCTACCGCAATCGACAACATGCATCTCCTTAATAGATGTCCGTTTACTCAGTGGCACCTGGAAAGAGGCTCTGGATGCACTTCGGAAAAAGAACATTCGCATTGTCCACTTAAGCGAGCCGAAGGGTGCTGAGTGTGACAACATGTCACCCGAAGACTACAAAAGGATATTCGACGATAAGTGCGCATACCGCACCCTGGCTGAGCTTTACATCACGAACCGGATCTCGCAGCAGCGTAACCCCCTAGAGACACCTTGAGGACAAGCTTTAAATAGCGAGTTAACTCGAGTTGTAGAGTCGAAGAGGGAAATGCACCGAGGTAGTGTTAATAGACTTCTTTAAACACTCCCAATTATCTAAATCAAGGGTCCCTTGGTCGGTGGCTGGGTGTTCCAAGAAAAGCCAAGACACTAGAAACAGGGTGCGGACAGGTCCTTATGAGTTCTTGAAGGAGTAGTACTATATGTATGTCGTCCGCCATCTCATATTCCTCCTCCCAACAGCTCAAAACAACGTTCCCCGCAGCTACACAATCCAGAGGAGGGAATCTGTTACACGCGTAGAGCTTCTCAACCTCTGTTTCCTCTAATTCTTGATATGGCCTCTGCCAGGCCATAATCTCGTAGATATCCGAACCCAAGGCGAAAAGCTCCCTTTTCTTCGTAGGGCAATCGTCAAAATCTCGCCCGTAACAAGGTAGCTCATATTGTGATTCCTCGTAAATTGTTTCTTTGAAGTTGTAAGCTTTAATTAGGGACGTACTGAAATCCCTGAGCCTGACTTGGAACCCTTCGAAGAGGGAAAAATTGCGACAGCTCAAGCCCGAGTGTCGTACGTTGCGAGAGTGGATGTACGCGACGCCTCTTGTAACATCCAGAGCAGGCAGCGCGTTGTTTGCTGCCTTCCTTCACTTTATAACCTTTTAAGACAGTCTTATTATGAGTAGTAGATATAAAGCAGGTCGCTCCTATGCTGATGATAGAATACCACATTGTAAGAATACGTCGTTGAGCTCAGGTCAAAGTTGCGCAGGTGGTAGAAGCGAGACGAGAAGACGGCTTCGAAGTGTGCCACAACCGAGCCATGAGGGGTGGTCCTGATAGCAATCCTCTTTCACTTAGCTTTCAAGTAAACGGACGCTCTATGCGTTAGCTTCTTTGCATTTGGGACATTTCTACACGCTCTGCATAGCCCCAGCCACTGTAGCTGGGCCACTTCCAGGAAAGCAACATCTCGCAAGGTGTCATTTTGTTACACCCCTACAGGCTAGATTATGTCAAGCTCACTCTAGACAATACCAGCCCCAGCCCTATTACCTGATATCAGGTTGAGTCCGACTGCCTTTCAGTCCCAGCGGGACCAGTCGTGGGAAGGGCATCTGTCGGCTGAGTATAGGACATCCGAGACGACCCATCCACAGAATTCGGCTCGTCCCAACGGAGCCAATCTGCATCATTGACAATCACCGGTCCAATCTTCTTGGTCCTCTTCTTGAGGGCGTAATAGTAGTCTGCATGTCTATAACAAGCCGCCTCTATCTCATCGACGTCTAAAGGCACATAGTGAGGTTAAAGTTCCAATATCCACCAACTTCAAAAAATTGGGCGCAAAGGAGCAACCTACCCATTCCCGGTGGCAAGGCAAGAACGTGATCTTGGTCCAACTGCTTAAAGGCCTCCTTGAGAAAGACACGACATGTCCACCTGTCCTCGCGCCGAGGAAGATATCTAGCGCTCCCTAGCGGAACTTTCTTCAGACTCTCGTGGATCTTCTGGATGGAGTTTACCAAGCCGAGCTTCAAGCATACGACCACGTCGTTGGAATCCGCGGGGTCGTTGATCTCGACATGTTCGTATCGATAGAGATTCCTTTGATCTCCGTTGTCGGTTGCGTGGAACTTGGTTCCGGAGGGGGGGTTGCTGCTCGTGGCGTGCAGGGTCCAGTGCTTTGGGCTGTTATTAAGGAGAAAACTGCCGGCGGTGGGAGAGATCAATAACTCACGTAGAAGTTCTTGCGGGCGTCATTTCCGAGGAAGGTGAGGGTGATGTAGAGCGACAAGGGTTCGAGAGCCGACATTTTGTGATCTGGCAACATGGAGAAGCAAGAGAAAGAGGACGAGGGTAGCGGGCAGTGGTTTGTTGAGACGAGGCGTCGATTCAAATCTACACACTCGAGTGATTGTTGACTTATAACCACCCAGATAACTAAACGAAGTAGAATGCACGATGCGGACCAGAGAACTGATTTTTCTCAGTAACTATGAAACCGTCCTTTTGTACTTCCAGACTCGATTGCCGCAGCATCTCTCAAGCCAAGGAGAAACAGATGGCGGCCGAGACAGTCAACTCGAATCGGCAAGGGGTCGTCTAGAGGGGGGAAAGCCAGCTATGCTGAAGAGATCCGTATGGCATTCAGTGATAACCAGCGGGACAGAAATAGCGCCCTGGTCTTTAAGATGGATCTGACCAAACCCGGGAGCAGTCTCCCCACGCACGCACTTGACTACGAAAGGGAGAACAGGTATTCCTTGTTCCTGCTTCCGAGCAGTGAGTGATGTTGGATACTCGAACGTGCCTTGACAGAATTAATAATGGCATATGCCGGTTAGTAGAGTAATTCCTTTTTATTCGTCAGTTTTGTTCTTATTCGATTAGTTGCATGCATATTCGGTGTAAGAGGGGAAATGGAATCTGCATCCTGGGAAAGTCTGCGTTTGAATGTATCAAGAGATTGGTATCCGTTCGATGGCTATCTAGAGCGTCGTACCCTGCTAGCACCCGATCAGCGGAGCGCTCGTTCAGAATGAAATAGCGCTCCCACACCCCTCGAGCCCATCACTCGAGTCCTTCGTCTCGGAAGCCCTCCATCACCAGCTCGCTGCTGCGCATATTTTCCATGCTTGTCGATCTCGATCTAGGAACAACCACAAGGCCGAGGTTCTTTCACTCGTCGCAGATTAGACATACTAGGATCTAGTAAGGCTTCCTCGAGCTGGATTACCCCTCTCATTTCGTCTCGACTAACACATGAACTCTAGTTACTCTGTGCGGAACGGGGCCCCTCCTCCCCCCGGTGTCAAGCTGCTGGGGACAAGCTTACAAGTGATGGCCGTCTACAAATCACGGATCTCTGAAAATGCTGCGTGCTTTCTTCGGCCCGCCTTACTGCGACCCGGTCGCTCGCCTCCTCTCCAAAGACCAGAGCAGAATGAAGTCGTTATCGCAGCCACCGGCTTGTCCACAGAAACGGCAGTCGAAAGCTTTCAGAAAGGGGGACTATTGACTCTGAACCGGTTAACAACCCTCCCATGATCGAAGTGAGTTTTACCAACTAGCACAAGGTCAAATGGTATTTTGGTGAGGGCGTCGGATTCGACAGTGCCGTAGAGCCATGTTCGAATCCTCGTTGGCCCTGTCCTCTTGGACCTCTTTCCGCGAGGTCAAAATCAACCATCACATAACCTGCCCGGTTAGCTCAATCGGTAGAGCGTGAGACTCTTAATCTCAAGGCTGCGGGTTCGACCCCCGCATTGGGCTCAAATCCCAATGCGTCTTCTAAGAAGGCACATCCGATTTTTTTTTTTTTTGCAATTTTTTTTTTTTCTTCCTCCCCAGTCTTGTGGGGGACCTAGTCCTGGCCCACCCACACGTCTCCACCGACCCAACACGCACAGATCAAAGTCGGCTAGAACCTAGCGCCGCGTTAGCATAACCTCTCTTCTCCTGACATCAATGAGAGTGATGGGGCGAATCCTGCGGTGGGTGCCTTGGCCAGATACCACAAGGCGATTCCAATCGCTAATACTGAGCATGTTGTGCATCACGGCCCCGGTCGCCTTACCCTGGGCGAAGAATTGTGATAATAGCAGTACGGTATAAGCCTGATAAGAAGGTGATCGGGGCTAGAAGGAGGAGTGCTAATCTAGGTCGGATTTAAGGTGGGCAAAACGTGAGCTCGGTGGCCAAGAGTGCGTTCAGAAAGGTGTCACGCTCTGAGTAATACAGAACTCGGAATCTCGAAGGCTGCCGCCTCAGAAGCATCCCCTGGTTCCGGCGGGGTCGAAGCCTGCCTGGATCCCGGAATCCGGGTGTAGCGAAATAAAAGCTTCTCGATTTGACAACTGCGTAGAATAGACCGGGTGCCCCTTTGAGCGTGACCCGAAATCCAGGAATCCGGTGCGTGCTTGGACCCCGGCTCCCGGATTCGCTAAAAAGAGGCGCAGCGTCCACACGACCCCGCACCCCGGATCCGGGACGCAGGCAAGGTGGATTCATAAAGATGGCTGCAGATGGGAAGGCGGATTTGGGACCCAAGGTCTCCTGAGCCTGATAATTAAGTAGGATGAGGCTTGGACACACGAGACAGTTGATGCTTGGGGCCTGGGTTCGGGGGAGCTGAACTTCAATGTGGTCCCGAGCCCTGGATCCCGGCGGGATTCGCCCAGTTCCCGGGGAACCCGGAATCAGTCACCAAATCTACACGAACCCTGGAAACAGGGAGACTCCAGAATCGGGATCGTCTGCCAAACTGTGACCCTAGACATCGAGGATGATCGAGTATATATTGGAGCTGACTTGAACGTTTCCGAAACTACCAAGTCCTCCCAACATCGCCCACCACCCTCCAAAGCATGATGAGCCTTGTCCTTCCTAACCCGCCCTCTCATCCTCGACAAAAGGTTGACAGGAAAATGCCACCGTTCTTAAAATCTTCAGAATCGCTCCGAAAGGTATCCATCAAACTCCGTGAAAAAAAAAAAAAAAATGCACCATCATGCATACACGCCTGAGAATAAAAGACAACCCAGTGAAAAAGAGAAGCCCAAAATCCATAATTGGCCTGCCTACTCCATTCCCATGCGTTCAAAAAAATCGCCTCAGAAACCACATCCATCGCCTTCCATTTCGCCTCCTCCTCTAAAGTGGCTCCTTCTCTGGAGCGACGTCGGCTGGTGATTTCGTCCCAGGTGCTGGTAAGTTCCCGTTCCCCTTCATAACCCCCTCCTCGGTTGACACCTCACTGACAACTTCGTTCCCTATTGCTTTCGCCGGCTCCACGCTCTCTCCCCTTCCAACGAGCGTGTCAGCCGGCGAGTCCTCTCTCGCGGAAATTTCCGGGCCGACGGACGCCGCCCTCGAGATCGACCTCTGCGAACCAACTAGCGTCTCCTCCTCCTCCTCGATCTCTTCACCCGGCACCTCGTCCCCTTCCCCGTCTTCATCTGTCCGTATGAGGGTGGGATCCACACAGTCGTAGAAGAGCATAAACACGCCCCCTTGCGATGTCACCATACTTTCGTCGACCTTGTACACGGACTCGTCGCTGAGGCGCCACCATGTCTTTTCTTCGGCTTCAGAGTTGGCTTCCTCCCCCTTCTCCTTCTCCTCAGCTTGGTCCTCCGCGTCTTGTTGCCGTGTTTCTTCTGCATCCTGGAACGTCGCTTCGGTCTCAGCCTCGGTCTCGTTGGGCTTGGGCATTTCGGCGGTGGCTTCTTGTTCTGGGTCCTTTAGCTGCGCTGGGAGAACGCTTGATACTGGAGCGGTATTGTACTTCCTGTAGCAGATATAATGCCCGTTGTTGTGATGCCCATAATGCGTCACGACCGCCCTCAACTCGTAAATTGGTCCCGATATTAACGACTTCATATTCTCGCCCGCCACCATAGACACCCTCGGATCGAGTATCCACCGCTCCTCATCGCTCAACGCCGCTTGGCCGTCTCGCCCATCCACTTCGGGAGACGCCGTCGCTTTCTCGAAGTAACTTCTTCCCTTCCCCTTCATGTTGCTGCCCAGACACCACGGTCCCAGATCCAACGTCGTCGGGAATCTCACGGCGGCCGAGTTTTTGAACAGCATCCCCGTCCTCTCGTCAAACACCGATCGATTCATGTGAATCACCAAGCTCTTCGGCGGCCTAGCGATGACGGCCTGCTTGGTCTTGACCACGTTGACTCGACTCTCAGGAGTGATCTTGCACTTCTCTTTCACGGTCTCGTCGTCGAATGCTTCTTCATCAAGGGCTAGATCCACAGCTTTCAGACGCTCCTCGACGCGAGCCAGATGCTCCTCGGAACCAGCGTTCTGGCGAAATCGTTCGCCGAGGGTCCTCAAAAGACGCTGCAGCTTAAGGAGAGTGCATCTAGGACACTCTACGCCTTCGATGGCCTCGAGGCTCGTATATGCATCCAGACGTTCGTATAAGTCGTGTCCGGGCGTGTTGACGCCGAGGTTGAGGGTTAGGCAGTTGAAGGGGATCAGAGATAGCCCCTCGGAGAATCCACACTGCACACATGCGACGCGCTGGGCGAGAAGCCCCTCGAGCGGATTCCTGGGAACCTTCGAAGCAGCGGATATCTTGGAGATGACCGAAGATGAGCTACCATAGCCGCTATCGTCGCTATGTTGACTCGTGTTATCGTCCTTGGCAGGCTCCACGAAGTCAAGCCGTTGGTCACCGCCCGCCGCAGTGGCTGCTTTTATGGACTTGGCAATCTCGCTGTCAATTTCGTCGAGCAGTTTGGAATAATACTCCTGCGCATCCTGCTGTATAAAAGAGCTCATATTCTTCAAAACCCTCGGTGTCCAGAGTGTCTTTCCGTTATTATCCGCATCGTTCAGGTCTGCAATAAGCTCCTGCAGACTCTTGGCAGCTTCGACGTCCTTCCTATTGACAGCATTCGATCGAAGAGTCGTCGCGAGGTACGGGGGAAGATGGTTAAGAGACGCGAGGCCCTGCAGGATACTATTCTGGTAGCACGAATTATCGAGGTTTCCAAGACCCGGAGGCTGATCCTTAGATCCAGCCATGAAAAGTCCGCCTCGAAGGGCCGCCGAAGGGAAGGCCGAGCGTGGGAGGCTGTTAGAAAAGGATCTTAGCGCGCCGGCGGCCCTGTTAATCCCGAGCAGCGCCGCCATCCTCTCGCTCTTCTCGGCATGGGTGTTCGGTGGTGGCGGCGGAGGAAGGCCGGGGAACATTGGCGGATTGACCCAGGAGTCGATCGTGGAGATGAGAGCGGCCGGTGTGAGGGAAACGAAAAGGTCCCAGACAATCAGAACTAAGTTCTGGAGTTGGTATGCGAGTGCGCCTCGGCGCAAAAGGTTGAAGAGGACGGTGAGGATGAGGACGACCCCGGCGACGATGACAGGTGGGGAAACGCGGTCGAGGAGCCGGGCGTAGCTGTAATCGGAATAATATGGGGATCGAGGGCGAAAGGAATCGTACCGAGAGTCGAATCGCTGTTGAGAGTACGGAGAGCTCATCCTGAGAGGTGCAGCTCGCGCGGAGTGTAGGAATGCGGTGAGGGTCAGAAGGGAGATGGGGGATGTCGAGGGTCGAGCCGGGAACGCTCTAGAAGTCGGGCGTAGAAGCGCCGGGTAGCAGAGTGCCCGAGGTAGAAACGAATGACGAGGGTCTCTAGAGAAATTAGGTCGTTAAATGAATCTGGTAGTTGGGTGGCCGTGGGATGGTTGAACCATCAAAAGGCCAAGGAACGGCAATAATTTTCAGCGGGAAAACTGAAGAGGCAGAGGTGAGGAAGAGATGACGGGCAACTCCATGACGGGAAAGCGCCTCTGGATTAAGGGAGAAAAAGTAAGGCACTATGGTTCGTTGGAGAATGATGCAAAGTTGCTGCTTGGGAAATGGTATCGGGGCATGGACATGGGCGATCGCGAAACCAGTTGAGGAATGAGAATTGGATGAGGATTCGAGATGCAGGCGAATCAACGTTGCAGAATGTTGAGGACAATCATCTCTGGCTTGTGATTTTGCTGGAAGGAGCGAGACAGGGATTGTTCCGGAGCATTATTAATCCGGGCTTGGTATTGGGGTTACGAAGCTTGGAGGCGCCTGGAACAGCAGAATAGAGTTAGCGGCCTGCAGTGGCTTGCATTAGGGGGCAGCACGAGCCTAATGCCGCTGGTCAGTGCTTCCAGCCCACTAATGGAGCGCTGAGATCCGGTTATCCGTTGGCACTATACTGTAGGGCCGCCATCTGTTATTTCTTGGTGCTCAGTTCTACACTAGACCATAGCGCGTTTGTGCTTAAATACCTAATTTCTTCGACCCAATATGGCTGGCATTATCGGGCTGACCCCCATCAAGCACGTCAAACATCAAATGAAGAATGGACAGAAGTAGTGGTTCTTGCAGAATTATGGATTTCTGATCAGATTCTGCCTAATCTTAGTCTCAGAGGCCATTTCGCCGGGCATTCTTCCCCCGTGATCCATGTAGTTTAGATTATCAAAACTAATGTCAGAGTGACTGTGGCAGGTAACTCTGTGACTCGGGAGTCTCCGGGCATCAACGATGGAACTACCAAGCCCATTCCATTGTCTTAGAGGGTATCCGAATAGAGTCTAGAGGACCACGTTGTGACAGCCTCTTGTTCTACTTTAGCTATTCTTGGTGTACCATCATCCAACGTTCGCGATACATAGGTACACAGGTACACAGGTACTTGGTTTCAGTCAAGCTCTTCCAAAATTTGGCGCTCGCCCACCCAGACGTCAACAGCTGTCGAGGTGCCAATCTCCAAAGCCCTTTACGCGCTCCCAGACGCGTCGCGGGGAACATGGGAACCGAAATCGTCAACTCCACATCCAGAAATATCAAATCGACCTAGGCCCTCGATCCCGCCAGCAATGCGCAATTAGCTGTAAATTTCCATATTCAACTTGCCAATTCACCCGTAAGACCCAAGCTGAGCAATGTCCTCCCAAGACGGCGACGTATCCGCCGCCCTCCACAACTACTTCTCCCCCAACGCCCCCCTCGAACCCGATGTCCTCGCCGAGCTCCAGTCCCTCCTGCGCCTGCACGGCGTCTCCGCCGAGGACCTCTTCTACAAATGGGAGTCGTACTGCATGCGCTTAGAAACGGAGGCCAACGTAGTAACCCTAGCGGCGCTTAAGGGCTTCAAGCAGAGCACGCTGGATGATTTGGAGAAGGATAACCAGGCCAAGGCGACGGCGGATCGGAGGATCGGAGCGACGCCGAGGAGTATTGCAAAGGGTGGCGGGGATGTGTTTTCCATGTGGGTTGTCGTTCTCTCTCATGTCTTTTTAGGGTTTCCTTCTTCCCCTTTAGTGCAAAAGACACTGATAAGTCGACGTTCTTTTTCAGGCTCGATGGGTTGGTACCGGGCACTCCTGCTACTGCGCGCAAGGCAACAGGTAGCCTGAGGAAGAAGACGTTCGAGACCCCGTCCATGAACCGAGTTCGATCAAACGCTCCCGGAAGCTCACCAGACTTCAAGACGCCGAGTCGCGCTGCAGCAGATAATCTCGGCACCCCAGCGTAAGTTATCCGCGGACACCTTTTAACCCCAAAACCACATAGCTAACACGGCAGCACTCCAGACCCGTCAACTTCAACGACCGACCCAACGCAGGAGAAGTCATCGAAGTCCTCAACGACAACCTCAAAATCCCCGACCCCCCCTTCGCCCCCTACCCCGAACCCCGCGTCCGTCTCAACGCCTTCCCCGATGCCAAGAAGATCGACTACAAGCCGCTCGCCATGAAGCTCTCCGAAGCCTCTGAAGCCCTCGACAAGCGGATAAAGAGCTTCATGCAAGAACTCGTCAAGGAAAGAGGAATCGATGAGTCCGAATTCGGCAGCGCCGCGGCGAAGAGCACCTCCCGCATCGTAGCAGTAGGCCGTATCGCATCCGATTCCTCTGAAGGAAAACTCAACCCCGCCAGCCTCCTCCTCGAGACCTCGATGGAAATTGGCAACGGCCGGAGAATCCCCTTAAACATGAAGAAGCTCAAGGGATACAGCGTCTTCCCGGGCCAAATCGTCGCCCTAAAGGGATCAAACGCCTCAGGCCACGAATTCATCGTCGACGAAGTCATCAAGCTCCCGCTCCTCCAAAACGGAGCTTCCTCCCCCGCAGACCTCGAAATCCATAAGCAGCGTCTCCGCGGGGACCCCAACGCCATGGACACCGACGCCGATCCGGCGCCGCTCAATATCATGTTCGCCTCGGGGCCGTATACACCCGACGATAACCTCGACTACGAGGCGCTGCACGCCATCTGCGACAAGGCCGCCAACACGTACGCCGATGCGCTAATCCTCACGGGACCTTTCCTCGATGTCGAACATCCCCTCATCGCGTCGGGCGACTTCGACCTCCCCGAGGACGCCAGTTACGACCCGGACACGGCGACCATGACCACCGTGTTCCGCCACCTCGTCTCCCCCGCCTTCAACACACTGACCCAGCTGAACCCCGCCATCACCATCATCCTCGTCCCCTCCGTCCGCGACATCCTCGACAAGCACGTCTCCTGGCCTCAGGAGAACTTCCCCCGCAAAGACCTAGGTCTCCCCAAATCCGTCAAAATCATACCTAACCCCCGTACTGTCTTCGTTAACGAGGTTATCCTCGGCGTCTCGTCCCAGGATATCTTGTACGAACTGCGCCACGAGGAGCTTCTTGTCGGGAACGTTGCGCAGAGGGATTCGGCGTCGAGGTTGAGCCAGTACCTTATCGACCAGAGGCATTATTTCCCTTTGTTCCCACCCACTGATCGGTCGAAGCTGCCTAGGACGGGGACGGAGGAAGGGAGAGCGCCCGGCGCCATGTTGGATACGAGGAATTTAGAGCTTGGGGAGTTGCCTGCTCTGTTGCCTGATGTCATGGTTATTCCTAGTGCACTCCACCCGTTTGCAAGGGTATGTACCATCACGTTGCCCTCTTTCTTTCCACACACAACAGGCCTACTAACTCAAATCCCAAACAGGTCGTCAACAGCGTCCTCGTCATCAACCCAGGCTCCCTCTCCAAACGCCGTGGCGCGGGCACCTACGCCCGCATGACTCTCTACCCCCGCAACATTTCCCCCGAGGAATCTGACTCCGACCTAGTCGCCCACAGGGTGTTCGATAGAGCGAGGGTCGACGTCGTCAAGATCTAGAAGCGATAACACGTCCACCTTCTTGTTCCTCTTGACGGTCTTGATGTTTTGTTTATGGGAGACATGTTCGTACGGCATTTTTACATAGGAAAGGGTCCAGAGATAGAAATAATGAACAAGTTCCAAAGTTGATGATCCAAACACAACCCATTTTCTTTTCCCATTACCGTAGAATTCCAGAGATGTAGAGACGAAGTCAATTGCCCACCTCCTTCCCCTTGCTCCGTCCTTAAATACATGAAAACTCTGAATGAAATACACGAAAAAGTTCCCAAATCCCGCACTCCCTTGCCCCATCCAACTCCCAATCCCAAATCGACTTTCCCTTGGGAGACGAGAGAAGGCGACAGAGACAGAGACCAACTCCCCCGTACATGATTGAATGAAGAAACATGCCCGCCTCCTTCCCCTTCTCCATCCTTGTTTTCAATACCCCATCTTCAGACCCCGGAAAGATAGAGAGACAAGTTACCCATCGCCTTCCCCTTGCCCCATCTTCAAATACAGGAATGAAAAAAAAAAAAAAAAAAAAAAAAAAAAAAAAGAATAAGAAACATGACTGGAAAAAAAAAAGAGACAGAACAGAAAAGAAACACCCTCCTCAACCCCCTCGTTCATGCATTTGAAAAGACAGAGAAAGTTACCCACCACCTTCCCCTTGCTCCATCTTCAAAAATATGACACTCCTCGGAGACAGATCTCACCTTTTACTCCCAGCTCTATCCTCAGAAGTTTCCCCCCCAAAGAAACCCCCAGAGACAGAGACAGAGACAAAGACAGGTCGCTCACCTCCACCATTTGCCACTCTCCACGTTCCCTCCCCGAATACATGAATGAAGAAGAAGAAAAACAGGACTGAATGAAGAAAACGAAGAAACATCAAATGGGAAAAGGAAAAAGGAAAAGGAATGAAAAAGAGACAGAAACAGGCAGCCCACCGCCTTCCCCTTGCTCCGTCTTCAAATACATGAAAGAGAAAGAAAAGAACAGAACAGAAAAAGAATTGAGAGACAGAAACAAATTACCCGCCTCCTTCCCCAGGCTCCGTCTTCAAATATAGGAATGACAAGAAAAGAAAACAAAACGAGAGAAGACAGGAAATAGAACAGTGAAAACAGAATAGAACGAGAAAAAGAGGAAACAGGATAGAAGAAAAGAGACAGAATAAGAAAAGCAGGAAAAGAAAAAGAAATGGAACAGAAAGAAAAGAAAAGAGAGGAAAGAGAGGAAACACACCTCCTTCGCCTCTCTATCTTAGAGGTTGGTGTCAATTGCTCACCGTTATCTCCCCTCCCCTGTTTCGGTGTCATTGCTCACCATTCTCTCGTCCCCCCGATCGATCGACGTTGCCCATCTCCTTGTCCTCGCACCTTGGATCCTTCATCGGCGGAGCAGCCTTGTTCCAATAAACGACGCACCTCTCTCCCACCGTTCTCCGTCTTCAAAAGCCAGTTTCCCTCCTCCTTCCCCTGGCTCCATCCTTGATATGTCCGGGTCTCTCATCCTCCAGCTTCCTCTCCTAGTCTTGGTCCACACCCTCATACCCTTTGCCTCCCCTTCTTCCCTTGATTCCTTTTTGCTTTTCTCTTTCTCGTTTTCTTTTTTTCTTTCTTTCCCCTTTAATTTTGCCCTTGATTTCCTTTTTCACATCATCGCCCTTCTCACCACTCTCCCCATCGCCCTGCTCATCGTCCTCCAGTTCCTCTTCCTCTCACGCCTCCCCCGGCCACTCGTCACCTCGGATCCTTCGTCCTCGCCCTCCGGCTTCACCTCGTCTCGTTCCGCCGCCGCCCGCGCCGCCCGCTCTCTTCCATCCCAGCCCACGCCCTCTTGCCCTTCGCCTTCCTTCTTCCCCTGATTCCCTTTTTTTCTTTTCTTGTTCTCTTGATTCCTTTGGCTTTTTGCTTTTTGCCTTGTCGCCTCTTGCCTTCTTTTTCTTTTTCTTTTTCTTTTCCTTTTCCTTCTCTTTTCTTTTCTTTTCTTTTGGCTTTTTGCTTCTGCTTTGCCTTTTTTCCTTTCCTTTTTTCTTTTCATCTTTCCCCATCATCACCTCGAATCCACTCTCCTCCTCTTATCCTCATACCTCTCCTCCCTCTCCGAACTCCTCTTCCTCCGCCCATGATGTCTCCCGTCCCTTGAATCATCCCTCCTCCTCCTCGGTGACCGACTCCGACTCCTTCTTCTCCCCTCATCTCTCTCCCTCGATCGGCGGCGCGGGCGGTCTTCGTACCTCTCTCCTCTCCTGTCCCTGTCTTTGTCTCTGCCCCTGTCTCTGTCCCTGTCCCTGTCGCCGTCTCTCTCTCTCCTCTCGCCCAACGGAATCGCATTCGCCCCCTTCCCACTATCTCTCCAATCCCTCGCCTCATCAGGCCTGAACCTCTCATCATCACCACGACCAAATCCAGCCCCTATCGGCCTCCGATCAAACTCCCCCCACCTCCCCGTATCCTCCGACCTCAAATCCTTATACCTCGTCGCCCCCTTCTTCCCCAACTTCGTCATATCCCTCCTCTGCATGTACTCGGGCAACGTCGATCGATCCATCTCGTCCGCGAACCTCGCGCCCGCCAAATCCCGCCTATCGAGGCCCGCCGCCGCGGCCTCTTCCCTGTAAAACGCTCCGCCGTGGTAGTATTTCTGCATGTACCCCAGCTTGCCCCGCCCTTCCTTCTCGACCCTCTGCGCCTCGAGCTTCGCCTCGTCCTCGGCTCGTCGTTCTTCCTCCGTCAAGTTCCGCCGTCGTTCAAGTTCTTCGATTTCCTTTTCCCTTTCGATCATCGCCTCGCGGTCGCGCTTGTACCTCCGTAACTTCCGTAGCTTGAACGCAGCCAGCTCCGCCTCGGGATCCAATCCGTCCGTATCGTCAACCTCGCCCTGCTCGCCTCCGTCTGAATCGTCCCAATGCTGTTTTCCTGCCGCCCGCGCCAACACGTCTTTTTTGATTTGTTCTTCCACCAACTCGTGCGCCTCCGCCTTTTTTCTGGCTGCGTCCTCGGCCGCTTTCTCCTCTTGGCTCTTCTCTCCTTTTCCTCTTTGACTTTTTGGAATGAATTTTGGTCGTAACATCAGCCTTGGCCTCTCCTCTTCGCTCTCTGATGATTCTTCTTCGCTTTCTTCTTCCTCGCTTTCCTCTTCTTCACTTTCTTCGCTCTCTTCTTCTTTTTCCTTTCTTTCTTTTTCCTCTTCTTCACTTTCCGTCACAAAGCCGGCCTCAGCAGCCATCCTCTCCATAGCCTCCCTCTCCTCTCTCCTCTCTTTCTTCACCTCTTCCTCACTCTTCACCTTCAACGCACCAGAAATCGCCTTCGCACTCGCCGCCTTCGGTGGCGGGGCCGTTCTCCCTCGTGGTTGCAACTTCTCCTTCTCAATTTTGACGGCTGCTCTCTCATCCTCGCTGACTTCTTCCTCTTCGCTCGATGACTCTGACTCGGCTCCTCCGACCGGCTTTCCCGGGCGATGGCGTGCCGGCCGGACGGGGTTCGCTGTCATTCGTTTTGGCGGCATCTTTTTTTTTCCCTTCGGGTGGTAGCTTCTTTGTAGTTATCTGCGATTTTGTGTTGCCTGCGTTGAGGTTTGTTCCTATTTCTGTTTAGTGGTTCCCACGTTTTCGTAAAACTTCCCGGAGCTGGGATTGCTCGAGGATGGGGGATGGGGGATTGGGGGATAATGGTTAGAATAATTACGGGGGAGAAGGGGGGGAGAAGAGTTAGTTCCTAGGAATTGAACCTTGGATGAAATGACGAAATGACGAAATGAATGGCTTGGTGAGTTGGGAATATCCCGGGCACTACTGAGGGCCCGGCTATGGTTGTCAAGAGGTGAGGACGAGATATTGAAAGCAGAAAAGCAACGGAGGGGCAACTTACTGTGTATGGCTTTTCGAGTTGTAAGGATGTTCGAGGATTAATTATTTCGAGCTGTCCTTCAGTCGGGGGTTGACAGAAAAAAATTTCAAAGTCGAATTATTGTGGTCGGAGCCGTTGTGTGTTATGGTGTTGTGAAAAAGGTGAAAAAGAAATAAAGTCGAAGGTCGATATTCGATGTCGTTGATGTTGTGGAGCCTGGAAGTCGAAGAAGGTCCGAAATGGTGAGGAAGAAAAGAAGTCTAAGTTTTGAGCCGCACTGGTAAATTAAGTAGATTCTGAGAAGGGCGGTACGTACCCACTGGACCAAGGAAAGTGCGCTGCTGGACCTGCGAAATAGGGCAGCGGCGATGGAAGCTCCAGCAAAATCTGGGGAAGGAGGGTGCTGCCTCATGGTACCTGCCCAAGCTTGAGCCCAGGGACCCCACTGAAGCTTCCCATCTCAGAGCCTCCTGGTTGCAACTTCCCTGCCAGAACCGAGAGACCTCATCAGCATGCGGCTAAGTTTGAATCGCGGTCATGGCCGAGCTTGGATGATAACAACTGGATTTTTCTGGGCTACGCGGATATAGAAATATCTCGAGCATCTACGGTACATCTACAGATTCATTCATCATAGATGATTAGGGACAAGGGCGATCCCGTGTAAGGCAGCAGCGGTGGTTCAAATAGGTCGAGGAACCAGCAGCTCGTCCCCATGGTCAGGAGCTGCGAGAGCTGATAACTACGGCACCGCTCTGCCGTCGGTGATAGAGCCGTTTTGAAAGCCAGCCAAAGGGTCTGTCGAGCACGACGGCGCCAAGCCAACATGAACACGTTAATCAAGTAGTATACAAAGCATTCATCAAGTCTATTACCTAGGAAGATACTGAACTAGCAGCAGCAGCAGACATCGCCACCTCGCAGTGTTTAGGATGGAGGAGTAGATACGAACCATCGCACGCCTCCATCTCATTCTCGAGCCGCCAGGCATCCTTCAAGCGAGAGCCTCGCTTGAAAACTACCCAATCTCCCCCAAGCACCGGTCTGAGACGTTATCATCACCAGCTTAAGATGCCCAAATTCATCAAAATATCTACCTACGCAAAGGGAGGCAAACCATTGTTAAAAACTTCGTTTTAAAACTTCATAAGTGTATTGTGCCGTCATCCGCTAAAGGCACGAATTCGTGTCCCATCGAGTTTGATCCCCTTAAACTCCCCAGAACGCCTATGATGAGAACAACCAGGGCCAAACAGAGAGAAAAAGAGAGAAAACAAAGACGCAAAGCGGAGAAAAACGAAAGGAAAATCAAACGTAAAAACAACACAATATCCCTGGGTATCTCATGTTCAACCCTTTGCCTCGCCTCGCCTCATCCGAGGTTGAAAATGCAGAACCGAACCGACTCCTTGCCTTTTTTGCTCTTCAAGTGGAAAAAAGGACCCCCATATGGATTATCATAGCCCTCGAATAAACAACCCGGAACATGTCCCTTTTGTCCCCATTATTTTTAGTCTTCGCCTCGTCAACAAGTGAAACCCTTCAAAACGTAACCATCGCTTCGCAACAATCTTCACCCACTGTACTAACTTCATTCCCGTAGGAAGAATCCGTAGGTCAAAGAAAAAAAATTGTAGGAAGAACCGAGGACGTGCATGGACGAAAAAGAAACGAAAATTGAAAAGGGAATCGCGCGTAGAGACAGACCTTCATCCCCAAGGTGTGCCCTGCATCCACGAAGGTCCATCGCCTTTCTCCCAAGGCATATCCTATTCCTCGGGTTCTTCGGGCTCTTCGGGCTCTTCGGCTTTCTCGGGTTCGCATCCTCCCAGGAGCTCAAAGTTCCACTCCTCTTCAACTTCCTCATTGAATGCTCTAGTCCACGGGTCGAGGCATCTGTTCAGGATTGCCTGCATCTCCTCCTGGGGCGCCCAAGGGGGCGTAAAGGCTTCACGAAGGGCATTGAGCGTGGCGTCCATATCGCCTTCCGGTATCTGCTCAATGGCCTTCATGCGTCGGTCGTGGTCATTCTTAATCGCTGAACCGTTAATCCGGGGACTGCGACGGAGCGAGGGACTTTCCGGGAGCATGAGCCGCGCCATGGGCGTGCGCGTCGGTGTCGTCTGGGCCAGCGCAAACTGCGAGTTGATGGGTGACGATTGAGCCGAGCGCATCGAACGTGAGATGCTTCTAGTCACCGGTCGGTGGCTCGGCGTCGGCCGTGAAGGCGTGCGGAACGGGTTTCTCGTCTCCGACGAGACTTCCTTAGGAGGCGGTGTAGAAGGCCTAGCGAGGCCGGAGGGGCTCCTGAAGAGCGAATCCAGATCGTCCTCAAACGTGGCATTATGCTGGTTTTCGTTCCTCGCTAGTGCTTCGGCCACGTCAGCTGCGAGTTCCTTATCCGCTCGGTTCCCGCCCTCTCCATCGCCAGCTGAAGGCGTGATGATGTTTGGCGACACCGGGTTCAACGCGTCTCGATGGGCCCCACTCTTATGCCTGGGCGATGGGAACAGTATCCTCCTAGTGGAACCAAGATGATCCTCATCGAGATCAAGAGTAATGGGGCTGTTCACCGTCCCGGTCCCATTCGTGTGCGTCGACCCGGCGTTGGAAAAACCCGAACGTCCAGATGCCGTCGTTTGGTTTACGTGCTCGACCTTGTGGCCGTTGAACTCGTGAGAGTTTGCCGTCTCTAAGAGGGAAGCGAACCGATCCATGGGAATCGGCCCCATGCCCTCCTCGGCAGGAGGCGCATCCACAGGCGGTGACATGACAGCATCGGGGGCCATGTCGTCCGTAGGGATGCAGGCCTCGGAAGTCGGAGGAGGTGCCGTGCCACTGCGCGAATCCTTGCCGTTGGCCTTCTTCCTGACACGGACGGGATTTCGCCCAGTACCTCGCTTTCGTCGCTCCTGGCCCAGTCGTTCGTGGTCCTTCTCCCATCTTTCAGCCGGCCGGTGTTTGTTATTCTTAGAGAGCCAGATGCCGCATGGATTGCACAAAAGCCTCTCCGTCCAAAGAGATTTGTCGTCGCTCATCCCCAGAGCTTTCTTGACCATGCGATACGACGTAGCCTTGTTGTTCGCGTCGCGACTTGTCACCTCAATAGCCGTAATATGACCTGGTTTTTCTGAATATTCGGTGTAATCCGGAAAGCCAATAATGTCGCGCGTGTGAATCTTGCGCCAAGTCGGGGTCTCGATTGCACCGCAATTATCACAGTACGGCGGCATCTCGCCATTCATGACTGCCCGCTCGAGGCGGTCCCTGATCGACTGCTTCTTGACGTAATTCTTATTAGATCTTGGGGGTGGAGGTGAGGTCCGTGGGGGGGGAGGCGCCGCAGAGTCACTCGGAGGACAAGGCGCTTCAGAGAATGAGGTAGCACTAGGTAATGGCAGTCTCTGTTGGGGGGGGCCAACGGGATCACTGGCGGGGACAGCGGGTAGAGGTAGAAAAGGGGCGCTAGGCGTGTCACTAGCAGGAACAGCGGGAAGCGGAAGAGGGAGGGGGAGAGGCATCTCATGAGAGGATCGTGTCTGAACGCGCTTCAATGGAGCACTCGGGATGGAAGCGGCCGTCTTCGCCGCTCTACCGTTGGCACCCGACGTTGAGGTCGAAGCCGACGCCTCAGTGGTGGGCGCAGTGGGAGTCGCAGTCACGGTGGGGGTCGTGGTCGGTTCGTCCGGCATCGATGGCAGGACCAAGGCGCTCATCGACTGAGATCGGTTATAATTGTGGGGACGAGCGACTGGCATGCTGGCAACCGGAGCCGAAGGTGGACGGGATTGAATTGAGGGGACCACAGGTTCAGCAGGAGTGGGCGTAGAGTCAAGGGCCGTCGGAGCACCTTCAGGAAGAGGAAGAGGAAGAGGAATGGGTGTCGGGGCCTGGGTTGGTGCGAGACTCTGGGACCTCTCGGCGGGCTGCTCGGTTTGAGGAGGAACATCAGCAGTAATTTGTGTAGCCTCCTTCACTTTCCCACTACTCTTCGCCTTGTGGCTGTCAGCAGCAGCCGTAAGGGCGGGAGCTGGTTTGGCGGCGGGCTGGGACGATCGTCGGCCACTCTTAGAACGCTGCCTTGGAGCCGATTGCTTGTCCGATCCTGACCGCGTGCAATAAGGGCTGGGAATCTGCACCATGCCGCCCCCTCCGTTGTCCTGGAGTCGAAACACCTGAACAGGTACCTTACCAACATCCCGATTCTTCTGAGCGGCGACTGATTGTTCATACGCCTCGGGACAGGTGGCAGCATTGATAAGCATGCCGTCGGAAGGTAGAGCCTCAGCCGGGCACCCGTCATGGAGCTTTGGCTCCTCGAATTGAGCACTCTCTTCAATACTACCACTCATGAAACCAGAATCGGGCTGGGGCATAGGCGGTAGGATCGGGCTCGAGGGTGGCGGGCTGGACTGCAAAAAGCGGGATGGTCGTGGAACAGGTGGCGATGAACTGATCTCCGCACCGCTATCGTCGGAGAACGCAGCAGGTGTCGCCGCAATCGGGGGCGAGTGGCCATCTTCGCCAGTTGGAGACAGTGCTAGCCTCGAATCGCAGAATGACTGTTGGCCTGGGGCGAGTGTGCTAGGCTCCCGGCTCAGGGTGGAGGGTCGTCTGCTTCCTGCACTACCACCGCGGGCTCCTTGAATGCGCTGATCAGCCTTGGGCACCGGGGTCGGGGCTCGAGGCACGTCTTGGAGATGACTACCAGCAGATGGACCTCCCTCGCCACCTCCAGCAAGAGGCCTAAAGTTTCGAAGAGAATTAGAAGTGCTAGCGGCAACCCTTAGCGAGTCGGGAGCACCTGCAAATGGGGCAGAAACGGCCCTATCTCCGACGACGGTCGAAGCAATCCTCTTCTTAGGTGCCGGGCCGTCATCCCCATCAGTCCCATCCTCATATCCAGAAGTGTTTCCCTCGGTAGCCAGAGGACGCTTCCTCGGCCGACCTCGGGGCCGCCCTGTCGGCTGCCGCTTCCTAGAAGCACGTGACGATGGTCTAGATGGTGCACGGGAAGAGGCGCGAGCCGGAGGGGCCTGAGCAACTGGCTCGTTCGTGCTCGGGGCGGGTGGGATGTTGTTTAGGCTGTTCGCGTTAAAGGATACGTCATCCAGAGGAAGGGGTGAGCCAACAGAAGCGTCGTGTCCGAGTGGGGGGAAAGACTGCATTAAGTAATTCCACTCCATCGAAGAAGTCTGGGCCGTGTCCATCCCTTGAGGCATGCTCATATCGAATTGGGACGTCTGGAGCTGCAGGTGGTGCGGCGCCGCCTGCCTCTGGTCCTGCGCCTGGGCCGGGGCATGAGTCTGAGCCATGTTCTGAATGTCAAACGACTGAAGTGGCGAAGGCGAGTGCTGCTGCTGATTGCTAGTGGGTTGTTGGCCTGGCCTCCGGATCTTGTTGTTCCTAACAAACTTGAGCTTTACTTCGAGTGTATCCTTAATACCGTTCCCGCTGAGAAGCCTCATTCTATTCTCAGTAACCATGCCGGTTACCATGCTCAGGGATTGGTTGTTGTTGGACCCATCGTTTTTGCTCGGATCCAACAGCCACGATAAGACGCCCTGGCCAACAAGTGGCGTGTCGGGCTCTGAGTAATCGTACGCGTAGACAACATAATCGCTATCGGCGGATGGGTCGGTCAGCTCGGGGCTGCATTTTGCTACGGCGTCCAGACAATGCTTGATGTCGACAAGGCCAATGGTCGTGTTCTCAGCGAGTTTCAACGTTTGTATTTGGAAGATGTGAGGGTGTCTAGCCAGGCATCGATCTTCGCTATCTTTGTCAAATGTGTAAAGGACCTTGACTACAGTAAAGCAGATGAGAGTGTCAGTATTGCATATAGGAGCTCCAGCAGAGTGAGATTAGGAAGCTCAGGGTTGAGGATATCACATACGTCCCATGGGCATTTGCTGGAAGCCCAGCTCCTCGTTCCCCGCGGAACTCATAGTTGCCAACCTTCCATTCGAGGGTGGTCAATGAACTCAATGAGCGAGACAGAATCAAAAGATGACGACTAAGGCGAGGGAGGAGGTTCGTGTGTGGTTCAATACAATCCGTGAACCCAGTCACAAAAAGAAGACAATGAAAAAAAGAACCCAGACTTGTCAATTGGGCTAGAGGTGTGGAAAAAGAGAGATTGAAAAGGAGAGGTGACAAGGAGGAGTGGGAGAGTTGGAGATGGAGAGATGAGATTAAAGAGTAGGAGAAGTGAGGGGGAGAAGAAGTAAACAGCTTATGGAGGAAGGAAAGCTGGGGGAAGGAAGCTGGGACTCAGACTCTTGCTGGATCAAGACTCAAAAGGAAGGAACGATGGAGAGGGGACAAGTCCAGATCTCGAATTGAGGCAAAAAGATCTCGATGCAGGTGAAGAGTGGAGGAAACAAGAGGTGACAAGAGGTGATAAGAAAAAGAAAGCCGAATTAGACACTGCCGAAAAAAAGGTACCCTGGCACCAGACGATGGTAATAAAATTACAAGAGGGTTCAGGTCGGTTTGAACAGAACTAAAAATCGATCTTGGTTCTCTAGTTTTTTGGCTCAGGCGCGACGAACAAGCTCAGGTGAAATTGCGGTGGCGGGTTGGATGGGCGACGATGGTGCTTTGGCGCGTAAAGCACGTCGCGTCAAGAGAGGCGTGTAGTGTGTACAGTAGCGTTCTGTATGAGAGTGGAGCTTGCGGTTTCGGGCTTGGGCCAGGCCAGAAGTGGGTTCAATTGATTGATGATGTGCAAGTGTTCAAATGTATTTGGCGTGGGTCCTGTTCCGTCCCATGAGATGAACAGATCTCGACCAAGAAAGAGAATCAAACTAGGGTTAGGATCCTGGGAGAGCCGCTGTGCTGTGCTGTGTGTATATATAATTCTCGTGATGGAATCGTAACGGCGCAAATAACGACCCGCTCCTTCCTTGGACAATGGGGACCCTTCGGCCGGGGGTCTGTCTTTACTGCGACGATAATCGACGGGACCAATTGCTTGTAATTGGATAGGTCCTTATTACACGGTCGATGCCTGCAGGGCATGCAAGGGCGGTGGACAGGGCCTATGTTCCTATGGTACGGAGGACCTATCACCTATCAAGGGGTCCTCGAAACGATTCGATCAAATCAAATCTCGGGATCTTGGTGGACGGCCCTTGGCATCTGGGGAATCAGGAAATCAGGTGTCAGAACCTGAAAATATCCCGCGTCACCAAATTTCTGTGACGTTGACGTGCGCGCGTCGTTAAAACCTCGGCTAAATATCCAGCTGTGGATATTCCCGCGTGCTGAGTGGTTGCTTTGGTTCCAGAGACTTGCAGCTTGCATCTGACGCGGGCGAAAGGCGAAGCTCATGCGTGTAACTCTGTACTTTGTACTTCGTACCTCTCAAGTCCGGGGCTTTAAATCGAATCCTGGGATGTTGATGCCGGACTTTGGTCTCGTCCCACAAACAACTTCTCACACCAAACTCGTTCGAACAATCGGGCTTCTCAAGGGTCAGCCGCCGGGGCCTCCGGAGGTGCTCTCAATCTGGGACTCGAAAGGATGAAGACGAGGGAGAGCAGAGGGAGGAAATATTTCCTTGGGAGAGAGAGGACACTGCCCGTTGCCGCACGCGGGGGCCTTGCTGCCTTTTTATACTTCCGAGAAGAAGAAGCTTTCTATCCCCCCTCGATATGACCGTTTTCATTCTCCATCTCCCCGCTCCAAAGTGTTTGAGAACTTGACATCTTATCGAAGACATATTAGGCTGCCATACCCATTCTCTCTTTGCGTTTCTTTTTGCATAACATACGATCTGGCTCTCAAACCCTTGACCGCTAGACCGAGGCTCTCCCTGTCTCTTCATTCCCCAGAAAGTGAAGCTCTCGCCATCTTCTCCCTCCCCCTCTCTTCCATCATTGATCATTTCACCCCACCCCTCCATCACGTCCATCCCACCAACACATCCAACACGTCTTTCATCCAATCATAGATCCGTAAATCGCTCATTTTCCTACCTTCTCAGGCTCCTGTCGATAATTTTTTGATACTATTCCCACACCGAGAGATGGTTTTTTATTGGCCCGTCACCACGCTCCAAATGTTGACGTCGTCGAACTGTCTTTCATCAAAACAATGTATTACCGAGAACCATTAGAGATGATGTTTTCCATCAAATGTTTTATCATCTTCGGCATTCATTCTCTATTGTATCCATTGTATCCATTGTATCAAAACGTGGTTATCGCCAATGTTTATTTTTATTTTCATCGGCGCCTATTTTCTTTGTTATGATAACAATGAACTGTTTCATTTAAAACACCCATGAGGACCTGATCGAAGTATTACCCGTGGGCATTTTCAACCCTCGGCATCCCCTCCGATGCATCGAAGCTCATGACGCCACAATCACCAGCGAGGCTGGCATGCCCTGATGCGTTCGAACTTACATCGACATCGCTTTGTCGCATAGGATAGAGATCTGTCAATTGACATATGGCATGGGGACAGATCCGGCCTCGAAATGGTACAAATGGGCGAGATTTTTTTTTTTTTTTTTTTCTATTCCTCCAGGCGTTGATGTCTCTATCAACGAAGATTCAACGCCGAGCAATTCTCCGCCAAGGACAAGGCTTGACCCAAGTACACATCAATGCGAAGTAGGCATCACAGTTCTTCTCTCTGATCTTGTGTCCTTTCCGAAAACCTGCTGTTACTTTATCCTCATTGTCTTACAACACTGGGTCTGGTACCTCTCCAAACCAGTCTATTCTAAGGAAATCGAGATGATACAAAAATATTCCTGCGTCAAAAATAGTATAACCCACATCCATCACATCTAGAAGGTGAGCTTTCCCTAAGAAATCCACCTCGCCTTGCCCTGTCCATCCACACTCGTCTTCCTATCCAAAATCTCCTCCACAACAGCCTTAACCCCCTGCCTCCCCTTCCTCCTCCCAACAACCTCACTCACCACCTCTTCCCTCGTCCTCCCCGCATTCCCGCCAGCCAACACCGCCTCCTCGACTTCGCTCTCCGCAGGAACACCGAGGTACTGATGAGGGTACTCGCTATAATCCCTATCCGTCAGGAGCTCGAGCTTATCCTCCTCCTTCACATCCTCAAAGTTGAAGAACGGGCCCGCAGCGTTAGAATCCGTGCTCGCGAGCTCCTCAAGCGTAGCAGGCTGCCACGTAGGCGCCCTCCTCTCGACAAGCAACGCCGTCACGCCCTCCGTAAAATCGGGGTGCTGCATGAACTTGGACGCAATAGCAAGCTCTCGCTTAAACGTCTCGGCGATGCTCCACTTGCCACCGACGCGCATCTGGCGGAGAGTGACGTGTACGGCCGTAGGCGAACGCTTATGCAACGTCTCGAGGGTCCGCGTCGCCCACTCCTTCGTAGCGCCCTCCTCACGCTCCAGCGCCTTCATGATCTCCTCGACGGAGTTGAGGCTGAAGCACCGGTCGATGGCCTTGCGAAGTTCACCGCTAAGGTGCATGGGCTCGTCGTGCGGGACGCCGCTGGCGAACTCCTCGATGGTGTCGTTGATGAGGCGCAGACGCGTCTCGAGGTTATCGTAGTCGCGGAAGCGGAGTTCGCCGAGACGGTTCTCGAGATCGACGAGGCTGGTCGAGTGGAGGTAGTGCGTGGCGATGCCCGAGTAGAACACGTTGGCTCCGTGGAGCCTGTCGCTCGTGAGGGCGAGGTAGGTACCGATGGCGCCGTTCATTCGGGGGAGGAAGAAAGAGGCGCCAACGTCTGGGAAGAAGCCGATCGTGGTCTCAGGCATGGCGAAGACAGTCCTCTCCGTGGCTATCCGGAAGGGAGCGTGGATGCTGAGACCGACCCCGCCACCCATGGTAATACCGTCCATGAAGGCAATATACGGCTTCTGGTAGGTAGCGATATAGTGGTCGAGCTTGTATTCGAGAGCGAAGTACTTGGCCGATTCTCTCCATCCTCCCTCGGTGCGGTTCATCTGGGCGAGGGCGGCAACGTCACCGCCGGCGCAGAGAGCCTTGGGGCCCGCGCCCTTCATGACGACCACGTTGGCCATGTCGGATTTCTCCCATTCGATCATTCGGGGGAGGATCTTGCGGATCATCGACGCGTTGAGGGAGTTGAGCTTCTTGGGTCGGTTGAGCTCGATCGTGCGAAGGCCGTACTTGCTGCCGATGACAACATCGTCGGCCTCGTCTTCGGGAAGGGGCTTAAGCTCGGCGGCGAGGTCCAGGCCGGACTATCAATTGGAGAGGTTCTGATCAGTAAAATTCACCAACGAAAAGCAAGAAGAAAAATAATAAATAAAATAAAATATTTTGGATCGCGTCTTGGTACGAGCTCAGTCGAGCTTCCCAACCTCGTACGACATACCTGAGCCTTCGTGGCAAACGCCCTCTCGTCAAGCTTCGCTCTCAACGGCATAGCTACAACGGCGCTGCGACAGCTGGCACTATACTGAGTAGATAGACGTGCTGTCGAGACAGCTCTGGAAGCAATTGACCGGAACATTGGAAGGCCAGTGATTGGGGTTTGGAGGGGGGGAAAGAGGGCCAAGTCGATCCCTTTCTATATTCCTAGTTCTCCTAGTTGTATATATTCCCCTTCGTGTTGCCAAAGCTGTCAATGGTTCCCGGTTAGAGCAGTTAGATACTCGCCGAGCACATCGATGAAAAGCGTTTGAGCCTCGGCAATTTCGGGTATTAAAGGGCGATGCCAATCGTCGAGCGGGGGAGGGACGAAGGATCGAACACAATTGGAAAAGAGGTTTAGTCTGTATGCGCGAAGCACTCTTTAGGTGTATGTAACTCAATTCTCGACGTTAAGCTTGGGGACCGGCTCTCCTCATCTCTGACGGGGAAATTTTCTGCGAGCCGAGAATAGCCCGCGGATTGAGATCTGCTGGAGTCGATTGGTCTTTGCCAGTGTTGGACGGATGTTGCCAGTGGAATGGTCTGGTAGGCCAAAATTTGGGGGTCCTCAGATACAAGTACCCAGGTATCTCAGCCAGACCCCAAGCCTTGGTGACCTTGCACAGCTGCAACCAATCACATCGCTCGCCCACAAACCTTCCAGATCCAAAATCGCGACTCGAAAGGGCAGCGCAGGCACCTAAACCCCAGCGTCACGAGTCCAAGCCCGCCATCTTCGCAATTCCATTTCTCGTTTCTATTTTCCCGTCTTCGCCTAAGCCGTCGCAACCATGGCCGATCCCAAGATTCAGTACGCCTCCGACCCCCGACTCTTTTCGCACAATACTAACCCGTCCCTCCAGAGAACTCCTCACCAAGCCTCGCAACGAGCTCACGTACGTTCCCACCCCAACTACCACGGCAAGCTCCGTTCCTAACCCGCGTCAATAAAACAGTGAATACGAAATCGCCCAGCTCGAAGAACACGAATTCTCCGCCGGCCCCCTCTCCATCCTCCAGACCGCCGTGCGCTCTCACACCCAGGTCCTCATCTCCATCCGCAACAACCGCAAGCTCCTCGCCCGCGTCAAGGCCTTCGATCGCCACTGCAACATGGTGCTCGAGAACGTCAAGGAGATGTGGACGGAGACGCCTAGGGGGGCGGGTGGGAAGAAGGGAAGGCCTGTGAATAAGGATCGGTTTATTAGCAAGATGTGGGTTTTCGCTTGTTCTTTTTTGGCATATTCATGATTCCTTTTACTTTGTTTCAGCAGCAGCATTTCTACTTGTTTAGAGAGAACATTTAAGGGGCCCCGCCGGGGGTGGGGGTCGTTTCTATCTCGGGGAGCCGAAGATGATGGGCTGCAAGCAGTGATGGGGAGCGTTTGATATAGGGCACATGGCTAACTGTTGACCTCGCAGGTTCCTCCGAGGCGATAGCGTCGTCCTCGTCCTCCTCAGTTAAACCGACTAAACCACACCACACAAGTCGAATAGATTAAACAGAATCAAAATCTCGGCACCATCAACCCGGCGCAGGAAACCAAACGAAGGGTCCAGCTCTCCAACCTATCGAGGGAGTGTGTTTATGTGCCATATTAGGGTTTTGAAAGAAAGTAGAGAGAAGAGAAAAAGCGACTGCGTTATACCCAAAGGCTCAGGAAAGAACAACGCGGGAAAGTTGCAAATTTTCAGGTTCGTGGCGCAGCATCTAGGTCCCAGTCATGAGGATAGATTTTTATGTTTTTTGGAGCTGTTCGGTCTATTCTTGGGAGGTTGATCGTTACACCGTTGCGCTCTAGCTATGGAATAGGAAGAAGATCACTGCGGTGGATGGATGGGCATCCAGCAAAAAAGAAAAGTATTCCAAAAATCATTCTGTTATGAGGTAGGGAGGGGGTAAGGAGTTCTACAAAAGGGTTGAGGTAATGAAAGAAACACACAAAACTTGAGCAATACCAGCAAAACAATTCCTCCAACAGCATCCTCGGTGATATCATAACCCTCCCAATTCTCCTCCAAACGCGGACTATCCTATTACATCCTAACCTCAGAATTAAACCCTTCTCACATCGACACTCACACACTCTCTATATATATCTCTAAACTGCCTCCCATCCCTCCTCCTTCGGGTCCGACCCCGCAAGACCCGAAAAGAAGCACGCCAACCCCCACGCCCCAGGGTCCGGCACCTGCTTAAAGCCTTCACCGCCAACATACACCGACCGCCCGAGCGCAGGCAGCATACCCTTAGTGCGCTCAGCGCCGAGTCTCGCGCCACGAGCCGCCTTGTCCTTGTCGCCTGTCTTGACTAGCACGTCCACGAAGGGATTAAGCGCATCAACGAGGGTGCGGTCGCCGGGGCGCGCGGGTGTGTATTTGCCTAGCGCATCGGCGCTCTTCTGCAGCGCTGAGCCCCAGACGGCGGGGGTGGCCCTTCCGGGTCCTTGGCTCCGTAGGGAATGGACAAGTGCGTTGAGGAAGATGGAGAAGAGCGCGCCGGAGGTGCCGTCCATGGTGCTCTCGACGACGGGGACAATCTTGGCCACGTCGACAACTACATCGCCCGTGAAGGGGTTTTCGGTAATGTGCTTTAGGACGGCTACACATCGAATTAGTGAATTTCGCCCTCCACTTACTTTCAAGGAAAGGGACTTTATATGACAACATACCTTCGGCCCCACGCTTCAAGCCAATTCCGCAATCACCATCACCAACAACCGTATCGTACTTGGTAATCTCCGGTTCCGCTGAAATCAGCCTCTCGAGACCCTTTGTTAGCGCGGCAGTGGCAGTCTGAGTATCCCACTTGAGGCCACTCTCCTTGATGGGCTTGTTCGCATCGACAGTATCTGTCCTCTCGGCCTTATTCTTCTCCTCCCAAGTCTTCTTGGGGACCGGGGCCGACCAGCCTGTCGCCTCACAAGGGGCATCCAGCAGCTCAATCATGCCCGGACCGCCAATATCAGTGTTGACGACGTTCAGCAAGGTGATGCTGAAGCCAAGGCCGTTCAGGCTGGTCATGAAGGTACCGCTAATGATGCGGACGGGACGAATCTTCCACGTCTTCTCGAGCTGTTCGACAACCTCGGTGGTGATACCGGCCAATTCCAGAACGCTCACGCCTCCGAGGTTGTTAACGAGAAGAACAACCTCGTTCGAGTTGACGTGAAGGAAGTGTCGATCCCTGTCGTTGGGGTCGAGGAGCTGAGCGAGCATCCTATTGACGAGCTCGGGGAGTTCAACTTTCGCGCGACCCGAACCAGGTTCATTATGAATGCCCATACCGAGCTCGACCTCGCCAAGAGCGAGCTTCTCCTGGGCCGAGTCGGTGAGGGACCTCCCGGGAACGTGGACGTGCTCCAGACTCGCCCCAACGCTGACAAGGTTCTCGGCGGTAAGTCTTGCAACCTTAGCAACCTCCGAAAGAGGCCGTCCCAGGGCGGCGAGCGCCCCAGAAATCTTGTGCACCAGAACCGTACCCGCAATGCCCCTCCTTCCCACCTTTCCTCCCTTTTCCCTACCGACACCGACATCGTCCGCTACGACAACCATCTCCACGTCGATACCGGCGGCCCTCGCCTTCTCGACGGCAACACCAAAGTTTAGCACGTCACCAGTGTAGTTCATGACAGTAACGAGCACACCACGCGAGGTATCGACGCGGGACTGGACACCGGTACGGATCTGCTCAGAGGAAGGCGAGGCGAAGATGGTACCCGAGACGGCGGCGGAGAGCATACCGTGGCCTACCATGGCGGCGAAGCTAGGCTCGTGACCAGCGCCGCCGCCCGAAACGATGGAGACCTGGCGGGGAGCATAGCTGGGTCGGCGGTAGACGATCTTGTTGGCGGGGTCGAGGGCGAGAGAAGGATTCGTGTAAGTGAGACTCCGGAGAGCAGAGTTGACGAGGAGGGTGGGGTCGTTAATGAAGTGCTTGGCCGACATGTTGAAGGAAGTTGAGGAGCAACAGAGCTCGGAGGACGCACTCTGAACTTGAGGGGGAGGAGTAACTGCTTGGTCTGATCGTGAGTAGGTCATGTCGAATTGAAATTGACTCTGGAATACCAATACGAGCTAGGAGGGCCCAATAAAATTTTAACAGTAAAATAAAAAGTAAATTCCCCTCCTTCTGCAGAAAATAAGAGTAATAATGATCCCGCGAGGGCCTCAAAGGCTTGACATGTGGGTTGTCTTGACAGCTAAACTAGTAGAAGAAGCAGCACAAGGTCGGCGAACAAGGAGCAGAAGCAGAGTAGTTGACGAGTCTCGACTTGCTCATCGAAAGCTGAAAGCGAAAAAAGCAAACAATTGATAGAAGTATTGGAGATCTCTCGCTCTCGCACTCGCCCTCGCTCTCTCTCCCATGCCGTCGGTCGCCATTCCCGAGCGGCAATCTTGAAAACGCTGCCGCTTGAAATTGGAGCTACTTACGTTTCTTTCGTTAGTCCGGACGGAAAGTGTTAGTGTTGTGGATACACCGCTGTCGCTGGGAATCGGCAGTTGTGTATCCTTGCCTTTGGACGCGGGTATTGCCTCGGTTTGCAATAGTTAAAGAAACCTGTCTCGTCCGGTCTCGCTGTGGCAGTTGTGCGTGTGCTTGTAAGATTTACTCTGGGTTTGGAAACATCACGGTTCGACTTCTCCAAATGCCGATATTTGAAGCTCTGCGGAGCTCCTGCCTCGAGTTGTCTCCCCACCCCACTAGTCCGAGCTTAGAGGCTACAATTCAGTTGTTACTTCCTCCTTGCCTGGAATGGCTGGTAATTCCTGCCATTTCTCGCCAACAAGTGACCCCGCGACATGGGCTGGTGCGGGGTAAAGAGCAGGCAGGCAGGCAGGCACCTTGGGGGTCAGGGAAGGAGCACAGGAACGTCAACGGCGGCTTCCGACAGTGTTAACTTCACCTCAACTACAATTATACTTTGTAGGCAACAACTGACACCACTTCGCCCCGATAATTCATGTCAAATCATGCGTACGGCGATCTCGTCTTGTTGGATCTTCATGATGCAGAGTGGGAAGTAGGACAGAAACGCTTCGGCGGTCAGTGATTTAGAACGCAATTGCATGATGCAGCTCGTCCTGCCTTGGGAAATCGAAAGACCAATACACAATACGGAGTAATCAAGGAACAAACTTATACTTTACCCCTATAAATGTATCTATTCGATATAGCAATGTTCATGGGCGCTCTTGCAATTACTCTGTGTAATTCTCGAATGCCATCAAGATGTTCCAAGTCCCGGCGGTCATCAATGTCCAGCTCTCGCCCAGGGCACACACACGCATACATAAGACACACATTCGGAGTCGAAACGGATTTCATATAAATTAAGCTTACGGGATACCTTAGTACAAGAAGGGAGCAACCGCACGGTAATCTGAAGTCCCAGAACTGAGATTACCCCGGGCTGCCCTCCGATGAGAACGCGAAGAGTCAATAGGAGATGCTGAGGATGGTATACTCGGAGAATAATGTTAGGGTTGTAATTTTGGTTGAGAGATAGATCCTAAACTACTCGTTGACAGTACTCGTCTAGTATGATGATCCTCCGACTCCGAACTGCCAAGTTTCCCGTGCTAGCACAAGACCGAGCGCAAGCCTTCGTTTATTAGGGTCCATATGACGCCTTTCCATTTTAATCGCCAACAATCATCGAAACCAAGAAAGAGAAAGAGAAACAAGAAAATCCACAAACGCCTCGTTCTCCCATCACCACGCGCGCAAGTCTAAGGACTCAGAACCCACTCTATACTACATTATATTCTTGCCCAGTCATGTGCCATTACAGTCTTTTGTTTTATCCAAACCCCGGAGGAAGAAGAAGAAGCGAAGGGGGGCAGAGTATGGGTAAAAAGTTGAAATGATGCAAAAAAAAGGGAATAAAGGATTCGGGTCTCGTCGTTCGTGTAAACCGTTGTGCTATTCCAAGTTTCCGTCGAGGGGAATGTCCCTAAAGTTGGCGTTTGGTGGAGTCCTATCCAACATGAACCCAAACCTGTCCTGGTTGTGCTTGAGGAAGCTGGGGATATTGTGGTTGGGAGCGACATAGTCGAAGAGGTTGTTTTTACGATCAAAGCTACAGAAAGCAGTCAATATGACAAGAAGGGGGGTCCCGGGTGAAAGAAGAAGAAAAAGGGAAAGAGGAGGGAAAAGGGGGCGGGTAAGAGTGTGAAGGGGGATCCAACTTACAAGTCCTTCCCAAACCGCACCCTCTGAAGAATCTTCTTCGGATCCTTGAACTCGGGCTTATTCAACTCCTGATGCGAAAAGCTATTCACCTTGCCAACCGTCTCTTCCATCGTGCTGAAGCAATAGCTGCAATGCCAAGCGCCATGCTTGAAGTAGTAGTCGTCAGCGTCGATCCTTAGGTCATTAGGTTGGATCGTCTCCTTCCCTCGCCAGAGCGTCGCCTGCGGACTCTTCCACTCCTCCCTTGAAAGCCACTCGAACGAATAATAGTAAAAGTCGCTGTTGATGGTGATGCGCAGCGGGACCTCGCAGTTGCGGAGCGCCTCGAGCACAGCCGGCTTCGGAATCTCGTCGACGTCAGAAACGAGAAGGACGTCGTCCTCCGACGGCGCTTGGTCTCCCTCGAGGAAGGGGAGAACCTGGGTCATCATGGCGTTGCGGGACAACTCCTCGCGAGCCCAGGCGTTGGGGTTCTCCTTCAGTTCGGAAAAGTCCACGGTGCGGCGAATCATCTTGTCGTGGTACTTGGCGTAAATGTCCCAGTTCTCCGCTATATAAAGCTTCTTGGCGTTACCAGTGAATGTCACATCGGCCTCCATGATGATAAAATAGTCGACGTAAGGATACATTTCTCCAATGCGCACTTCGAGCATCTCGATCTCGGTGTTGATGAGCAAAAGGTCGTAGATCTTGCGCCGGCCGACGCGCTCGGGGTCGAACGGCTTGAAGCGGTACCTCTCGCAATAGTCCTCCGCGGCCTTACCCTCGTAGACCCTGATGTCGGTCGCATTGTTGGCAGGAAGATCTTCTGGCGGGCCGTGGTTCCACTGAGAGCTCATCGGCGGTCTCGGGCCAGGCTCTTGAGGCGGCGGAGGCGGCGGAGGCTCATCGTCGGTGTAGAGATGGGCATCACTGAGCCTGTAGACGAACCATATGAAGACGAGGGCTGCCACGACGGCGAGAACCTTATTAGGGTTCACCGGTGACCGCATCATCGCGACCTCTGCTTGTGGTTTTGGAAAAGTAGGCCCAAATGTAGAGGTCGAGAAAAATTAGAGTTTAATTTTTTCTTAAATCACTCGCGGCCGGGGGCAGAAAAACGACACTCTCCTCCAGCTATCCCGGACGTCACAAGAAAAACGAAAAGAAGGCGAGAGAGCGGTCCTTTTGGGGGAGAAGGCAAGGCATACAAAGTGACAACACGAACTTGAGGAAAAGCAACAACAGAATCCAGTTCGACATGGGCTAATGCATGATGTACAAGTAGGTCGGCGGAGAGTGACATATGAGTGAATTGCCCCCGGTCCTCACCCCTTGTCCCACTTCAATATTCCTTCATTCTTTGCGAGTCTAATCCGGGACATCCATTCAGCCCACCCCTTTCCCCCTTTGCTCCGGGGGTACTAATTAGGAACCGACGCAGAGGAATGCATGGGATTCGTCTTATATTGTCCAATGGGAGGCTGGCTCGAGTCATTCGCTGGTCAGGAACAATGGATGACATTGAAGGCTGAGTCTAAATCCTTGTTGACCAGCAGGACGGAGGAGTTGGTGAGACTCTGAGTGTGTTGCACTTGATATGAGGGCACCGCGACTCCGCTTCAAGCTTTTTCAAGACGCCCTGCTGGATGAAGGAGACGTAAGCCATCCTGCAAGGTGAAGCAAAAGTTCAGCTTGGCGATCTGGGCTCGTCCTGAACTGCCATATCAGGAGAAACCGTCCAACCCACCTGCGGGACTGCGGACATGCAGTGGTCAAACCGACAGTGCACTACGAAGTACTTCGTGCGGCGAAACATTGGGCCGCTGGCATTTTAAGGTCAGGTCGTACAAGTACATGATGTGCTTTGTACCTCAGAACAGTGTTTGCCCAAATCCTCGATATGGGGGCGCTAGGGGAACATCAATAGTGTACAAGTAGTGCAAATTCGGAAAGCTCGGGAGTAAAAGGCGATTTCGAGCTTAATTAAACTTCCGTTCTTATCTCCCTTGCCTCAAGTAGTTTGCAAGAAGTACGAAGCCAACTCTCCCTTCGGTGCCTGAGAAGAAGCAAATGGTCAAGACAATAAATAAATAAAATAAAATGAAATGAAATGAAAAAAACGAAAACGAAAACGCAGCGTTAGTTTCTCCAGTTTGAAGGCTCGACAGAGTTGGGGATCCGCCTTGGCATTGGGCCTTCGCGCCTCCATGAACGGGCTGGAATTGCATTGATTCCGACTTCACTCTTCATTCCCAGTTCTCACTGTCAGCCTCATACACCAATGAAGAGGTCAAAAAGGCGGTTTAGTAAGCGAGTCGCGGTGAACGCGGGCTCCGAATTGTTTCTCGTACGACAAATACCAGGTTCTTGTACGACAAGCTAACAAGAGCCAGCCAATTAAATTCTTCGGGCCGTGGGAATGCAACATCGTATCAGTGAATGCCACGGTACATCGTGGCCTTCTCCCGAAGTAGAGATACCTCGCAACAATGTCGCAGAAGTCTCGGACCAGCACGCCCGGATGCAGGCGAGGCCAATAATCATGCGCCGGGTGTTACCAGGTGAAAGGGGGTGATATCGCAACCGAGCCGGAGGGTGTGAGACAGGATGGCAGCATGATTGGTCGTGATGGTGAAAAACTGCTAGCCCTGTCGATAGTGAAGAGTGACAGGCGAAAGAGCGACATATTGATTGGGGACTAAAAAAGGCAAAGGCTCTGCGAAGTGAATTTCCCAGAAGGGAATTGCCCATGTCAGTTCAAGTACCTTTGCATGTCGCTGCCAAGCGGTTTCAGAGATCAAAATTAATTCCATCCTCGATCCCCACATGGACGAAAATTTACGCTTCATTGTCCTCTCGGTCGTTTAAGGACAAAAGCACGAAGGATTCATCGGCGTCGTCCCTTTCAGGAAAGAGGACACGCTGGGCAGCGGCGCAGCTCGAGTCTCCCGGCTATGTTAGGTAATGGATATACGATCAATGAAGCGCCAAGGCGCCGATTGATCATGGGATTGTACCGGGGCCTGGGGGAAGAGTGATCAGTAATAGCACGAGAAAGGCCGCTTCTCAACGGCGGATTCTAGCACAGAGATAGCAGCGTTCGCGCGAGATCTGCATGCATCGATATATTGGCAGGGGCTGAAGTACGCAAGTACAAAGTCGCCGAAAGAAAGGGGACATGTCTCAATCCGAGACGTTTTCCCCCTCTCTTGGGCTCGGAGAATGAGCGACAGGTGGTTTCGTTTAAAGCCCGGTTGTCCTTTAAATAAGTAAGTTTAAGCCAAAGTCATGATCCAAATCGGAGTGAAAAACTATTTGTCTTTGACATGCAGTCAAAAGCATGATCCATGGTCCTATCTTTTCAATACGACCCTTCTAGCGCCATTACTTCGTGTGTAGGGTTGGAGCCGTGAAATTCCCCTGGCACCCTTGTTGCATTGTTCCTCATGAGACTAGGCTGGGTAGTAGTGCGGTATTGTCTAAGAATAGCACTGAAGGTGACGGTCTGCTCCAGATTGGTCCGGTTTAAGGGTATTTCCTAGGGCGCTGCCTGCCAGGAACAACACCACCCAACACGCAGGGCTAGTTTAGCGCTCTCTTTATTCCAGACTTTGCCGTTGGGACTTATGAAGTAGGAGGTCCAAGTACTACGACGGCGAAAGTACTATTCCTCTTTCTGCTTCGTACAAAGTAATTTACATGTACCTACACTACAGAGTGCTACTTCGTAAATCTCCCTTGGATATGACATCGTATGTGTACGAAGTACTTCGTAGACTATAATACTACCTCGCATTGAATTCAACGGCGCTCGAACTGGGGGCCGCTCCCCACGTGTTAGTCCGACCTGTGAGATCAGCACCGTCTGCATTAGCAGGCTCCAATGTCATGACAATTCGCTTCACAACCAGGGGCAGGCAGTATGAGGTAATACATGGTGGAAGTGATGCATTTGGCTCAAATCCATGATGCAATTCAAGGTTTTCCAGGCAGGGTCTGGTCCGAATTAAGCCTGCCTGCCTGTTAGAATCCCCCCGAAACCGTTGAACACAGCTCCATCCACTGTCTCTTCTGAAAGCTACTTCTCACTTCGGACTTCGTTCAGGTCCAAACTCGACTACAAGTACTTCGTACACCCCATGCACGCCTCCCACGATCATTCCCGCACTTGTGATGTAATCTGGTACACCTAAGTTCACGAAGTACTTCGTACACTATATTTCCCGAGGCGCAGGGGGCACAGCACAATGCACATCCAGTGAGGTCTAGAACCCCACGCCATTTTGCTCATGAATGCCTCGCACTACGAAGTAGCTAATGTAGTTTAACGGCGGACTTTTTTAATTTTTTCCTTTTTTTTTTTTTTTTTTTTTTTTTTTTTTTTTCACAGTCAATCAGAATCATGGATGGCTCATTACCGAACGTTCCCCTGTCAGAAAAAGCGAAGCGAGTGGGAAGGAACTAAAGTTTTGGTAGGAACCAAAGACTCGACATTCGATAGTGCCATGCGCCACACTTGCTCAACGTTGATAAAAAGTGTCGCTTTCAGACAGAGGCGAAGACATGTCAAACACTAGAAAAATATTGAGCACAAGAGGTTGATGTCGGTGTCCACATCAGTGTTGATATCAATTGATCTATGGATCTTGCACCCCAAACCCCATTCAGTCACATTTATGCCCTCAAAAGTTGTCTTTTGATCTCCTCCAATCAACTTATTTACAAGGAGAAACCTGGCGGGTGGGAACCAGGGATTCGTTCCAAATCCGTCCCAGGTTGAAAAGGAGTTTGCTTCGTCCGAAAGAAGCATTATTTTTCAGCCTTGTTAAAGGATCATCATACAGGTGGTCTCTGAGTTGCCTGCCAAAGTATGGAGCGTGAAGTAGTGTACCTCTCAGTCGTACAAGTACTACGGTACTTGCAGATCTCTTCCTCCTTCGTTTACGGAGGAGAGGCATAATGTACTTCGAACAGAGAACGCAAAGGATACGAAGTACGAGGTACGAGATGACTTGGTCTGCATCGAAGGATGCGCTAAGGTTAGGTCCTACCATTCCTCACAAGTATAGGTCCAACTTTATGTAAACAGTACTTCGCACTTTCGCCTCAATAATTATTCAGGTGTTTCATTGTGACTGCTTAAATTGTTCTGTTCTTGCAGGCGGAACACAGATTTGGTCTCACCCTGCCACGGCTTGATCCTTCTGAGAGACACCGCCACGCCCCTTTCCGGACAGGAACTCAAATCGGATCAGTTGGTCCCAGGTCTGGAATCTGCATTGATTTCGACCAGCGAGTCGCCGTCCCCCCAAAAGCTCCCGCCAATATCCATGCTCCAGCCTCGACCACGCCCGCCCCCTGGAAACTTTCTTACCCACATTTTCCCGTGCAACGATTCCCCATTATTACGATGTTCCTTCTTGGCACGACCGCAGCCTAATGAGAGCAACTTCCTTTCACTTTCCCGCCTTTCCTTACCTTCACATCCAACATTCCTTGCGACGACGACATTTTCTCTTGGTCCCTCGCTCGCTATTAACTTTATACCTCGACTCGTGTCCCGCACGAGGACTCGAGGCAGTACGCTTCTAGCCCTGCTCCTTTTTGGACATTTTTCCCACCTCCGACGTGTCCTGATTTTGTAGCCGATCCCGTCCCTCGTTGAGTTGAGCGCCAAACCGAAGATCGCCAAGATGTCGAATGAACTCCCCGTTACTGAGAAGCCGGGGGCGCCCGGTTTCTCTCTTCATCCCGGATTTTACATTCTGTATGGACCTTCCTCCTGGACCCTTTTTTTGTGATGGTCTGGCCTTTCCCGGGCCGAGCAGCGAGCTATCCGCGTCCCGGGCTGGTTAGACGCGCCTTGGAGACCTGTGGAAAACTGTCGCTGACGGCGCCATCTTTGTAGAAACTGGATGTTCTTTTCAAATATGACAATTCTGTTTAACAAGTGGCTGATTGACACCGCGGGATTCAGTATGTTAATTTTTTGCTCGCCCGCCAAAACTTAAGTTCTCGACTAACGCGCCGCTCCCTAGGATATCGTATGTAGTGTAAAACCTCACGCAGCCCAGTCCGCCGAGTTTTCTCGGCCAAGGGAAAAGCGGCGATGCCCAAGCTTGCGGCCGGCGATTGCGACCCAGGCCGCCCTAGACTTCCGTTGCTAACGTTGAATCTCTTACTAGCCGTCCTGCTAACATGTTGGCACCTGGTCTTCGCGACAATCGCAACCCAAATCCTCTCGCGGACCACCTCCCTCGTCGACGGCCGCAAGAAAGTCAAAATGACTGGCCGCGTCTACCTCCGCGCCGTCGTCCCCATCGGCGTCCTCTACTCGGGCTCACTCGTATGCAGCAACCTCGTGTACCTCTACCTCAATGTAGCCTTCATCCAGATGCTCAAGGCGTCGGGCCCCATCGCCGTGCTCTTCGTCAGCTGGCTCTGGGGAGTCGCGCACCCCAGCTTCGAGAATATCGTTAACATTGTCGGTATCGCTGTTGGTGTGGCCCTCGCTAGCGCCGGCGAGATTGAGTTTTCGTGGATCGGGTTTATGTTCCAGTTCGCCGCTGTTATCTTCGAGGCTATGCGACTTGTCATGATCCAGATTCTTCTGTCGGGAGATGATATGAAGATGGATCCACTTGTCAGTCTTTACTACTACGCTCCTGTTTGCGCCGTCATGAACTTCATCGTCTGTCTTTTCACGGAGTTCCCGTCGTTCCAGGTGGCGGACCTTGTGCAGACGGGCCCCTTCATGCTTATCCTTAATGCGGGTGTTGCGTTTATGCTCAACGTCGCTAGCGTCTTCTTGGTAAGTATGGACACCACTTTATATCGGGTGTTGTATTTCATTCCCAGTCCCAGATAGGAGTCACGATTACTAACGATCTGTGTAGATCGGCAAGACCTCCTCGCTCGTTCTCACCCTCGCCGGCATCTTCAAAGCCATCCTCCTCGTCATCGCCTCCGTCATAATCTGGAACACCACCATCACCTTCCTCCAATTCTTCGGCTACTCCATCGCCCTCTTCGGCCTCGTGTACTACTCCCTCGGCTGGACGCAGATCAAGAACCTCTCGGCCGCCACCTCCACCTGGGTCTCGGGCGCCTACGCTAGCGGCTTCAGCGACACTCGCGGCACCCCGCGAGTCAAGCGTTACGTGACCATCGGCCTTGCCGTTTTCATCGGCTTCATGCTCCTCGTCGGGCTCACGAGGGGGTCGTCCGGCTCGACTACGCCTATGCGGTCGCCCGATTCGGAGGGTTGGGGGTTTGGTTGGATGTCTAACCTTGGGTGGGGTCAGTGATTTTCTGGACTCTCCAAGCCGACGCACCTCGCCACTTGGACGAAGCGGTGAATGTGTTGCTTTTTTCACGGCCTCTGTACTTCCATGTTTCTTTCCCACCACGGATAGTGGTTTTTATTTTTATTTCCGGACCCCCTCCTGAGAATACGACTCTACCCCTCTCCATCGTTACCCAACCTTATCCGGGTAACGTTGGGGAGGTCGAAACGACATGGCGGGAGTATGTCTGAGTGGTTGGACTACTTTTTTTCTAATATAGCAGGGGGAGTTTTGGGCGTACGACGTTGATGGAAATTTGATTTTTACATTTTCTGGAAAACCCCGGATTCTAAGGGGACGGATAAACTAATGGGCACATTCATAAACGACGATTCCTCGATACTTGAAGATCCGAAGAGCTACGGACAAAAAAACAAAGGGGGCACGTTGTTTCCCCAACGATTTTGCATGGATAATTTAGACGGGGATGTTTGTCGCTTTTAGAAGAGAAAAGAGAATCTTTGAATGAGATAGATGGCAGCAAGCTCATGGATGATTTTGAAAAAAAAAAAAAAATTTAATCAAGAAGATTAAAAAAAAAAAAGAGTAAATAAAAATAAAAACGACTTCAGCGAGAAAAGAAATATTCGATGCACTAGCCCGGAATCGAACCGGGGGCTAGTCGAAGCTGCGATTGATGGCAACGACCAATTTTACCACTAAACCACTAGTGCTTCTGATTGATGTTGTTTCAGAGTGTCGTTGTGGTACTAAGCGGGTTCCAGTTCGCTTCTCTGCACCTCGACGTGACGAAGGGGATTCTGGGTATCAGTATCGTTTTGCTCTTCTGGTTCCAATTCTATCACAACCGAGAGGAGAATATCCCAACCACGGTCCAAAGGTACCAGCTTGACACTAGAAGATGCGGCCACGTTAATCTCGGGATCTAAGCGAAGTCTCCATGGTGATTATATCATCAGACTAATCTCATTCGATACCAAGACAGCGAGCAAGAGGTGATCTAAGAAGAGGAGGACCTTGGAACAAGTTTCCAAATTTGGTGTAATAGTACGTAGAAGCAGACTCGGACGTGTACAGTGAACAGAACTCCCGCTTTCATCTCATCACCTTACAATTCCCTCCCCTCTGCGTTTTTACACTTCTGAGAGCGCTCCCATACCCGCTACAGCCCATCTACACATGTCATCATGTTTACGTCTTCAACGCTTTTCAACCTCTGCACCCGTGACGTCATCCACCTATGCCCCTCCTTCCCCAGAGAACAGAGGACAGAGGTCATGTCTACTATGATGACAGCAATCTGACTTGGAGCTACCCCCGAGTTGGGGATTTGGCCAATTGGCGAGTCTGGGAAATGGGCATTTCGTAGGGTACGGAAAGCTTCTAGGGTCTTTTGCGTCGATATGAGATGTGGGAAGGAGAGGGACGGGGTACCTCTGGGTAGCTTCGTAGGATCATGAAGTCAGAGTGGCACAGATTCGTTGGTATGGGAGAGACTGAGAGACTTTGATCTCAGTAATCAGGCTCAAAAGGAAAGGGCCAGTCATCGTATTCTTTTCGTTCTGTACAATACTATTTATTCATCACATTGAAAACGATTTGGTCGACAAGGCTCTCCCACCTTCGAATCATCATCATCGTCATCATCATCGTCATCATCCTGCATCTACACTCTTAACTCGATATCGCAAACTTATTATTCGACCATGTCTCTCACAAAAGTACACCCGCTTCGCACCCTCACAAGGGCCCGAATCTCTCCACGAACCCCTCTCGCACACTTCCGGCGCAGATACGCAGCCGAGGACAGCAACATTGGCGGCGCAAGTTCAGGCCCTACTAATAAGGGCCCTCAGAAAACCTCCCCCTTGTAAGCCTCCTTTCCCTCCTTCCCCTTCCATATAGCAAAAGACCGGGACCGTCGAAAAGATATCCGTTTATGTCGAACGGCTTCATTTCTATCGAAAAAAACCTAAGAAAGAATATCGCAAAACTAACCCAAAAAAAAAAGGCTCCCGATAACCCTCGCCGTAACAATCCCCGCCCTTGCCTGGTTCTTCTGGGGTACTTCCCGCACAACACCTACAACCGCCAAGAAAGCTCTCACAGGCGAAAAGCCTTCGGATTCCGTCAATAGGCAGAAGGGTGGGTCGTTTAATGAGGAGCCTAGCAGGACCGTCCCTATTGTGCAGACGACGGGGAAGGAGGAGAAGCCTCCCTCTACGGAGGCGGCAGCCTCGGATGAGGTGAGGTTGGAGTCCGAGGTATGTTCTGTATTGGGAGGCCAGTAGACGGAGTGTGGAGGTTGTTGGGAGACGGCCGCTGACGAAGTGGGTGTGTAGAAGAAGGAAAAGGGGAATACCGTGACGGGGACGAAGACATCTGCTTCGGGGGTTGAAGATGGGATTTGAGAATGAGAAGGGGGGAAGTTGACTCTTGGCTTGGAGAGGATCTTTTATCGTGGAATTGGCGCCTCCAGGTTGATAATGTACACACATACAAGCATCGATGCAGCTTGGTGTGTTGATATCAATATGTCTATGCGACGAATTATGGGTTGTTATTATTAGTTTCTAGTTCAAAATTGAAACTTGTGGGTTGGCCGCTTCTATGTGTTGCCTCCTCTTCTACATATCAGTTCACCTCATGTTAACGGACTTGGACAGGACTGGATAGAGCTGATACAAAGCCTTATCCAGACCGTCTAATTGAGACTCGCGAACCTCTGGGATGCGACGCCAGCTTGGAAGGTTGAATGCCAAATGGGAAAGTCTTCCATCGTTCCAGTGTCCTCCTTCCAGGCATGTCGGATGCGCTTTCCCAGATATCGCAACACAAACAGGATCTTCTCGCCATGGGGGAAACAGCACCTAACGGAGAGATAGAGATACTGTGATACTTCAATGTTGACCATTCAGTCTGGTTAAGGGAACTTATTTCTACTGAAAGCATACGATACCATTTGTTCATATAATGATCCCGTCAATCTGAATTCCAAACTTCATTTTCTACCCAATATCACCCCCCATCATTAAGCCTCCACCTTATGAACCCAAGTGTTATATTCCAACATGTCTTTAGAAGCCACCGTCGACTACGTCGAAGACATCCTCGGCCGACTCCCCCAAGGCACCAATCGTGGTCCATGGTCGCCCACAGTCCTCCGTATCCTCTCCTTCACTTGCCCGTTCGTCGTGTTCGGTCGCATCAATCACCGCCTGGACGACCTCGAGCAAGGCGGCGATGGCCTCGGGACTCCCAGCTGCGACTGCAACCGAGTCTGCACGCTATCGTGTTTCCATACATGCTGCTGTTTCCTCTGCTGTTGTGCGTTTTGCATCGATTCACAGCCAACCATCCCATCATGGAAACCCCACAGACACAATATCCAGATGCTAACATAGAATGGAAAAAAAAGTCTCGATCGGACACGAACTCACATGGCAAAGAGAACGAGCCCGCGGCTTCGGCCTCAAAGAAGCCGAACGCTTCGAGAACTTCAGAGCCTGGTGCCTCCCATGTACCTTCCTCGTCGAGAGCGAGGAGCAAATATACGAGCTCTGCGCGGAGCGAAACCGCCGCCGTCAAGAGCTCGCGGGGTACGAAGCCAATGCCCCGATGACCATATCGCCCTGGGCTGGAGGCCGCTGCGACGATCCGGACAACTTGTGTGGGACTGTCCTTGGCGAGTTTTTGTCCGAGCATCCCTGCGAGGGCGCGGTGGCGGCGCAGACCGGGCTTGGGTTTATTTCGCCGACGCTGGAGCCTGTGCGGGATGGGGGTGTGAGAAGGCAGGGTGGGGTGTCGCGGTTTAGGACGAGGTTGGATGATATTGAGGAGGCGAAGAGTTCGAGGGGGAGTGAGAATACACTCAAGACTTTGGACATGGTGCGCGAGAGTAACAAAGGGTCTTCGGATCCCGTGGCTGCCCTGGATTCCGATGCTGGCGAGGGTTCTTCCAAGGCGAACGTGCCAGATGCTGGCCGGATGAGAGCTCCCACCCTCACGCTGTCCGGAGCAAGCGGTTCGTCCGTGGAAAAGGACGTGCCGTATAAACCTCGCTCCAATGTGGTGGGGATCGCTTGGACTCGACCCCAGGATCGTCGTTCCCGCTCCCACTCGAGCATGTCTCATCCCGCCGAACGGAGCGTGGAGGAAATGAGGTTCTCTAGCACGGACGAATGCGACATCGCCACCGAGCCTGGCAATCCTGAGATGGCCCCGCAGCCTGTGCTAGCTCAAGAGCAGCAAGCATCATCTACAGCTTCCAACTCGCAGAATATCCAATCCGACGGCCGCGGCGCCGAGATTCCTACGCTGGTAGTATCGCCCCCGAGTTCCTCCCTGGCGCAAACCAGTAAGCCAGACCAAGGTCGCAAAGCAGTGTCTACGGAAAAGTCTAGTTATCAAACTGCCCAGGGGGACGGGAACGAGGACTCGCAGTCTGGTGAATGGGATGTCAGGATGTACGGGTCTGTGAGCAAGATTAGAGGTAGGAGTGTGAGTGGGAAGGGGAAGGGAGCGCAGACTCGGAGCTCGAGTGGGAGATCGTTTGTTTCTGTTCCCGAGGGTTCTCAAGGATAGAGTAAGGGTATGTCTGTTTTTAGTTTTTTTTGGTTGCGGGTTGGGTCTTGTTACTTGGTTGTGCGGAGGAGTTGGGAGTTGAATGAGGCCATTCTGGAGTGAATGAGGACTTGTTGGAAGAGTTTGTAGTGAAAGTGAGAAAGGACTGTGACAAGAGTGTACAGATTAGGAGGCATTGTTAGTTCCAAAGATGGTATTATCTCGAGATTTCTCTATTCCTCTCCACTTGCCCCCTTCCAGGTTTACTCCGTTGTTTGTCTTCTTGTGCCCTCTTGACGCCGAACACCACCTGGGCCAGTTCAGACTTGCCTCAGCTCCTCACGTCAAAGTGCAACCTCTAGGTCGCACGCCAAGAAAGCAAGCTGAGTCTGATGAAGCCTCGACACTGGTTCTATTTCGTCCGTAGATGCGAGACATAACCTTCTTCTTCTCCCATTCCCTTCTCTCCTCTCTCCTGGGATTCCATCAAGTTGGTTTCCAGCCTTGCGTCCCAAAGGATTCTCGCGTACTTGTGTCCTCCGACTCTCCTGCCTCCCCAATAACCATATGAAAACAGCTTGAGGGATCAAAATAAAAAGGAAGGAAAAAAGATCCCACCAAAACACAATCCCAGAAACCATGCAATATTTCATAATTTTTTTTTTTTTTCTGTTTCTTGCATTTTCCCTGTTCTGAAAATCTTCAACTGCGCGTTTTACCTACAAATTGTAAAAAAAAGACAACATTTGTAAAGAAAAAAGATTCTCATCTGTTCTAATCGACTCAACTCTCCGACGGGTATGCTTTCGATCTGCACTTATTTGTCCTTCAGCCTCTCGGCTCTTATTTCAATCTCTCAACTCTTGCTTCTCACACCGTCCCCCCCTTCTCTCCTCAAGTCAAGAAAAAGAGAAAAGAAAAAAGCGAGAAGATGAACAAGAATCTCAACTCTTTACTTCTCCTAAAGAACTATTACACACTTTGGGATTCCAGCGCAAAAAATGAGGGTGGCCAAGTCCTTAAAACACCACCTTCTCCTGACCCCTACCGCAAGGATCGAACCAAGGCAGATGGCGGTGAAACGGAAAAAAAAAAGACAAAGGAAAATACAAAGGAAAAAATAAAAACAACAACAACCTAAACAAGGCTGCGGTAGAGAAAACAACACCTGGGGGGGGGGGGGGGGGGGGGGGGGGAGGGGGAAGATGAGAAGAGCCGGAACAAAGCCAGGGATTATTCGACAAGTTCGGGGGAGGAGATATCGAAGAGAGCTTCGGTGGGCAGTTTTCTTTTGTGTCTGGGGTGCAAGTTTCATGGGTGAGTGTGTTATGGGTGGATGGGGTGTTGTTGTTATGTGTGATGCCAAGAAACTGGCTCGTTAATCCGTGGCTTTCATCATCATTATAGTCTTTCTATCAAGTTTGGTTTCCATATATGGCTGCCCAAGAACGAGGGTTCTTTTCTTTCCCTCCTTTTTTTCAGATAGGCACGCCATTTCTCGACACCTGGCCGTGAGTTTTGCTCGAGTAGCGCGGATGATTTCCTGCACAAAGGCTTTTTCTCGCTACGCATGTATGACTCCGCAAATAGGGGAGTGCGACAGCGTGGTTTTCGCCCAGGGGCTTCGAGTAGATTGGTGGAGAGCGACCCAGAGGTATATCCTCGATCAGCAGGACTGATAGAGAAGTAGCGGCTCGCCGACGTTCTCAATCTCGGGAATAGTGCACTTGAGATCAAATGCTTTCGAGAGAACAATCTTGAAGATCTATGAGAGCCGTTAGCAATTTTTTTTCGAGGTTGCTGACAGACAAGACCCCGAACATGGCGTTGGACTATCTCCGCGGTCTCGGAACTGCATTGCTTACCTTCTGGACGTTGATACTGTGACTCGTGCTGCTAAAAATGAGCGCTGCACGCATCGCCTTGGCAAACCGCCGGGCCTAGAAAGCTCCGGTTAGCAGGGAAATTCCAATACCAGCCTTTCAACAAGGCCAAAGGCGACCTAACCACCCCCTTACCTGGTTTGAAATCTCCTCCTGGTCCTCACGAGGAAAGTTGACAAAGTGGTCATACTTGGTCCCCACAAGAATAGGAATGGCCGTCTTGTTGAAACCGCGACCCTGACGATACCACTCCTTGATGCTGTTGAGGGTGCTCTTGCGTGTCAAGTCGAACATGAACAAAATGGCAACCGCATCATTACATACGAGTGGCAACATGTTGACGAACTCACGCTGGCCGCCCAAATCCCAGATGGAAAATGTAATCTCCGTATTCCGGATGCTAATCGTCTTCTCCATGAAATTGACACCAAGGGTCTGGATGTAATCCTCGTCCCAGCTTCCCTCCACGTACTTGACCATCAAACTTGTTTTTCCGATCTGGGCATCGCCCACCATGCCGACCTTAATGACGACGTGATCTCGGCTCTTTTGCTCGCTCGGACCGGCGCGGGATGAGTACTCCGGGGGGTAGCCCTGGACGTTGCGGTCGCCGCCGCCGGCGGAGAGACGAGAGGCGGGTCGCGATATGTTGGTCGGCGCTAGAGGGATGGGGGGCGTGGTATATCGGTTCGTGGGGTCCATGGTATCTTCTGGTCTGGGCGAGTTGGAGAGGCCCTGGTCGAGGGACTGGCTTTGGTGGTGATGACGGGTCTCTGTCCGCGCATAGCCGTTGTTCTGAGCGGCGCCGCCGATATGGGGAGAGCCCTCGATGCCGCCAATGGTGTCCTCGTGGGGATCGTGGGTTGGGGTTGGGGTCTGATCGTGCTCCATAGTGTCCAGAGCGTCGTGGAACTGGGCCGGAGACCCGATTGATAACGTTGAGGAATCCACGGTGACGAAACTAGGTAGCGAACGGCGAGTTCGGGGGTAGGAGGGTCGTAAGCGGAGGGGATAAGGCTCCTCAACAGGCGTAAGGTTGAGCTAAGAGTCGCGGCCCCTAAATATCCCAGAGTCCTGTCCGTTCTCCAGCGAATTTGCCGCTACTACACTGCTTGGGGCGGAAAAAAAAAAAGAGCGTCAGCGATACCAAAGCGGAGAACAAGAGAGGGCGTGGTAGAGAAGTATGGGCTGAGACGAGGAGGTTTAAGCCTTGGGGAAGGCATGAGAAGTGGCCGGTCAAGATAATCGCCAATGGCCCAATGGCGGGGTGTAGAATTCTACGGCAAGCGCAGCTCTGACCTGAGTTGGGCTGGGGTCGAAGTGGCAGTTTGAGGTGTGGGAGGTGATGCGGTATGGGGTTGTGGAGATAGGCGGAGGACGGGGAAAGGTAAGGATTGCCATACCTTGCCTGCCACTCTACTTCGTAGGCGTCGTTGGTCGTTTTGATATTTGTCCGTCGATGGCAGTCAGTGAGTGTGGGCCTCCACCAGGGGAGGGAGTTGTGGTGTTGGTGTTGAAGTCTAGAAAGACATCTGGTAGTAAGACGTTCCTCCTCCTGGTTGCAAAAAGGCTCGACGCTGGCGGGATAGCGACGTACTTTACTTGGTACGTTCGGTGAGGTCGCGGTCGAGGAGGTTGCAGGTTTGGGGTTGGCGAAAATAAGCGTGATCCGGTGGAGTCGGTTGCAAGGCGACTTGGGAGGATAAGATTGAGGACGAGGGGAGGTGGTGGAAGGAGAGAGCGAGTTTGCACAGGTATCGTCAAAATTAGGACGTATCAATCTCCGTCTCCCGTCTCCACGCTACAATTTGTACGTATCCAATCGTAACGGACATGAAGTGAGGAGCGACTTCCCACGGTATTAAAAGGAAGGGGACTGTCTTGCACCACCGTCTCGACTTGCAGCTCCCCAACGATATTGCCAGGCCATTTCAATGCAATTTACAAAGGTACAGAGCAGGAAATTGGGTCCGCCAGCTGGCCATCCTCGTAACAATTATGGTACGGTTTGCTGGCGAGGGGCAGATCAATAGGGCTTCGAGGCTATAGCCACGGTGCAAGACCAGCATGATTACGGACTCCAACACCGGCTTTTTAGTGGTCAAACGGTTCAGTCTCATCTCCGCTAGCGCCGTCAAGGTGCTAAGAACAGCCTGACATTGGTCAAGAGACGTCAGATGGGGGGTGCCGTGGTCAGGGACGGAGAGGAACGGAAAGGCTGTTATTAAGAGTCGAAGATGGAAGAAACATCCCCTCTTTCCGTCTGATTTCATCACCGGGATCGAGACACAGAGCACATGAGGTATTTGCTTCTGAAGTCCAGCTATCGACGAGGTGTACGAGGAAGGTCGGACCTTAGACACTGAGGGTCTTACCGTTCGCGACCAGATCTTACTGTATTTCGGATCGCGAGGGGAACAGCAGTGGATACGAGTTGTCCAAGCTGAGGGGGAAGATGATGGGTGTGTTGTATTAATCCAACTCTCCCCTCATTGTTCCTTCTTGAACATTGGGACGTTTGGAGTACTCCTGTCCACGCATTGGAGGAGAAGTCGGGCTATAGAGCCTCAACTTAGCAACAGTCCAAGACTTGACTCGAACAAATTATCCCAAAGTGGACCCTATTGTCCATTACGGTCACGTACTTCATAACGGAAACACATTCATCTCCTCACCTTCATTTGCAAAACTTTGCCAGGTGTTGACTCGTGAGCGCCCAGCTTAGCGTTGAGTGGCTGCAGGAAAATTTAATGTGGGCAACGCGACGCGTGAGAGTTAGATTGGCGACTCACTGCTGGAAATTGTGGCCGCCCCAAATAAATGCAGTTGTCGTTGGGAAGGGCTTGAACACTGCTGTTCTCCTGAAAAGAAGATTGATGCTCTTATTTCTCTCCCCCTCTGTCAAGCAAAATTCGATGCCTTTTTCGACGTCCTTGGTGGCATTTTATTTCATTTCCCGTCAAATAAACGATGCGTTAAGAAAACGGGGTCCCTGGTGTATATTTCAGTTTTCTTGTCGCCCTCCCTCAAACAATTCCCCCTTTGTTTATTTGTAAACCACGGATAATATCAAATCTGAGCCACACACGTCCACATGTAGCGACGCACCACTCGCCATCATCCCATCAAATGCCGTCCCACGTCTGATATTACTGCACTTCAGCTCTAATTTGTCCCAACCTGCTCTTGTTGTGCCACACCTTGACCCTTGGACGATATCACGGGCTTGTTATCTTATCTGGTGTTGGTGGTCCCCTTCAAAATAAATACTGACCATGTTGCATCTTCCTGGCGAGAACTTGCCAGGGGAATCTCCAGTTCTAGCCAAGCTTCATTATTTCCCCCACCGTAATCGTCTTACACCGTAAATTACACTATACTAGTCGAGTGTAGACTGTAGAGCATGACAGCACAGGGCTTTGATAGATTCGGGATGGCTCGCATCAACGCGCCTGGCCAAAGGAGACGGCGCGTCCTGCCCTCATGTTATGCACCCTTTCCCGTCATGCAGGTGCTGACATGTCATACCCCCATGCCATGACGAGCCCAACCTTTTTAGGACCTTTGACCCTTTGCGCTCTTGGAGTCCAGGCTCACTGCCTTTGGCTCTAGGGTCTAGACTTGTCCGGGAGAAGGAAAGGCGGACTCCGAGTCCGCGGGGCACACAGAGAGAGAGAGAGTCCAGAATCTTCAACTTCCCCCGCAACGCGCTCCCTGTTCTGATTGGCCCGAACCATTCCAGCCAATCCCCTCTCAACCCTGAACGCCAATTGCTGGATGACTCTTTCTGGTTTCCATCGGTCCACGGATAACTCCGGATGACTAAAATGATTCCGAGCTATCTTCGTTGCTTCACTCCTTGTGATAACTTGAATCCAATCCCAATTCGAAGGTCATGCGATTGTAACTCGCACCTCATTCCCGTCTACCGTCCATTTCCTCCACAGATACCTCGACAATCCTCTTCACAATGGCATCAATTGCTCGATCCCTCAGGGCAGTGAGGCCCGCCACTCTCTGCAAGACCATCCCCGTACGGACAATCTTCCGCGCGAGGGCCTTTTCGAGCTCCCCAGTCGGTAAGCGACCATTTCCTCCCCCCGCGAAAAAAAAACTACATCCTCGGCCCAACCCGAGATAACCCGTTCAAACAACCAGAGACAGGGGGAAAACGACAAAATGCTACCAAAAAGAACCCAATTCGCTAACCACGACCTTGCTTCCAAATTTTCAAAACAGTCCTCGAAAAGCGCTACACAAAAGACCACGAATGGATCGACATCAACCGCCAGAAGCTGACGGGCATCATCGGCATCTCCGAATACGCCGCCGAAGCCCTCGGTGACGTCGTCTACGTCGAGCTCCCCGAGACCGACGGTGACTGGGTGTCGGCTGGCGATGCCATCGGCGCCGTCGAGTCCGTCAAGTCCGCCTCCGACATCAACAGTCCTGTCAAGTGCAAGGTTACCGTGGTCAACACGGCGCTCGAGGAGAAGCCTTCGATCATTAACCAGGTGCCTGAGGATGATTCGGCTGGTGGTGGTTGGCTCGCCAAGGTCGAGGTTGATGAGTCGAGCTTGGAGGAGTTTGATGCTTTGATGAGCGCTGAGGAGTATGCCACGTACTCCAAGGAGGTGCATGATGAGGACCACTAGACCACTAAGCAGGAGAGGAGGAGTAAAAGGGGGTGAGGAGCGGGGTGATAGGTCCGCTGTCGGACTCTTTTATTTCTCTTTTTTTTTCGTTCTTCTGGTTAGAGCAAATCGGGCATGAGGGAAGAAATCCATCCGAGAAGTCATTTTTAGAACAGGGAAATCATAAAGGGCAAACCACTTGGGCTGCGAATGTGCGGGTTCAGTTACGGTTGTGACGGCTGCATGTGAAAGAATTGTATGGTCTGGCATTGCATTGGTGTGATGTCTTGCGCGTACGTTTGGCGCAACTGGGGCGGATGACTTCCGGCCTCTTCTCCCAGGAGTCATCACCTCGAAGCGGTATGTATGACGAGACTTGCGGTCCTGGTTCTATATGGTGAGGGAAATGATTGTCCAGTTGGCATCGCCTAACTCGTTTGCTTCAAGCCCGTGGTATCATGGCGCTCACCAGCAAACTCCTCACCTATGTGCACCTTCCTCGTCACACTCGACCCCGGCCGTATGCTTCATATACGGGAATACGGCAAGGGCTTCCAACCGAGCAGCTCAAGTAGTTGTGACACTACGACCAATGGCCAAGTGGTCAATTGGAGCGCTCAGAAGGTTAGAAAATCGCAATTTTCGTAGCTCGTGGCAAGCAATAAGGATTCGATCCTAGGAGCGCGCCGCGAGCGAGCTTTTTGTATTTATTTATTTATTTTTTTTTTCTTTTATTTTTCTCCTCCTCCGTCTTCATGCTCTTCTTTTTTCCACTATCTCGGGTAGAATATAATGTTCGTAATGTTTCTGAAGGGCCTTAGCTCGATGGGGAGCAAGTCCTACTCGTCGAGAAGATGAAAAACATCGAATTCCCTGACATATCCTCTCCGTCTCCCACCTATGATGACCTTGTGGAAACGAATGTAGCTGGCTCCGTTACATCCGCTTCTGAAGAGGTTCAGTTTCGTTCTTCAATTCGGGAGTGTACTACGTTCCTCCCCGCGTCATTTACTCCTTTTGGACCTGACGTGCACCTCTGTCGATCCTTAATCGGCCTTACTACGCCTGTCATATTCCTTCGGTCTTGTCTTCTCCTCTCTCTTCTTTGACCTTCTCCTCCTGGTCCAGTTGTCGTGAGACCCTACAGCCGAGGCGGTGCTCAACCCTCTGGTACGTTGAGGTTTCAAAACGTGAATTAACTTTCCAATTGCTTCAAATGTCCTTCCAGATTCCTTGATTTGAGAAGCTGGTATGTGTCTCCAACACACGGGTGTTTGTGAGTACCGTCGGGAACTTCTCTGACAGCTTGCTTTCGCCGCTTCGGGCTCGGGTACTACCAACGTCGGTGGCTCCGTCGTTTAGAACCTAGCAGTTTGTTGTTACAAGACGGGTTTGTGATGAGGAGCTGATGGTGGAAATGGCAAGATGGGACGAACATCTCGCCACCAAGAGCAAATATGCATGTTGGTTTCTTGGTCTGTGATGCCTTACGCAACGGGAAATCGGATCTCATCAATGGGACCTGATATTGGCAGTTCGTCAATCATGGGCGATTCTTTGATCGTGAGGCGCTTCTCTTCTCCCTGCCTCGTCTAGGAGCTCGCACTCTTCATCATTTTCTTGGGTTCCCCTAGTTGTATGAAGAAGGCAATGGGCTCAAGGCGCTTCTCATCACAATGACGTTAGCTCGTTTGCCGGAATATACTAGGAAAGAAGGAAGGGTGTCTGTTCGGCTCCCCGAAACCCAGTCCTTCTGTGTCCTGGTTGTTCATGTTTGTCTATCTGTAAGACGTGATGACGACGCTTCCTTGCCGACATCTAGAAGAAACCGGCGAGGATCCCGTCCGCCATGTTTGCACTTTCGTCCTTGAGTACCGCAGGTTCCGGGTATCCACAAAAGAGCTCGAAATATATAACACCCCATCCTCAACGCCTAATCCATGACTCTACCTTCTTGGCTATCCTCACCAAGTCATCTTCCTGTTCTAGACTGTCACAATGAATCAGCGCCTTAACCTCGTTGGTGCCACGCTCCTGGTCGGCCGTGCTCTCTCGCAGCTGTCATCCCCAGCCCCGACCCTAGTATCCACCTATACACCGGCGTCCACCAGTAGCGACTCCGGATGGGGCTGGGACGACTGGGGTGATTGGGCCAGCACGGCGACCTGGTGGCCTTGGGACTGGCCCGACTGGATCCCAGGTGCTAGTGACCAAACCTCTAGTGCGACGGAGGCTTCTACTACATCTAGCACGCTTGGAGCAGGTTTCACGCTGACAGGCGTCTTGGGAGAAACAGCGACTAGCTCCGAGATTGACGAGCCGACAACATTCCCGACCCCGGACGTGCCCATTCCTGGAATTCCCTTCTCCACGCCTTCCGGCTTGTATTCTGCGGCGGGCTCTTGGGAAGCCGCGGGGGCTACGGGGCTTTCTGGTAATCCCGCATTTGGCCCCGCTTCGGATTCTTCAAGCTTTCCCGGTTTCACGGACACTCCTAGCCGCAGCTCTACATTTTCTGAACCATGGGTCCCTGGAACGACAGAGGACTCATGGCCCTTCCCCTGGGACACATCCTTCAGCATACCCTCGCCTTCCAGCCTTGGCATACCAGACTCTTCAAATGTCCCCGACTCGTCCTTTACCGAAGTGCCGTTCCCCAGTGTTTCCGACATCCCCTTAGCGGGCTCGGACGCTGTTTCGAGCACCCTGCTGCCCTCATTCACCCAGGCCCCAATTCCCAGCTTCCCCGACATTTCCTCAGAGGAGGCTTTGGTCTCAACCTCGGATGATGTTCTTTGGATAACAACAATCACTGTAACAGTCGCCGCCTCGGAATCTCCTTGGTTCCCTGACAGTCCGGCGGAGCCGTCTTTCACGGAATTGCCGGAGCCCAGCTTTTCGTTTCCCCCGCCGCCGGTCTGGAGTACGGACGCCTGGTCGGATGAGGTTGGGACTACGGGCTGGCCCGTTGATGTGTCGACATACAAGGCCGCGAGTGCATCAACAACGGGCACGGCCTCTACCTCGGACGTCAGCGTCATCCCCGGCCCAGCTTCTCTCCCAGGGTTGTCCTCTAGCTCTGTAAAGGCTCCTTGCCCTTGGGTGACATGGAGCCCTGCATCAGATACGAGCTCTCTCCCTCTTTCCTCCCTAACGGAAGTTCCCTTCTTCTCCGATGTCCCCGAGGCGTCCGGGGTCCCTGACTGGCCGTCTCCAGACTGGCCTCCGGAAGAATCCCCTTCGGACTGGTTCCCGGACACTCCCGATTTCACCAGCAGCGAGGCACCAAACTGGTCTAGTAAATTAGCCACTATCCTTCCGATCTCGGATGAATTCTCTCCCGCCGAGACTGAAGTGCCGTCAAGCTTGACCCTCTCGAGCGACTTCCCACGAGTCTCTCATGACCCCAGCTTCTCCACTGCCGTGTCGCGGACGGACTTCCCAATGAAGCGACGACGGGCATCCGCACCGGCTGCGACTGAGGCCTCGAGCCACTCGGGACCTCGCCACCTGGCCAGATGTGAATGTGGTCAGATGTACTTCGGTAAGGGTCCCATTCTCACTTCTAGTTTTAAGGTCCTGTTATTTTCCTGTCACGTATACTGACTCGTGATATACAAAAGGCTCCTCTTGCTCGGACTCACTCGTCGAGTTCCACGTCTCAGGCGCCCGGATGTGCAGGAATCGCGGCTCCCGCATGAGACCCAGCCAAGCCATGTTCAGCTGCGAATGTGATGAGCAGACGGGCGAGCAGTCGCTGGAGTTGATGAGCATGGCAAGTTATTACCCCACTCGGGATGAGAGTAATGATTACCTCATGTCTTATGATGAAGATGAGGGTGAGAACGATGATGATTATCAAGATGAGCTTGGTTGGGATGATTGGGAAGAGTGGGCGATGAGGTGGGCGACCCATCACTGAGCGGTGTTACCTTGCCAAGCTCTGCGTCAAATGTTAGAGGGGGCTCGAAAAGATGAAGCGCGGAAAGAGAAATTGATGCTGATAAAAGCGAGGTTAATTAGGTGTTGAATTTCATTTCTTTTTTTTTTCTTCTCTTCACTTTCTCTTCTCTTCACTTTCTCTTCTCTCAACTGTTAGCTACATCTTAGCTTCTAGTTGCTTTTTCATTCCCCTGGGCTTTTCGGCTTGCACACCGGTGCTCTTTTTTTCCCACAGTACAGGAAACCAAGCTTGGGATAGATTGAGGACTTTGAATTTGGACTTGACTCGTTTTCTTCACAGAGAGCTTGACTAGAGGTGTTGCAACAGCTACTGTCAATTGATCAATGATACCTACGTAACTGAGTCTCTACGCTACTTGCACTAACAATGGGAGCGTACAGGTAGTTTGCTCTAAAAGTGCTCAGTTTGATGGCACAGTCGACGATGCTTCGTCGCTGACATTACGCGGATCATGAGCAGGCATAATCCGGATACTTGCATCGTCCCGGTTCGAGCCTATGAGGAGAGAGCAACGCGAAGCTGTCGCGTGTTGAACAGCGGAAGCTCCATATTCCCCTGTTTTGCCTCTTTCGTTGTGATAGAGTTGATCTGAGGGATCTGAGGGATCTGAGGGATCTGAGGGATGAATGCTAAATGCTGCAGATCATGTGGCGGCAGATATGATTTTATTCCTGCAGCAGCCAGTCAAAGCCATGATCCGGGGGAGAAGGCCTGTCTGCAGGAAGATAGGACGGTGTCACGGTGGTGATATGACCATGACCATGTAACTACGACTCGACTGTGAGTTGATGGCGTCGTGGAGGCGTATTGTACGTGTCGATTAAGTGTGCAGGGTCTGGCTGGATTGGGCAAGATGATGGGGTCATCTTCATTCGTGCCAGCAGGGCGGCTCGCCTATCAACTGTTGGACTTGCCCAGTTCGGTGATATGGATGGCCTGGAGAGGGAGTGACATCGTCTTGACCGGTTTTTGACTGGCTTGGCTACGAAGTCTGGCTTCGAAGATGCAACGGTAATAGGATCAAGATTCAACGCGATAATAATAATAGGGCAACGGCGAATCAATGGCAAGTTGGAACTGCGCTAATGCTTCATTGTGTCGTCTTAGGCTCTTAGTCGAGGGAGGGAAATTTAAGCCCCTGAGAGACCCTGGTCATTGGAAAACTGCTTCGAGAACTCGAAGTCGTCTGAAAGGTTCAAAGTGGTGTTTCTTGTCTTCCCCTGTTATTCTCATTTCTCGTGGGGGAGAAACAAAAGTTACAAAAGCTGTACTTCGAAGAATACTTGATGGAAACCTTGCAAACTTGACGCCGTCTCCTGCTCTCAGATATGGAGGTGGCATCGAACGCGAGCCCGACTTCGTAGTTTAGTTCCATTGCAGGTCCCAAACTCCAGTCGTACGGTTTTTCCTGCGGGACATCTGTTTTTGCGACCAGCTTTGTCGTGCCCTGGCCCCAAAGAGTTAAAGAACCCACCCGCGATTCCCCTCGAACCGTTTCAGCCTTCTTGGCTCAAGGCATGAAACCGATCTAACCCCATTGTGCTGCCGAAGCCGTGTGTTGAATAGAGAGAACAAAGTACACGAACCGATCTGGAATGTGCAGTGCAAAGTCGCCTGCAGTCGACAAACTAAGTTGTTCCACTCAGGGTCTAGTCAGGCACTGCTTGTCTTGCACACGATGCATGCACTGGATGCATTAGAGGCACGCGGGGGAGGTATTGATGGTACTTCGTACCTTGGATGTACTTGCAGTGCCCCTTCACTCTGCAGCGTAATAATTATAGTGGCTTGGCTAGTGCTATTGACTGTTAAGACTCCACTGATCAATAGTGCAGTGGAGGTCAAATTCTCCGTGAATTAGTGCATGCAGGTACGAAGTTCTCCTGAATTGACGCTTGATTGATTGATAATACCTCGTATCGTGCATTACTCAAGCACTTATACGAAGTACCAGTTCCCCGTCCTGGCACTTGGCTGCTGCTATTGGACCCTTGTCATCCAGTTCCTGCCAGACCGCCAGATCGGTAGCACCCTGAGCAATTGATATCCGTATCAGCCCAATTGATCAGTACGAACCGCTCTGTACCGACCACAACAAGCACTGGCTGAGCCTTCCTCAGGGTTGTCGTGAAAACCTCAAAGCTCGACCCCTTCGGATCTTTATTGTTTGGGAGGCGGGTACTGTGGGTTTCCAGGGAAAAGACGAAGACGTACATTCTCAAGTTCTCTTTCACTACCACGATTATTCGACTCCGAATCCTTTGTCCCCGAATCTCGACCAATCTCTACGCATCCGAATCACCCTGACTGTGTCTCCTCGGTTTCCCCTTGACCTCTGACTCTGCCACACGACCCTCTCCTGCCGCCGAAATCTCACCATAGCACACCACCCCACACGAGCTGAGTCGAAGCCGAGCCACGAAGGACTGAGGCGGGCTAAAAATAATAAGATCCCATCCCCGGCCGATAGGAGAGGACTTCGAACGAGTGTTGTTGAACACACGCCCAGCGAAGCTCGAAGTTCCTCGATCCAACCACGCCCAACGAAACTACACAGACATTCTCTCACAGAATTAAACTCTTCATGGCATACCGTATTCTCTTCTTTACCGCGAGGCGATAGTCGGATTGCGACGTCCCGGTCTTCTTCCTTTCTCACCGGCGGTCCTTTCCCAGACGGCCCTTGAAGACCTAGACACACGTCTTACATCCCCCACCTCGCGATGGAGCCTTTCCTACTCGGTGGAGGAGGAACGAACTGGCAGACACCCGCCCAAGCAGAACCCGAGAAGTACCAATATCAATACGGCACCAGCAATCATGTCTCTGACCCGACCACCACCCCCACAAAAAGCAATACCCGCGAGTCAGGCCCAACGGTCGCCACCGTGGTCCCTGCCGCCACAATGGAGAACAAAAGCAACAATAGCTACAGTATAGCGCAGTCCGACGAGACACACGACTCCATGGTCACCATTCCCCTGTCCGGCCCTCCCTCCCTCGCCATCGATACGAATGTCCCCGTCCCGGTGGGTCCGAGCTGGTTGGGTCGGAATGTCGAGACGATAGAACACGTGCCGGACGAGGAGACTAGTTCTAATGTCTCGGTGGTTGAGGCTGATGAATATCACGATGCAGTTACGCAGAACGACGAGGATGCGCTGGATGATACTACCCCGAAGCAGGGGGATCTAGGACGGAGCCTTGAGGCGGAGCTGCAGCAAACCGAAGAGTCGGACGGCGAGAACGACGTGGTGGATCGGAACCTAAATACCCCTACACCTACAACACACACGCGAGAAGCTTCTGTGAATTGGGATGAATTACAGAAGACGGAGGATGAGCAGCCCAAGGACGAGCAGACCGAAACTGTAAGGGAGCACCTTCATCCCTATCCCCCGCATATACAATCAAAAATTCCGAAATTAGGATTGACCACTAACACTTCCAATCTAGTCTACGAATCTATTACGTGCCAGGCTGGAACAGGAAAATGCAAAGCTAGAAGAGAGCCCCAAGAACAATCGAATAGAATCCATCAAGCAGCGAGACCCACCCCAACAACGACCGACTCCTCCCTCAATATCCCAGCTCAAGCGCATGGTCAACGGCCCTACGCCCCAAGCTCTCCGCTACTCCATGCTCCCCCCGCCCCCGATGACCGACCTCGAGTTCTACGCGGCCCTCGTAAAGGACTATCAACAAACGGCCGAGCGACTACCCACATTACTAACGAATAAGATACGGAAAGGTATACCTCCGCCGTTGCGTGGCGTAGTCTGGCAGAGCATATCGGGCGCCCGGGACCCGGCGCTGGAAGAGCAGTATGACCGGCTTTGCAGCGAATCGAGCCCGGTCGAGCCCTTGTTTAGCAAGGAGCTTGCGCGGAGTTTCCCGGGCGTCGACATGTTTCGCGAACCTGGCGGCGACGGACAGAGAATGCTTGGCCAAGTGCTCAAGTGCTTGAGTATTTACGATCGCGAGATTGGGTACTGCCAAGGGCTGGCTTTCCTGGTTGGGCCGTTGCTCATGCATATGCCTGGCAAGGCTACCTTTTGTGTTCTTGTTCGGTAAGTACCAACCGATTTTTTTCTTATTCCTCTTTTCTATTTTATTATTTTTTTTCAGATGGAAGGGAAAAACAAAAGAAGGAAAAAAGGAAAAAAAACACCCATTCCATTGGTTTTCGATTGATGTTCGCGGGGGTGGCAGAAAATGGGTCGAGGGATGACCCTGGTTCCCCTTCTTGAGATGCTTCCATCAAGTACACTTTTCGCACTCACTAACAAAATGCGATTAGATTGATGGAACAATATGATTTACGCCGCTGCTTCCGTCCCGACTACGCAGGGCTGCACCTCCGAATCTACCAGTTTCGCCAGCTCCTGCGGCACAATCTGCCCACATTGTCGACCCACCTCGATGATCTGCGAGTTGACCCGTCCTACGTTTCACAGTGGTTCCTCGGCTTCTTCGCCGTGACGTGCCCCCTGCCCATGTTGTTTCGCATCTACGATGTGCTCCTGGCCGAGGGAGCCACCGAGACTTTCATGCGCGTGGCCCTGTCGCTGATGCGCCGGAACGAGTCCAGAATCCTGGCCTGCACGAGGTCGGAAGACGTATCTCATTTCCTGCTCTCGAGGGGGATTTGGGATTCTTACCATTACAATGCCGATGAGTTTGTCCAGGATTTTATCAGCCTAAGCGGAGAGGTTGGACGAGAAAAATTACTTCAATTGGAAATTACCTTTAAGGAATCGCAATTACCAACGGGAACATTACCGAACCAAACATCAGCAGTCGAGTCGGGATCGGCCCATGTCGGCGACACGAGCAGCAGTGCGAACGCGGTGCGAGCGTCGGAGGATATTATTAACGCAGCAGCTTCGAAATTCCTGGGACGTGCGTCACCTTCTTCTCCTTCTTCATCGTCACCTACTTCATCGTCACCTTCTTCGTCGCCATCGTCATCGACCAAGCCGGCGAACCTGAGCCCTGGGCTCAGCGCGCCGTCGACGCCGGTGACGATGCTGCGGAGGAGCGGGTCGAAGCAGAGTTTGGCGTCGACGCTCAATTCCATGGAGGCGAGCTCTGTCAGCGTCGTTAGTAGCGCGTCGACTGGGGTCACGAGCGTGTCGAGCCAGTCATCATCATCTTCTTCTTCGGATAGTATCAAGGACAACCGGCTGTCCTCACCGGTGGGGGGCAGCGGGAGCACCTCCGAAACAACAACAACGTCAACAAATGTCGTTTCCGTTCCACCCGCCGTCGGTAGCCCCGTCATCATTCGCAGTGGTAGTAGCGCGGGCGGCAGCAATAGCACGGAGCGCCCACCACCATCGATCGCGAAGAATCCGTCGGAAGAGAAATACCTGCACGACCAGATCGAGGACCTGCTCATGGTCCTGAGCGAACTGCAGCGGAACCAAGCCCTCCTAGCAAGCCAACTAAAGCAGGAGCAAGCCGAGCGCGCCGAAGACAAAGAAGTCGTACGCGTGCTAGCCAACACGCTTCGATCGGGAGGCGCCGTGGTCGACACGGGCGCGGCCGAACTGCAGGCCGTGGAGGAGAGGTTCGGCATCTACGCGGGCCAGGACGGGCTTTCCCCCTTGCCGTCGAAGACGCAGCTCTACGAGGACCTCACCGAGGCCAAGGAGAAACTCGCGGCGGCCCTCGCCGAGTCACAGCAGTACAGCAGACGCATCTACGAGCTCGATCAGGAGGTCGCGAGCCTTAAGCAGACAGTGCGCGAGAGCCATTCGCATGTGCGTACGCTTCATCAAGAGAAGCAGAGGCTTGAGAAGCAGGTGCATACTATGCGGACGCGGGCGTCGGCGGCGTCCAATAATAGCAGCGAGGGCGTGTTCGGCGTCGTGTCTAGAGGTCGGACGGATGTTCCTGGCGCTGGTGTCGGAGTAGGAGGAGGGACGGGTGGCGATGCACGCATGTCGATGCTGGGGAATGGGCTGAGGGAGTTTAAGCTCGGACGGAGCGGGTCGCCGCCTTCGGGGCCATCAGCGTATAACCGACGGACATCATCACTCGCTCCTGCAAACACCAACGGTGCCAACAACAATAACCAAAACAACGAGGATATGCTCCTCCGCGAGCTCGTCCAAGCAAAGACAGCCGAAGCAATCGCCAAGGAAGAGGCCGACGAAGCAAGGCAGAAACTCGACGCCTTCAAGAGGGCGTACGGCATCCCTTCGGGTGAGAATCCGCCGCCGTTAGGGTCGAGCTTGACGGTTGCTTCGGCGGCGCAAGCTGCGCAGAACGCGGGACAGGCTGCTATGGGGATTTTGGGGAGGTTTGCGGCTGCGGCGGGGACAGATGGGGGGAATAAGGGGGCAGCCGCGGCTGGAAATGGAGGAGGAGGAGGTGGTGGTGGTGGTGGTGGTGGGTTTTGGGGGTGGAGGAGATGAGTTGAGTTTGGATGGACTTTGCGGAGTCGAGATGCCTTTTTACGAATACCCTCTTCCATTTTACCTCTTTTCTTCAATACCTCCTCTCTTCTTTCGACTTATCCTTGGGATGCCAATATCCCATTTCATACTCCTTCTATCATCTTTTTAAACTCGGCCGAAACTTCTCACACAGACGAGTCAAGACCATCTCAGAAATTGATGGATCGTCTGCTACTTCTTTTTTTACACCGAACTTCCTCCTTCTCGCTTCTCATCTTCCTTCTTTCCTTTTCACCATTCGGGAAACAAAACGTGTTTATATACCCTGGGGTTTCTTTTCTTTCGAATGAAAATTGCATATTAGACTGGGCAAGATCTTGAGAGATCACAATTTGAAGGTTCTTTTTATTTTTATTTTTATTTTTTTTCTTTTTTTCATGGTGGCTATAGATCAAACGGAATCGGCGAGAAGGGATGAGATGTCTATACATCAACTCATGCAAGGGGAGTGAGTGGAAATGTATATAGAAATCGAACTGATGGGGTTATCCAACCCCTATCGGTATTTTTATAAACGGGATATTTTTAACTCCCCAAGGATGCTTTTGCTTTATGCTCCACGTGAATTTTGAGATTGACTTGCAAGGTCAACGGGGAAAAGGGCCAGGTTGAAGCTCAATGATGAGGGCCTCTCTCCACCATGGCACAGTGACAGGATTTTAAGTTTGGGAAAAGGGCCTGGGCGATGAGTTGGCGTCATCGTTGTTAGTGGTGTTGCGTCATTGCGGGATTTGGGGGGAAGATGAGCATTGAATGTGATTTGATGTACACTGCAGGATGAGATCACACTGAGATTTGAGGCCTTCTGTTGGTAGTAAACAACGTCTCGTGGGCCTGTACAGGTACACCATCTAACGAGATAGAAAATGATACTTGTCAAGATCACGTACGAAGTAAGAACTCAGAATCTAGATTAGATGCTGTCTTCAAATTGTCCGAGTCAGGTCGCAACTTCTCGGGGATCGCATGAGTAAGCCAACCCGAGTTTGTGGAAGGAAGTGGGTGGGTGGTGGGACTATCACATGCTATTTTGCGCAGATGGGGGAGCTGGGCACGCGAGTGTTCGGCATGGCCAACGTGTCTTGGTCCACGACACACCTGAGCAAGATACGTTGCTTGTTGACCTTTTCACACGGTGGCTTCAATCCAGAGGTGCCTAATATTTTTTTGAAGAGGGAAAAATAGGCAGCTATGCAAGTCTTGATGCTGTTGCCGTCGCGTGTCCTCTTATTTGTTCTTGAAGGGAGGTGTTGGTTTCAGAAGGGGGAGGGAGGTACATAGAGATCAGATGTACTATTCGGCGAATATGTACCTTTTTTTTTTTTTTTTCTTTCTTTCTTTTTTTTTCTTTTTTTTCCTGTTCTTCTTCTTCTTCTCGTTTGTACCTTCCTCGTCGTCGCATTTAGGTCGAAGACCGTCCGTCAATGCTGGATCCATCACACCATGTACGTAACGGTACTAGGGACTTTAGCGGCTCATAGTGCTAGCTCCAGCGCGATGCGAGCTTTTGCATGAGGTTGTTTGAGCTGTCAAGGTACCGGTACTTCTGTAGCTCTGGTGCGTAATGGGTCATATCGGAATGGTGCTATAACTAAGGGGATTTACAGTGTCTCCACGGACCAAGCCGTCTGGCGGCGTTGCCATAGCTGCCGTAGCACGAAATTTCAAAACGAGATTATTGATTCAAGGGAAACAAACGACGTCCTGTTTTCCCCTTTTTACTGGAAAGAAAATTTGTCAGGCTCGCAGTCGAGAGGAAAGAACTAAGACGGGCAGAGAGAAGACGAATTTTTCTCGCATCTAGAAGCCAGACGCATGGATATTGAGGAACGCCAACCGGAACAGTATGTTCGTCATTGGAGGTTGATAAGAGCAGCTATGATGGAAGAGAGCGTCCTTCGTAGTTTGTATAGCTACAAGCCACAAGCAAGTCGAACAACGCAGCATCGAATGAGAATCCAACCTCCACCCTCAAGGTAAAAGATGTTACAAGGTCCAATATAGCTCTACGAAGTACACTTTGCTACTGTGCTACTCTTCCGAAGAGGAGTATCAATTCAATGTTCTAGAGCCAGCAGTGCGGTGTACCGCAGCGCTGTGTAGTACAGTGCAGTGTACTTCGGGGTTCTGTTTGGGTCCGTTTCCTGGAAGGAAGGAACAAAACAGCCATTCCATCATCAGCAGCATCATCATTGATCCTTGTTGATCCATTTGATCTCATCAAATGTCTCCCACCTCCTTCCTTACCTCATAACCTCCCTCCCACCTTCCCAAACACAAACAAAAGCCGAAAAACCTGACAAATTTTTAATTCCGTAACAAAATCTCAAATCTCCATCACGAGAACACATTCTTCTTCTCCCTCAAATCCGTCTTCGTCGTCGTTGTCTTCTCCAGCCAACAGCTCCGTAACACAAGCTCCACTGAACTCTGATTCCGCCTTCAATCTCCCTCAGACCATATTCCGTACACCCCCTTATCTCAGGCCCCCCCGGCACAACCGAGCTTTCGATTCTCCACAGACGCCATTTCCACACCCAGCTGCAAATTTTATTTGAGAGCAGGAAAAAAAAAGAAAAACAAACGGAAACGAGGAAGTTCGGGATTTCCATCTCTACTGGAAGCTTCGATTTTTCTTTTCTCGTGCCCAATATCGAATCTTCTCAAAACAGCACAAAATCCCACCGCTCTGTGTTAGAAACCGCAGGAATCTGCTGATATTTTACAATGGCCGATACGCTTAGCCATGGCAACGGCACAGCCAAGCCGAGTAAGGTAGGTTTACTTGTTGATATTTTCTTGCAGAAAACATTCGGAGAAGCTGTGGACATGTTGAACTGACGAGGCTTTTGATGCGTTTGACAGTGTTTCGCTCGTTTTCTTCGCTCTCGAAACGATCGGAGCTCGCGATAGCTCCCCTCCCCCCCCTATTCCGATATGAGCTTGTTCATCCTCCTTTTCTCCGCGCCCTCCAGATTACAGCTCTCTAGCTGCCGATCGTGGAGCTGACGGTGGACTGCCCGATTTTCTTGATCGAACGATGGGCTACACGATCTCGAGACGCTTCATTTCTGGCTTTGGTTTTGTTCTTTCTTTTTGGCACTCGAGCTAATCTCTCTTCATCGCAAACAGACAAGGATGACGTTTACCGAAGGCCATCCCCTACCACTCTCACGAATCAGCCCTTGACCCATTATCACTCGTACTTTTTCGATCTTCTCTCGTGGAAGAATCCTCGTACGTATACTCCAAGCTAGAATCCGATCCTTAGCTGTCTCTGATACTGACTGGTGCGCAATTACTAGGTGCCTCCGCCATTGTCTACGCCAGTATCATCTCCCTCATCTTTGCCGCCAGGTATCTCGACGTTATACGATACTTCTTCAAGCTCACCTGGGTCGCGCTTGGTACCACTGTCGCCCTCGAGGTCGCTGGAAAGGTCCTCCTTGGCCAGGGCATTACCTCTCAGCTTCGTCCCAAGAAGTACCATGTGGTTTCTCGCGAGACGCTCGATGCTCTGATAGGAGACGTGCACGAGCTCATCAACTTTTTTGTGATTGAAGCCCAGAGGATTCTGTTTGCGGAGAACATTGGTGTCTCGGCTGGCGTAAGTCTTTTCTGTCTCGGCGTGCGGTGTATTTCGTCTTAGCTTCGGCCCCTGTGCTAACAGAAGAAATTACAGGCCTTCATTGCTGCTTTCGTGTCGTACTACCTCGTCAAGGTCGTTCCCTACTGGGGTCTTGCCATTATTGGCACCACCGCCGTCTTCATGATCCCCCTCGTCTACACCTCCAACCAGGAGCTCATCGATGCCCAGCTTAAGCACGCCTCCGAGCTTGTCAACGCCCAGACTGCCCAGGTCCGAAGCGCCGCCAAGGAGCACACTGCCCACGTCGCCGAGCTTACCAAGCAGTACATGGGTGACTACTCTGCCAAGGCTCAGGGCCTCATCCGCGGCCGATCTGCCTCCCCTGAGGTTCACCCCATCCGCGCCGCTCCCTCGGCCCCCACCACCGTGCCTGTCCCCGCTCTCACCGACGCCGACTTCCCCGCTGCTCCTTCTAGCACCTTGGAGGAGAAGAAGGATAAGGAGGAGGAGGAAGCCGACGGCCACCCCGCCGATTCCGCCGAGCCCGCCAAGCCTGCTTCTTCTGACGAGCCTCTTGTCAGCCTCTAAATAGGGAGGAAGGAGAAGAGAGTCTGTAGGGTTGAATGAGTCACGACGCCTGCGACTTAGCCAAAACCTTGCAGTGTCTTTCTGCACTGAACACGACACAATGTGTGGAAACGAGACCATGTCCAGGCAACGAGAAGCTTTACGAATGCATCCGTCCATCATGTTTTGGTACCTCTTTATTGACGAAATTGCGTAATCGGCTTTTGTTTCTTCATTTTATTTCTTCTTTTACTCGTCTGTGGACTGCCTTTTAATCTCGAAGGGGAAAGGAGCAAACTCTTCTTTCTTGACATGGGAATCTCTCGGAATCGTATGGACAACGCAGCTTCCCATGTTTTTTTTTTTTGTAGGAAAAGGAGAGAGAGAAAGAAAACAAAAGAGGCGTTCTGTTATTTTAACACTACCAAACTTTTGTATCTCCATCTCTTCCCCCCCTTTAAACCCAGCTTTTGTTCTGTTTTTATTTCTCCCAATGAATGGTTTATTTCCTCTTTTTACGGCCAATAGAATTTTTGGGGGGACTGGAGGAAATTGGGAAGAAGGGAGGGCGTCAAGTTTTTATTTCTTGTTCTTTTAATGTTTCTGAAGTCCGAAGTAGCAACAAAGGGATGGAGACGGAAACCGGGGAGGATTGTGCCAGAGGGGACTTCTTTTTGCTTCGCGAGGGACCCCCTTTTGGGAACTAAATTGAATGCTGTTGGTATTGATGCCTTCTTTTTTAATTGTATGGTTTTTAATGCCTCCATGGACTTGGATTCGACTCTTGGAGCTGTGACGATTGTGTGCCTTGTCTGGGGGGTTTCGAGGACACGTCAGAGAAGGCCGGGGTGTGCGAAGCGGTGTAAGTTGGGACTATGCTAGTAAGTTGGATGTTTTTGAAAACGTGTTAGAACATCTTCCAAGGCATCCATGGAAGCAAAAAAAGATGTTGCCTACTCGAACTTGGTTAAAGTCCACCATTTGGTCTTCCCCGGGGAGAAAACTCTGCATGCTGCCTCGTCTCTACGGGGAAAAGAACAAACTGACCATGGCCTCCAGAGCCCCCAGTACGTCTCACTAGCGAGAGACACCCTCGTCTACGTTAGTAGAAACGAGATAAGTTGTTAAAGAGTCGATGTTGGCGGCGGCCTAGTTTACGGAGTTACCTTTCGCCAGATCCGAGTGCTTTACAGGCAGCCCAGATGCCAAGACACCGTAGATGCAAGTGTGGTTCGGAGCAGGCATTCCCAGTCGTAAAAAGGGCGGGTTTACAGTCGGCGGCGTTTGTTACTTCTGTTGTTAGCGAGCTTGACGTGCCACTGCCACCTCTGCCTCATCGCCTCGAGAATCCCGCCGCTGGTTAAGAAATCAGACAAGTTAGCACTCAGACAGTTCAAGTTATAGACAATCTACAGGGTGAGGAGAGCAATATACGGGCGGGATGCTACGAGGTCCTTCTACGACACTCCTACAAAAGCCGTGCAAGAACATACATGTGGATTGAACAATGTTTCATTAAGAACAAAGAAAGAAATCGAATCAAACCAACCGAACAGAGGAAAACACACGTAGCGCCATAAATCACACTTCCCACTCTCCCAACCACCAACTCTCAATCCCGATCCCCGAGGAAAACGTCCCAACCGACAGACGAAGGCAACAACCAAAAAACACGTGGGTACCAAAAGAAAACCTCCCCAAACCAGTTTAATCCGAATCATCCATGCCATAAGGGTCATCACTATCATCACCCTCCTCCTGAGCACCAAACGAATCCTCCTCCTCTTCGTCATCCGACACCACATACCTAGGCTTAGCCTTGGGCTTCGACGCCGCCGCACGCGCAGGGCGACCCCGTCTGGGCGCCGGCGCCGGCGAGCTATCGACCTTGGCGGCGGGAGCGTCGTCTATATCCTCGTCGTCATCATCGTCGTCGAAGATCGTTGGCTTCTTGGTGGCCTTCTTGGCAGCGTAAGCCTTGGCCGCCGGCGAAAGCGTGGTTTGCTTCTTAGCGGCCGGCTTGGCTTTGGTAGTCTTCGCGTCGTCCTTCTTGTTCGTGGAACCGGCGGGACGACCACGCTTCTTCGGCGCGGCAGAAGCAGCCGCAGCGACGGCAACTGGCTTGGGAGCGGGAGCTGGCTTGGCCGCGGCAGCCTTTGCAGGTGGGAAGTCATCGTCGGACAAAAAATCGTCAATGTCGTCACCCTTGATCGACTTTCGCGGCGATGACTTGGCGAGCATCTCGTAATTGGTATCGTCAAAGTCGTCGAAATCAAACGTCTTCGACGGCTTCGACTTCATCTTGGGAAGTGCCGAACTTCCCTGGCTCTCGGGCCGCGACATGGTAAACAGGCTAAGCCTACCGTTGCCGGTGTCCCCATTGGCCCCTTCGGGCTTCTTAATCCCCTTGACCATGGCACTGAAGTCGCCCAGCATCTTGTCCCCGTTCTCCTCGTCAGAGTCCGAGTCGACGATCCACGTCTTGGGCTTAGCTGCAGCTGCGCGCTTAGACCTTGATGGGGCGCTAGCTTCCGATGGCTCAACGGACTCTGACTTCTTGACCGCTGCCGTACTTGACTTGCCTCTACTCAGTGCCGCAAAGTCATTGTCCGAGAAGCCGTCCGATTTATACGCGTCCGAATCGTCTTCTTCCTTGGGTTTCACCGCAGGCTTGGCCGTGAACATCTCGGCGAACCGATGAGCGGACTTCTCTACCTTGGGCGCTGGGGCGGCGGCGGCAGCTCTCTTGGGTCGGCCCTTGGTCTTCTTTCCTGGATCATAATCATCATCGTCCTTGACGGCAGCCTTACGGTCACGCCCGGCACCAATCTTCTTCGAGGCACGACGGCCAAGCCTGTTGATCGACGTCTGGATCTCAGCGTCGAGACGGAGCTGGCGCTCCCATTCCTCAACAAAGGCGTCAAGATCGGCGCACCATAGGTCCTTCTCGCTAAGCGCAAGGAGATCGTCATGCTCTTGCTTCTTCTTCGCAATCTGCTCCTTGAGCTTCTCGAGGCGCTCGGTCGTGAAAGACCAGATGGGCATCTTCGAAGAAAGTCCGTGTTAGCAAAAGATTGCACTTTTCAAAAAGGATAAAAAAAAAAAAAAAAAAAACACCCTGTGCAACGGGCCCCATTTCACTTACCGAGAGTAGGTAGTCGTAGCCTCTCACGCCAGGATCTGTCTCCTTTTCTGCGCCGTCGACACCGCCCTCTTCCTCGTCGTGACCAAGTTCCTCGTCCGTAGACTTCTTCTTGCCCTCAAGAGACTTAGGCGGGAACGCTTCATAGTCCGCTTCACGGAGCTCCTCGATAATTCTGGCCTTCTTCTTTCGGTTGACGACGAGCTTCGTGTCCATGATCTCTTGGATGAAGCGGGCCTGGTTCTTGAGTTTGCGGTAGTCTGAGTGGTACACGCCGAGCCAGTGTTTCTTGCGTTCCGTGTACATTTGCAGTCGGTACACGTAAAATTCTTCCAAGATGTCCTCAACCTTTTCGTACTTGTGAATCTGGCCGTTGACATTGAATGCGACGAGATTGGACGTGGCAATCTGCCTGGTAAGCTTGAAGCGCTCGCCAATGCCCTCCTTCAGGACCGCTTCCCGTGCCTTGTCGTCAGACAACATGATTTCGAAATGCACATTCTTGTGATCGTTGAATTCCTTGTAGTCTTTGATCCACGACGGGCCCTTTACACCGCTAATAACTTCTTCAAGACGAGCCTTGAAATCGTCCGTCCAAGTGCGGATGGGCAATTCGGTGACGATGATCTCATTGGGCGTCTTATCATTTTGATAGGCAATACCGTTGAACTTGTACCGATCCGGCCCGGCGGGCTCAATCGTTCCCTTCCAGCCTCGGAACCAAGGGTTCATGTGCTCGAAGGGCTTTTCCTCATCGTCGCCTTCCTCAAGCCGGCCCATGCGTCGCTTGAGATTGTTGACAATGTCCATGGGATGGTAGTTGGGGATCGAAGTGCTCCAACCAGTACCGATACCATCAGCACCGTTGACAAGAACCATTGGCACGACCGGAGCGTAGACTTTGGGCTCGATTCGCTTTCCATCCTCGAATTGGTAGTCGAGGTTGGGCTCGTCGAGCGCGGAGAACACCTTGCGGGCAAAAGGCGAGAGACGCGTGTAAATGTATCGAGCACTGGCGGCATCCGAACCACCGGCCAAACGAGAACCAAAGTTTCCGCTGGGCTCAAGACAGTTGACGTTGTTCGAGCCCACAAAATTTTGGGCGAGACCGACGATGGTCTGTTGGAGAGATACGTCACCGTGATGGTACGAGGTCAAACTGGAGATGAAACCCGCGAGATCGTTGACTTTCTGATCCTTGACAACATTTCGCTTGAAACAGCCGTAAATGACCTTTCGCTGACCCGGCTTCAAGCCGTCAATGACGGAGGGGATAGAACGGATATTGTCAGCCATGCTGAACAGAATCAGCTCCTTGTTGATAAAGTCGGAATAAGAAATGGTCTTGGTCGACTGGTCGAGATAGGTGCCAGGCACAAAGTTACCCAGCCACTCCTTTCGAGCATCGGCCTTCTTCTTGGAAAAGGCGAGGTCGAGCATGTTGGCTTCCTCGGGTTGCATGACCTCGAACTCCTTCAAGTGAGCGTCGAGGTTGGTGAAGTAAACTTGGGCATCCTCGTTCGAGGAAGTACCCAAACCCTTGAGGTACTTGTAATCCCATCTAGAGAGCTCATTACGGTGGGCTTCCTTCCAGGCCTCGTACTCGGGCTGAGTGAAGAAAGACTTGAGTTTTGTGGGCTTCTTCGGGTTGCTTCCTTGCCAGACCTTGACGATTGGAGTGATAAACTCACGGAAGAACTCAGGAATCTTGAGCAGTGAGGGGTATTGAACCTGAAGGAAGTTGATGAGAAGACCCTTGATGTGACTCCCGTCGTGATCCTGATCCGCCATGATCATAAGATGACCGTAACGGAGCCCCTTGGTATCGGTGTAAACATGTTTATGTTTCAAACCGAGGAACTGCTTGATGTTCTGAATCTCCTGGTTCTTGGTAATCTGATCTATCGATGCATCTCGAACGTTGAGCATCTTTCCTCGGAGCGGGAAGACTCCGATACGGTCGGGATCGAGAATTGCTCGTCCTGCGATGGCCAAACTCTTGGCCGAGTCACCCTCAGTGAGGATCAAAGTGCACTGGTAGCCGTTCTTGGTTCCCGCCAAGTTGGCATCGACAAGCTTGGCATTGTTGATACGGGACCGCTTGTTACCGTCGCTCTTGGCCATCATCTTGTCCGCCTTCTTCTCGGCGAAGTCCATAATCTTTTGGATGGCGTCGGACTTGGTGACCTTCTTGAGAAAGTCCTCAGAGAGGGTGAACCTACTACCGAACTGACTGACTTTCGTCGTCATCTGTTCCTTCGTCTGAGAGGTAAAGGCGGGATTGTCGATAAGACTGGCGATGAAGATGAAGAGGTGATTTCGGATATGGTTTTGCTTCAGACCGTGGCCCTTCGACTTCTTGTTCAAATGGGTGAGCAAGTAACCAGTGATCTGGTCCGTAATATAGTTGACGTGAGTTCCCCCAGAGGTCGTGGCGATGTTGTTGACGAAGGAGATCTGCTGGAAGGACCCGTCTGACACGGCAAATCCGACCTCCCAGCGGCCATTCGACGCACTATCGGTGATGACGGTCGTCTTGACCTCACCACCCTCCTCAGCGACACGCTCACGGCTGATGGCTCGCGCGTACAGCTCGCAGTAGCCCTTGAATCCCTTCAACTTGATTACCTCACCATTGAGGGAAACCTTGACACCCTTTAGAGTACCGGCCATGTCATAAACGCGACGGCAGATGAGGGCCTCGAGATCGTCATCAATACCTGCATCCATCCCAAAGCGAGCAAAGTCGGGGCTGAAAGTAATTCGGACGAAGTTGGCCGTTTTGCTCGAGGTAATCTTCGGCTTCGAGAACTTGCTCATGTTGTCGGTCCAGGTTTCCTTATATCTTTTCCCGTTATCACTATCCTGGATTTCGACGCTGAATTGGTTGCTGAAGATGTTACAGAGCTTGGCACCAAAACCGTTTCGTCCACCAACCGTCTTCTTCTCCAAGTCATCGTAGTTGGAACCGGTCAGAAGCTCGCCGAAAATCATGTGGGGAATGTACATCTTCTCTTTCTATTCAAAATTGTTAGCAAAGAGGACTGCAAATAGTCCACGGATGGATCTAGGCCGGCGACCTACCTCGTGCATCTCAACAGGAATGCCCTTTCCGTTATTCTCCACGCTAATCTCTCCAGTAGAACGGTCGACTGTGACCTTGAGGTACGTCATTGGCGCAATCCCAGGCCCGTCTCTCTGCTTATTGTCGGCGGCGTTGACGAGAACTTCGTCGAAAATCTTGTACAGACCAGGGACATAATTGATCTTGCGCAGCTCCATTTCTTTAGTCTCCTTGTTGAAGACCCATATTTGAGACTCGGTCATCTCGACCGAGCCAATATATGTGTCGGGACGCTTGATGATGTGTTCGAGCTGCGTCAACTTCTGATACGTCTCGGTCGCCGTCTTCTTAGATCCCGCCTTCGGGGGGGCGGCCGCTACAGGAGAGTCGAGCTGCATGCTGTCATTTTCGATCTCATTCAGGGGTTTGCCGCCGCCCACCTTCTTAGACGCTGGTGCTGACTTTTTCTGCTTCTTTGTGCTGGGCGGGGTGTGTGACAGGCCCGAAATGTTGTCGTCTGAATCATCATCGTCGGCGATGGCTTTTGGCCGCTTCTTGCCGGTGAGGGTGGTCTGTGTCAGTTTCTTGGCGGCAGGTTTGGTCGCCTTCGCCTTCGAAGCCTTTGGAGCAGCCTTTGCCTTGGGTTTCTGGGAGCACCAAGTCAGCATTTTCTCAAACCCAATGCGCATGCCGTCCCTCTCTCTCACTTACTACTACCTCTGGACTGTAGGCATCGGACTCATCGTCAAGGCTGACGACCGAGTCATCGAAAGCGTCGAGATTCATAATTCTCGCAGGATTGTCCTGTGGCACACAGGAATGCAATGGTCTGCTTGCTCGGGGTCCTTGAAATTGGATTTTAGTGTTGAGGGTTGCCAGGGAAGCGAAGTGAGCGCAAGAAAAAAAGTTTTCTTCACGTAGAAAACATAAACGAGCGGTGGCAATTGGGGTTTCCCAAAGGAAGGGACGAAGGGGATATGGTTGGAGCCCAGCTCGCCTTCAAGATGTGGTGCAATTGCCCTGATGAAGAATCGTTGGGCGATGTCGATTGTTTGTTGTCGTGATGGTTGATTGGAGCCGCGTAAACAAACTGAGGGGCGCGTTGAAGTCTCCTCAGCATTCGTGATTACGTAATCCGTGTTACAGAAGATTGTGAAGTACCTTGTTACCATGCAACTGCGACCCAATCAAAATAAGCCCTGCCTGGCTCCTTCCTAGCAACGAAAGGAGCTAGACTAAGAGGGGAAAGAGTTTTGGTTTCAGTTGTTACCAGATGGCACAAGGTGGTAGGGATTCCTTTCCTTGCTCAACGTCCATCATCTTCAGCGTCTGTTCTCAAATAACAGCTCCAATCCCAAGATCACAATCAGCTAGGCTCGGATTAATTATCTTAATTGTATGACATTTGACCACCTTCGTATTTTATTAGTTCTCCTGATAGTCTGCTCGATGTTCCCGAGATGGCGCTGCTGGTCCAAAGTCTCGAGGGATAACTTCAAAGTTGGCTTGTGCCCATAAATGGCCCTGGTTGACCCAGCGCGTCTGACGGGATCCAATCCCACAATCAAGGCCGTATGAGACATGATTCACCTGATAAAGAGTCTTGGAAATTGTCTATTACGACAACCTTCCATTCTCGAAGTACGTTAATGGGTGAGCAACGTCGCAAAGTAATGCCCTAACGCATCGACGGACAGGCTATCTCCAGCACTGAAGGTGGTTGGTTATTGGACTGTGAGAGCCTGGATGCTCGCCTCAACAACAGAGCAAAAACCCGACGCCTTTTACTCCCTATATCTATTATGAAGTGGCTGGAAATCTACCTCATTGGTACCTTCCTCCAGCCCCGGGCCCCGAATGTAGCACGCGACGAGGACCTCGCCGTGACACTCGTCTCCGCATCGTGTGACATGGGAAGAAAGGGCGGCCGAACCTGTGCCATCAGTTCTGGGATATTAAGGTTAGTGTCCCCTTTGTCCATACGCCATGTAACAGTGCCGTCGAACCTCCTTCTGCACGTGGTCCGATCAGCTCTGCCTAGGAAGCGGTGCACCGACCACAAGCCAGATCCCCTATCGAGATCAGGTTTGGTCGTCTCGGTAGCCCAACCTGGGTGCTAAGAACTGAGGCAAGAGTCGAGATCTGGGTTTCGATGTTCTGGTCCGGTCATTGCTTCGACAGCCTGCTACACATTCGCTGTTATGTACGCATGTGCACAGCCTCAGCGGTGTCATATCTCACTATTTCAAGGGATGGATGCTGGAATTCCTCAGCCGACACCACAGAATCAGCCCGCGCTATATGGAACGACCAAGTCCTACACCCTCAAGAGTCTCTAGCCGCTTGCGGCATGCCGTACAACTCTCACGCCTCTGCGTGTCTGGGGCCAATACCGAGGCCGCGACACGAGAGGTATTGTCATGGTCCTTGGAAGGACAATATCCCGGAGTCGATGCACACAACCGTCCTCACTTGTTTCCGGTTACACCACACCTTGGACGTGCTAGATATCCTCCCTCTGCCGGCACCTGCTGTGCCACTGCGACCATTGTACTCTCATCTGAAACCCTTTTTCCTCATCAGGAATGTACCTTGTCGGTCAGGTTGATCCGCGACTCTTCTGAATCAGGCAATTCTCTTTTGTGTACCTGAGAGGTGAAAGTCTTCCTGTTATCCATACGTACCTGATGCACAGGGAGACAAGAAATCTTCCATCTGTCGATGTGAATTTGTCGTATGACGTCTTCTCTGGAGGCTCGGATAGCAGGTGGAAAGGCGATTTCCTTGAATTGGGATTTCCGCTGTTTGCCTGCCACGGTCCCCCGTTCCCGGTGCGTCTAGGTTCTAAGAAGGCTCTCTCGGCGCTGCAGAACAGTAGGAGCGGAAGAATGACTTGCCGCCAGGCTGTCCTAGTCGCAAGATGCTCATGCCAACCTCCCTGTCTGGTTCGATGGCGAAGGACTCCAGAAGGAGAACGGAAAATAGCTGTGTCCAATTCAGTTACGCCGTGGGGGGAGAATTGGAGTCTACCTAGTCTTCGCGGGAGGCTGCATGTGGTGAAATACTTACCCGTGAGTGACAACATGGGCTATGCTAAGAACTAGGGACTCGAGGAGCGTGGATCGCCTTTGCTTTGGTGTTCGCGTTTGGTTGGATTAGACAATCATGTCGTGCTGCAATGCTGGGGCTCCGCGGCCGGTGAATTCCTTTCGGTGGAGGGGGAAAAGAGCTGGACTTTGGGACCAATGGGGTAGACTCCAGCGACTCCATCGGGAAGTACATTCCTCAAGCATCCTCACCCTCCCTGCCCCCACTGCTTCTGCCGCCCAGGTTTTCACTTCAGTGGAATGACAGTCGTCGTACTATCCCCTCGCGGGTTTCGAAAGGGCTAGTGGCAGGCCGAAACATGAACAGACTGGAGGTACATTCAACCATATAGCCTAGTACATGTGGCCGGAGGCGCCGGGGGTGGGTGAGTGGGAACCTGCATCTCTCTGGGGATGGTGGCCGGAGAATGCAGAAGAGGCAGTGAAATATCAGGCCAGCCTATTGGCCCGGCCATGTTGAAGCCAATACTGCCCATGCCCCCCATGGATCCTATGGCCCCCCTCCTTCGGACAATTATTTCCCTTGGCCTTGTACGTCAGGTTAAGGCTCGTGGAGTAACAAGGGCTTGGTGATGTGACAGAGCTCCCACCTCCACATCGACGCTGAGATGAGCCAATATGGCACTCGGACAATCGCTTGGCGAGAACTTCTCGAAGAAGCCTTCGAATCTCGCACGAGAGTGCTGAGTTGACAGCGGCTATATGCAGAGGTATTCGCGCGAAGGTGAGTCGCACATAGGCGGGCACTCTCCCCCCCATCTGACAAGAAAAAAAAACTAACTGCAATAAGCTAGAGTGCATGGCCACTCACAGCAGCCATCTCGTGTCGTGTCAGGGTTTCTCTGCTTGACGGAGTCGCTCTCGATCCGCCAACCTGCTTCGAGGGAGAGCGGTCCCCGGCAGCTTTTGGCCGCTCTCACGCCTCGCCCAAGGCCCGACTGCTTCAGGTCTGGCCGGTCGTTGTTAGGCCTGCCAAGGTCTCTTTTTGTTCTCCTTTTATGATGAGCTGCCGCAACCTCATATCTTCGGAACATGGATACACTTCCTGCAAACGAAAGCCACGCTCATTTCTTTTTCCTGTCCAGCTCGTCCAGTACCACAACTGAAGAGGGGACCCGCCATTGCGTATGTCGAGTCAATTAAAAAAAAAAGCACTTTGCCGGCATCGCCACCGTTGCCTCTTCTTTTTTTTCTGCCCTTTGTTCGACCCTTCTCAGGCTGGTGTGCTCAAGGGAGGCCAAGGCAGATTGACGGCACCGCTTCTGCAGCTATCCGTCCATCTTTCTTCACTCTTCATGACTGGAACACACCATCCGCACTCCCCCTCCACCTTCGGCGCCTTCCCTTAGCTTCCCAGCTTGCTTTGCCCTCCCCTCGCTGTTTTTCTCTCCCCCAAGTACTTTTCCAAACATGCATCGTCCCTGTTTGGTCTTTCCGTTGGCTCTATGATTTGTGCCGGGCCAAACTCTGATTATCAAGCTCCCTTTTCCCCCTTCCTCTCCCCGTACCCCATGTACCCCTGGACACTGGGGTGTGCCACAGACAGACATTGTGCACACTAGGCTCTCATCCTTCTGTAGAGAGAGAGCTTCATCATGCTTCATAATTGCCTGGCGATTGCTCCAATACTGAACTGGGCCAAGGCAAGAAAGCCAAACTTTCCTGCTGCACAGCTATTCCGTCTGAAGCACTGCTGGCCAATGCTTCGACACACACACCGCCGATGGAATCTACTGAAACCGCGCTAACCTTTGATTTTTTGGCCTTGACATCTCCCTCGTACGCTTCTTTACTTTTTCCTGTTTTCTCCATCTTAGAATAGGCCTCTCTATCTTTCCTCATATCTTACTTAGTTCGGGGAGTTTGATTGGGTTCTCAGCGGTCTCTGGGCGAGGGTGTAGCGGGAACAAGAGAAGGGGAGTGGACAGGCCCCGTATTTATTGGAACCTTGATGTTTCTTTCTTCCGACGACGGCGTCCAGGTTTCCCCGCCGCGATCTCTTGGAGACACGACTGCAGGAAGCAGGAAGCAGCAGCAGCATGCGAGACTCTCAAGTCTTTGTTTGACGAAATCCTATCTCTAACATCAATACGATACATTGCTGAGACCGAAAGACCTTTACCCCAGGGAAGCCCCGGTACTACCGTCGAGGGACCCTTTCCCGGAGACCATCGCCACATACGGTACACCCCAATACGGTCCATAATACACCCCAAATACACCCCCGTGGGATACATGCGCCCATTTCGGGTTTCTCATTTTGGGATACTCCATACACTTTATGAATGAGGGCAAAAATTGAGCTTACTTCGTACTTGCCTTCCTTCCCAATCGGTTCATGACCCTTGCCCTCCACTGCTCACTGCAGTTGCTCTGATCTAGCCGCCTTTGCACTTGTCCTTCCTTTTCCCAGTACCCCACTCTATCCAAGGTGCCGACACTTTGCCTTTGCCTTTGCTTGTGCGTACATGCTATTGCAAGTACGAATGCATATGTACGTGTGTGCGTGTCGTGTCTGTATCGTTTCCACACTCCGCATATCCACGTCCTCTCTTCCCATCCTGCGTCTTTGGCTTTGGGCCACCTTCGGTCCTCTACCATTTAGTGGCTTGCACCTCGATAGCCGATCTGAAGAAGCGGTGGAGAGTCCACAAACGGACTCCAGCGCTCTCACAGGCTCGATTCCAAAGAGTCTTACAGAAATCTGTGAGGAACAAAGGAAAAGAAAGAAAAAGAGAAACCTACACCGAGATCCCCCTTCTGCCTCCATCGACACAATTTATGCGAACTGGCGTTCCTTTGAGAGACATCGGCTACTTCTTGTCCGCTTCTTCTAGAAGGTCTTGTCTATAAAGGAAAAGAGGAACGACGAACCCCCTTCCCTCTTTTTGCTCCCACCGAACTACAGGACTGGTTTCTGTACCTCAAGGCAAGTGAAGAAAGGGGGAGAAGATAGAATCAAGTCTTTTTTTTTTCAAGACCACTTCGTTACATATCCCCTTTTTCGGATTTCCCAACTTCCCTTTTCGATCAAGGGGAAACCCTCTCTTCCTCTCGTGGACCCGGGCCGAAACGTGTCAGGGAAATCAACTTTCTCTCCCTCAGTCCAGAAGAAGTAAAAAAAAACACCCTCCTCTCCAGAGAGAGCTGAGGACATCTTCCCAGACAGATACAGGCACACGCATGCCTAAGGTATACATGCCACGGACAGACATATCCGCATCCAAGGCCTGGAGACTTGTTTGCTCGTCCTTCTCTCTCAAGCACGAGACGAAAGGGAAAAAGGAGACTTGAACCAGACGTAACAGCGACCCAGCTTTGCCCCGTTGAGGCACCCTTTCATACACGCCCCCCTTCTCGTCTTCTCGTCCTTGGTCTATTAAGTCTTGGATCCTTCCCATTAGTGAAAACCCTCCATCACATACTTCCTTCTTGTTCTTTTCAACCTCCCTTGTACCCAGCCCGCCACCACGAATCCGGCGATTCTTTCTCTGAAGGAGACCTAGAGGCATCGGCCATCCACTCTACCATCATCCCCAACTTCCTCCAGACCGGATGAGAGGCTCTCAACTGCCTATATCTAACCTACCTCTTGGAAATCTAACGAGTGTCGTCTCTGTTCCACCCCCAGCCGTCATTTGTGTCCCACAACAGAGAGCCACATCGGCCCAAGTGCCCTGCGCAGAGCATCTTCGCCGTACCCCAGAGGACGCAAATCGGTTCCAATCTAGCGGGGGAAGATCATCGCCGGGCAGATACATCCCGTTCCACCACCCTCCGATACCACACCCAGAGCCCGAAGCATGCTGTCATTATCGTCTCTCCTTAACCCAGCGCCCCCTGGGCCACCAGACCCCCGAGTCCACGCGAGTCCGACGTTTTCCTCGCCTGCGACGTCCTACTCGGATACGGAGATGCTACCCTCGTTCGACAGGCCCATATTCTCGAGGATCAAGATGCGAGACTCGGGAAGTTTTACGAAGTCGGCGCGGCCGAGGGGCACTATCAAATTTCACCCGTACGAGGATGTTGACGAAGCGGCGCTGAGGGAGATTATAAGGTTCCAAGTCACACCGTTTGGTCGGATTAGGGAGCGCTGCGCTCATATTCCGTACAATAGCGGCAAGAAGGATTTTTACGAGAAGACTGGGCGGGAAAGCTTTGAAGGTGAGTTTCTATCGTCTGGGAGAGGGGCAGAGAGGAGATGTGCCGAGAGAACAGCAAAGGGATGAATAGAGAGTGTCGTGGGCTAACTTTTCGGATTGTGACAGTGTTCAAATATGATTTCAGGGTACCCGGGGACGAGATGGAGTACACGGTCATGTGGGATTACAATGTCGGGCTCGTTCGAATGACACCGTTCTTCAAGTGCTGTCAGTATGGCAAGGTAGGACCCGAACTTTTAATACCGATGAATCTACTGAAGAGGCGCGAGACTAATGTGGGCAATAGACTATGCCAGCAAAGATGCTTAGTCTCAATCCCGGCCTCAAGGATATAACGCATAGCATTACTGGTGGCGCAATATCCGCGCAAGGTACGGTCCTTCCCCCAATCTTGGGCCCCCTGTTCCCTGAGGGTGGTTTATTAACGGATCTTTGCCTCTCTCCCTCTCCAGGTTATTGGATGCCATATCACTGTGCTAGGGCAGTATGTGCTACGTTCTGCTACAAGATCGCGGGAGCTCTGATTCCGATATTCGGACCAATGTTCCCAGCCATGTGTGTCCGGCCAGACTCCCCAGAGTACGGCCGCATGACGATAAACCCGCGCATCATCGCAGATGCCGCACGCGAAGCGGAGTTAAACCGACGCCACTACCTGAGCATGCACAGTCCGCGAGGAACGCTATCGGGATCCAACAGTCCGCGAAGCGCACGCACACCTGCCCGGAGCACGCCAGAGGGTGACCTATACGGAAGCAGCCACCACCAACGGCAGCCGTACAACCACTTACGGCTCAAACCGAGGGCTCTCTGCGATAGCCCGTACAACACCGACCCCGAGGAAGGCTGTCACCGATCTGTGCCTGACTCTGCCAGCAGCTCGTCGAGCTCGACGACGTCGAGTGCCTACTTCTATACACCTACGGGACCCACCGCCATGCAAACTCGTTCGTCAGGCTGGACACCAGCCAACCGCCCGCCGCCTCAGGTACCAACGCCGCATCATCGAGAAGACCAATACTCTCCGAGCAACCCATGGTTAAGTGCGGTCCCGCGCTTCGCGCCTCCGAACCCGGTACAGCAAGCACCCCCACACCTTCGGCCATGGCTAAGTGAAGGCAGCGGCGCAGGCGGTGACAGCAGCAGCGCCAGCAGCAGTGCCAGCAATGGTAGCAACAGCAGCTCGATTGGAAAGAGACCCATGGAGTCAGAAGCGAACAGCAACGGCCATGACGCAGGCGGTGAAAGCCTAGCGAAGAGCCCTGCGCTAGCCCGAGGTCTTCGAGGCGGAGCAACGGTGAAAGTGGGAGCAGGAGCACAAGTATTAGGTGCAGCAGGCCCCCGAGGCCTTGTGAGACGCCCTGCGGACGGGGTGGAGAAAAATGCTGCACTACTCCTCATGAACCTCAGTGTTAGGGATGGGGGTGGCATGGAGGAGTGTGCGGAGAGGGCGGTGGAGGAGCTGCATCGGGCGAAGAGGCGGCGGGCGAGCTCCATGTGACTGCCTTGCGAGTACGAGTATACTCTGCCTTTCCTTTTTCTTTTGTGTCTCTCTGCTTTTATTTTTTTTGGTGATCCCCCCTTCTCGTCTGATTCACTTCTCTCTTTGAACAAGGCTCTTTTATTTCACATTTCCCTTTCCCCCACCTAATCTGCAAGTGTTTTATGGAATCGAACGACACATCTCGACTCTGGACCCGTCTTAATGGAATTAGTGGGAGAAAAAAAGGAAAAGCGAAGGTCCATGACTCGAGGGTTTACTCCGGTGGAGGAAGCGGGGACTTGGGATATTATTACCTTACGAGGTTGAAGAAAAGCCGGGTTTTTTTTTTTTTTTTTTTTTTTTGGTGCATTTTACTTGTATTGTTGCCGATGAAGAATGATTGGGGGATTCCGGTGCATCAATGCTTCTCGTTGCTTTTCTTCCACGCCCTGTTTTTTAATCTCCGCTGCATGGAGATGTCTCTTGACTTTGGGACGTCAAGGCCATGTTGTTTTGCCATCTTGTCATTCCTTGCTTCTTTTTTTTTTTTTTTTTTTTTTTTTTTTTTTTTTTAATTGCTAATTCTTCATCATTTTCAAATCTCCATTTCTATTTTTCTGCATTGCTGGGGAGTATCGCTGTTTTGTATGTGTTCCTGGGACTTAGTCTAGAGCATTGCTTTCCTTTCTTTATCTCTCTCTCTCTCTCTATTTCATCCTATCCTGCTCTCTTATTCTTTACGTTTCCTTTATCTTTCCCTTTTGTTTTGAGACATTCATCGGAAGAAGCGTAAAGGACGTCTTTAGTTTACAGATTGGATTAGGTCCTTTCGAGGTTTTAACTTTTGCATATGTACTCTGTAATAAGTGCAAGGAAAAAAGGTCTTGGACGAGGACAAGGGGGAAAAAACGAACCGGACTTGGACTTTTGGAAAGGAGAAGGGACTTGGGAGTCATGCAGTCTTGGCGATCGACAAAGAAGAGGAGAAAAAGAAATGTGTGTGTTAGAGTGGAGGGTGTGGCGTACGGGCATCACTTGGCTTGAAGAAAATAAATATGTCAAGGGATTTCCTTTTTCGTTTCATTTCTCTGCCGTGACTTTGGATGGGATAGAAGGAAGGACAGAAGTCCATCGAGGAGACTGGACTCGGGGCAGGGAGGATGAGTATTCTACAAGACAACACACGGTGATACTGCTTGGCCAGATAGGATCTAATACTGCATGCTTTTACCCATCCATGATCTATGCGCCATGCCAATTCCTTCCACTATATCTCCTCAATTGTAGATTCCTACAAGTTTTGCATCCAACTTTTTAAAAAAAAGAAGAAAGAAAAGGAAACAAGACCAAGGCTAAAAGTGAAGCTCTCCAACACTCTAACATCTATCAACGCTCCCCTCAAGCCTTCCCAGCCGCCTCCTTCGCCCTCTGCTCCTTAAACGTCTTAACCCACGCCTCAGCACCCGCCCTAGGCACAACAAAGATCTTCACAACCTGATCAACAACCTCCACTTTCCCACCCGCAAGCACCTTCAGCAACGGCACCTTCTTCCCCATCTTAACAAGCCCCCCCGTCACCGTCTCGACATAACACTCGACACCCGCCAGCGTATACTCCCCCTTCGTATCCCACGGCAATGGGAAAACATACCCCAAATGATCCGCCAACGTTTCCGTCTCACCGAAAGCCTTGATGAAATCCGACTCGAAATGAAGTGGGTACAAAAGCACCGTGGGGAAAACCAACGACGACCGCGGGTCGTCCTCGTCGGGGACGAGCTTAATACTTGCGTCCTCCATCTCGGGCGGCTTCTCCGTACTTTTCGTGCGGATCTCGCGCGCCTTGATGGCAGCCGCCAAAAGGTTGGCCCGACGCCTGGCTTTCCCTTCCCTCTCTTCATCTGCCCTCTTTTTCCCAACCAAGAATTCGTGCCGCTTGATAATATCCGCCGCTAACGCCTTCAACGCCTTGTTTCCCTCATCCAAAGCTAGGCCCCGAGCGCACGCGTCATCAGCCTCCTCGATCCGATCAACTTTCAGCAGCGCCTTTCCAGACCGATACCAAGCCTTGACATTGCGCGGATTCAACCGCAATGCCGCCCCGCAATCTAACCAGCACGACCGGTAATTCCCCAGCTCCAGTTGACAAGCAGCGCGGTTCACATACATCGTCTCAAGCAACTTCTTCTGCTCCCGAATCGTCTCCTCCGAATCGGGCGTGCCGTCCTCGGACCCCGACGTCGTGATCTCCCCGCGGGCCCGCTTCCTCTCCTCGTGCCACAGTATGTTGATGCCCTTGTCGTAACTCTCCTTGGCGTCGGCCCATCGCCTGATCTTAAAGGATTCGTTGCCTTGCTCCTTCATCTCGCCGGCGTTTTCGAGAGGCGTGCCTTCGTAGGCTAGGGCCTGCAGGGCCGCCAGATGCTCGTTTTCTTCTTCGTTTTCGAGGTCGGTCATGAAGAGGGGGGATTTGTTGAGATCTTTGAGGATGTCTTCTATGCGTTGGCGCGGCGCGGCCGGCTCGGGGCCCATGACGGGGGCGGGCTTCGCTTTCGCTTCATCTTGAGTTGTTGTGGCGGGTTCTTGAGGTGCTGTCGCTGACGTTGCTGGTGCTGTCTCTGCTGGCTTGCCGGTGGGCTTGTCGCCGGCCTTGATGGCCTCGGCGGCCTCGTCTGTGATTTCTGTGAGCTTCATTTTTTTTGGCTCTCCGGGCGTTTGTGTCGTTTATGCCGGAGCTGTCGCGCTCTTTCGATTCGTTTTCCTTGACGGAGGTGGTTTTGCGATGTTGATGGTGGGGTCAAAATCCACCCCGCTATCGCCCTGATTATCGTTATCGCCAGGCGTTATCGTTATCGGAGCAGCGCACTTAACTTCCTCGATATTCTTCCTTCCCCTTCTCAATGCTGAGGCTGTCTCCTAAGTATACGGTTATTTTGGAGAAATATTGCGAGTATACCGGAGGCATGGACTGGGTTAACTCAACTAGAAATTTTCACGCCGTACTAAGAATTTAATCGAGTGTAAAGCCACTTGAAGTCAATGCCTTTGTATTTGTAGATTCGGTTAATATAACGAGGAAAACCTGCAAGTAAGAAACGGAGCTCTCGATCGATGATGATGATATCGCCGTGATTTCTAAAGCTTTAGTAAGATACTCAATGTTCGAACTAACTGTTCTCCGCTGTTGAGCAGTCTCGATAAAATTGTCTGTGTGGTTTCCCTTCGGCTCCACGATGGCATCTATATACCAGCATCATTGATCGAGTAAGTCTTCTTGAATTTTTACTGTTATCACCACGGTCACTGGATAACGCAGACGAGTGTGTGCTTAGTAAACGTACATACACAAGAATGACACTAGAATCATGGGATGGGAATAATAATACCGTGGCTATATAGATCTAGATATACGTCAATTGATGTGGAGAGCACGATCCGTCCTACTTCCTCTCCTTATTTGAACTTTTAAATCTCTTATTTTATATTTTATTAACGCCGAAAATGGAATCCACGCTTCAAATGCTAAAAAGTCCTGCAGCGCCTGCTCCGCCTAAAACATGGAAAAGAATCCAAAGTGATGTATAAAAAAAATAAAAAATAAAAAAAATACAACGTTGTGATGGGCCATTGCTCATGTCCCCGTGCCAGGCTTGAAAACGATCTCACGCGTCCCCGCTATCCTTCCGATTTTGGGCTTTTCTTTTTTCCTTTTTCCCTTTTCAAGATTTGCCGCGTCATAGAGACCCGAAATCCAAGACAGCGAGGCAGGCGGGGATTGGGTTGGATGGGCTGAGACGTCGAAATGGCATTGCGCCCGAGATGGACCGTCACCACTCTCACCAACATGAAGGATGGGATATCGGACATGAGGATAATTCTGCCTTCACACATTTCCAGCGCTTTCAAGGTTGCCGGTTCACTCATTCCTCACCTCGCACTTCGTCACGCGAAGGACGGCAAAGTTCACGGCTCCCGCGGCTCCCGCGGCTCTCACCCTCTTCATCACCAGCCGGATTCCGGCGCCGTTCAACAGAGAAGCACTGGAACGATCCCATGATCGCCACAAGGGCACTTCCGAACCACGCAATGGCAGTGCAGTCCATCTTGCTTCCGACACCGTAAAGATGCCCCGCGATGGGTGGGGCGATCATCCGGCAGGCTGCACCAGCGCTCGCGGCCAGTCCGTTCACTTTTCCCAGGGCTTTGCGGGACGGAGCAGCGTCCTTGATCAGGATTAGGAGAAGGGGATATAGGATGATGGCGAACAGACTCCGGATGGTCAGGCAAAGGTAGATGGCGGGGAAGAGCAGGGACTGGGGCACGTAGAGGAGTCCGGGTACTATCACGTAGGCAATCGGATGGAGAACTGCCACAATGACGAAGAGGCGGTGGATGCCGATCCAAGCGGCAGCGAGGGGAAACACGATGGCCTGGATGAAGAGGGCAATGGCACCGTCGACGGCCATAATCACTCCAACAGTTCTCACAGTAAATCCAAGGCCTCCAGGAGAGTAGAGAATAGAGGACAGGGGAGTGGCAAACACGTTCACGACGGATTTGGTCTGAGGAACGACCCGATCGTCTTCGAAAAAGATGGGCAGTAGGTGGTCGTACGTCATCGAGTGGTAGGTAAAGATGGAGAGCGCAATCACCAGCGCCACGATGGGCTTGGTGAATACGCTGCGCCGCGAGGTCAAGTCCTCTCGCTTTTCCCACACTTCTACGGCAGGGCTGGGGGGTGGGTCAGACTCATTGAAGGTTCCATATGTACCAGATCGAACATCAACAGCTGGTCGCTTAACGGCATCCGAAGTCTCGTTAAGGGGCATCTCTTCCGAGGTGTAGGTAACCTCGGGGCAAACGACATCACGGGGTCGCAGGTCAGGGTGGGTCTCCTCCAGCAGGAAGTAGCCCAAGACGACACTGATGAGTAGAAGCAGGGCGCACACAAGATTTGGGAGAAGATATGGCAGTCTGTGGAAAAGGGATCCTTCGGGGAAGAGGGTTGGCCAGGCGTGATGAGGGTTCGCAAGAGTCCCTCCGATGGCGGGTCCGATGATAGTCCCAATGGACCAAACGAAGGGCATGACGGAGAAGGCTCGGGCTTTTTATAATGTTATTGATTAGTAAATGGAGAGGCGATAAGACGTTAAGGTAAAAAGAGAGAGAAGAAGGGAAAGAGAAGAACTCACGCTCGTGTTCTGGCTTCGTCACCAGTTCGCCCACCATCGTCTGGATGACGCCGATATTGCCGTTCAGAAGCCCCCCGAGTGCCCTTCCGAAAAGCGCGAACCACATATTCGACGCGAACCCCACCATAATCATGCTGAAGAGTGTTCCAAGGCACCCAAGCAGCAGAACGGGCTTTCGGCCAACTCGGTCCGACAGGGCTCCCCAGTGCATGCCAGTGAGGGCTTCAGCGAGGGCGAAGGACGAGATCAGGAGGCCCGCGTAGAAGGACGCATCTTCTTCCTTTCCAACTTGGTACCATTTTACAAGGGGCCAGGCGTATGGAAAGATGGAAGTCAGGGCGACGGGTTCGGCGAGGCGGACGATAGCTAGAGAAAGTTAGTGTTAGTTCGTGGGATAGCGCAGGGACAATTCAAATGATTACACGCGACCGGTTGAAGGAGAGGGGGCAGTGAAGAGTGGGTTACTCACCCAGAAGAAAGAGTTGGCCAGCAGGGAAGTCGTCAGGGTTGCGAGGACATCTCTGTTTGGTTATTGTCATTGTCTTCCCTCCTGGTGATGGTCTTAGTATAGACTTAGACACGAACAAGAATGATTGCAATAAACACAACCAACTTGATCGTCTAGTCTCCCCTCTAGTTGTGAGTGTGAACCAAGATCTGGCAAATATTGGATGGGGCTTTTGTCGCGGGAGCGAGTTGTATGCGTGCGCGGGATGGGTGCGCGGGATGGGTGGCCTGCGATATCTCTCGATGGAAATACGGATTGTCTAAATTCGACTTCGAGACAAGAGCCTCTGCTGAAGTTGTGGAGGAGGGGGAGGAATCAAGCCGAATAAAGATGGAACAGCGACGGAAGAAAGAGAAAGAAAGCTCTGTTTATTTGCGGAAAGAGATATCTTGTCTAGGAGGGGGAGTCAGAGAGAGGGAGGGAAGGTCCGGGGCAGGAAAGTAAATATACTCGGGGAAGGCTTGGGAAGTTCGCCACTTCTTCGGAGGAGCTCCCGCAACACACACCGATCCCACCATTCTCACCGCTGAGTATGTAAACTCAATAAAAGGGCTGCCCGTCGCTTGTAAGGAGGCAGGAATTGATCGGTTTAGTGACAAAACGCAACATAATTCCCTTTATTGTTTCCATTGACAGGGCTTATCAATGGGGTGAGATTGTCTGGGTGCTAGTTCAAGGGTAGCCTTCAGTAGCCCCGAGTGTTACCCATATCCGCTCGGCACGGTATACATGATGTTCCGGCAGGCGTGTTCGTGGTTTTAGACCGATGAAGGAAAGTGCACGGCGTCGATGGGAAAAGAAAGAAAAAGAGAGAAAAACATCGAACTCTTCGTAAAAGAAAAATGACCACGGAGTAGAGGTGTGTCTATAGTGAAAAGCGGTTAGGGTGGCGGCGGGGTATCCCTGCTAGGCTCTGCCTTATCTACGGTGTAGTTGCATAACACCCCCTCATCCGGTAACCCTGGTGCTACACCCACACATGTGAATTGAGACTGGCTCTTGCACTTCCATCTGCTTCGTCCGAAGCTCAAAGTGACGGTTCCGCCATTATGTCTCTCCCCGCGGCAGCGCATGAAGCGAGCGAATACTTTCATGTGAGAGGATGCATGGCAGAACCAGCAGGGGTGTCCGCATCTTCTGAAGAATACGTCAGTCCTTCGTATAAGATCCAATGCTCTCACCCGTGCCGCCTCAAGAGGAGCCAGCAGGCTTTCTGGTCCCTCATACATAAGGATCAGGGTTTGAACCCATTGACACTTGGCGCTTCTGTGAGTCGATGGAGGACAGTCTCAGTTCGGGATATCCTTGAAATCGGGGATATGATGCCATTAGTTTCAGTTCATTTCGACTGAAGGTGGTCTGTGACACTGCTATTCAAAACGAAGCAGGGTATTCTGTCTTGATAGTTGGCTGCTGCAGTGTATATTGGTCATGAAAGCGGCAGGGTGAGTTTCAAGACAAACGGGCAAAGCGGGATGGTTCTGCATGAGATGATGCTCAAATTTGGCAGCAAGTTCGTAGTTGACATGTTCTTGGAAGCTCCGGTCGTTGAATTGCCTGAGCCATTCCTAATACGGGTTTGTTGGAAACCGCCCTGTCTCATTAAGCAAAGTAACCTCAGCGCCATCAGGGCATCGCCTGGCCTCTCCTAAGGTCAGCCAGAATAGGCGCAATGGTCAGCAATGCTCTATATTCTACATGACCCTTCCTGAGTGGAGTCCAGAACTGACCTGGACCAACAGGGAAAGCAGTCACGCGAAGGCCGCGACGGTGAGAAATTCCCAGTCCCTATGCCTTCGAATGGAACATGGCAAAATGCCTAAAACATACCCGGAACGGCACGTACACTCCATCTTGAAAGGCGAAACCCTCTTTCAACAAGTGAGGTTGACAAGGACCGCGCGAGACTATGAAGAATGAAGTACGTAGTTCGAAGTAACCGAGCTGAATAGTCGGCGCACGGACAATCTAGCCAGCCTATGCTTGTATGCGAGTCTCAGTCCTCCATTATCTCCATTATCGGGGCACCGCTTCAACCCCTCCAACAAATCCCCAGCTCTGGCCGGTTTCGTTTCCCACGCTGTGGCTATCACCAAAAAGCACACAGTAAACGAGAGCACGGTATACACGATCCCTTCTCTCCGACTTTCATCTTCCGATATCGTATCTAGCCGATGGTTCATGGACACGAGAAATCATGTCTAACCCCTCCTTTGAACCTACCCAGTCATAGAATCCATCCCTGTTCCTTTCCAAATTCTCACACATGTTGTCCTCGAGAAGGAATAACTTCAGAGAAAGCGCAGTTAAGGGACAGAGAGTCAGGGTCTCGATGAGCCAAGGGACTCTATCAGTTGGAGAAAAAGTCGGTAGGAACTTGAATACCAAAACCCTTCAGCGGAAGGCGGGGACTCTTCGGAAGTGAACCACGAATTTATTACGTATTATTAAATTTCCTAGCCTTGGACTTAGACTCGGGCTTGGAGCATTCACGTCGTGCTCAGCTGTCGCATTTCCTCCATGCTTCCGTCGCACATGCACCGCGTTGCGTGTCCTGTTATCTAATAGATTGATCCCAGAAGGCTCTGTTCTCCCATGCACACGTTAATGTTGTATCCCCTAAGTTCACCCTCGATGATGCCATACCACGGATGCAGGCTTTTGCATGAGCCATACCCGTGCTGCATCTACAGGCAACGAACCTTACGTCGTTGCAGCGATGCATCTCCTCATCCTCATCCTTGTAAAACGCGGGCTCGCAGTTTACCTTTCCCATGTCAGCCGCCTCTGTGCCGTCTAACTCCTACTGCACAACCTCCGCCTTATTCTCTTTCTGTGTCGCAATGAGGGGCTCTGTCTTCCGACACCACGCATGGAATGGGGCATACCCTTTACCATTGATGTCCGAATCAGCCTGTATTTCTGAAAAGACATCGTGTTGAAGACAGGAAACTGGATCAGCCAGTAACAGGCCGGTTAGGCCTTCGCCCCTTAGAAACCTAACGGCAGTTTAGACACAGTCGCATCCATTCCATTGAGAAGTACGATGTGCCGGGAATATCTTTCTACATCCTCATGAGATGGACGTCGTTCTTTTCTTCAACCCTCTCCGAACCCGAAAGCCACCTTCACAAGAACGACGCAGTGCTAGGCTGGGACTAAAAGATCACTAATCTTATTCAACAACAAACTAGTGTCAAAAGCGACCTGGTGACGCTCAAATTCTGAGCAACGGAATACTAAACAAGCCAAGCAACGTGTCCGGCCCATCAATCGAAGCTTCAACGTTCCTTTGTGCGTCCCCACTCTCATCTTTCCCACATAGCGCAAGCGGAAGCCTCGAAGGAGGGAAGGCCGAGAGAGCCGCCATCACAACGCTTACCCCAATTCTTACCCTAATTTCGCCAACCCGCGCCATCTTATTCGCCAATGGCCCTGTCTATGGTGGCCTGTGGGTGGGATGGATTCGCGGTCATGGGTCTCGATAAGAATTGCTAAATCGACACCCCCGTTACGACGTCAAGGGTTAGCTTCCCATTCCATCCCATGGACCCATGACACCCCATCGTGTCGAGGGCCTCGTGCAGACAAGCTTGGTCTGCCTGAGCCTCGTTAGATGCATTCTGCAGATGAAGAACGGGAAAAGCATGAAAAAAAAGTTTCTCAATTCACACCCCCCTGCAATTCCCCTCCCTTGGTCTCCTGCACGTCCTGTCAAGTCGTTTCCTATTCAATGATGCTCCTAATTTCGCGATGGCTCGAGACCGAAGCGGCAGACCGGGGCTTGAGTTTGAATTACGAAATACTCCATCCAGCCCGGTCTGCTTAAGGTGACCATTGGCCTGTTGACCTATTTTTCCACCGGCACGAGCCATGTCTGGCCTGTTTACCTTGGGGAATATGGAGAATCGGCCGTATGAAGCAGACGATATGCAACGCACATACTATAACCACGGGTCCATGGATATCTCTTGGGGACCTACGAAGCTAGGTCCACGATGATGCAAGCAAGAAACTTAACACCGACGCATGTCAGATATGATTCCATGGGTCGGTCCGTAGGGTCTTAGGGCGGGACATCTCATCAATTGGCCTCCCCTCTGCGTCGTGTTTTTTTGTGTCTCCCCTGGTTAACTCGAGATATCTCGGTCAGTACTACTCGTTGGCCAAAACGAGGTGAGAAGAAACTTAATAACCTAATAAATCACCCTACGGCTTGTAGGATTTCACTTCGACCAAGCTTAAACGCAAGACAGGCCTCACCTTGGAAACCATAACAAGAACAAGAAAAAGAAAAAGAAAAGATAACACGTAAACTGTAGTTTGAGTCGGTCAAACAGGTGCACAAATCACCCTACAAACATCAATAATTATGCTGGTCCCCCACCGGTCGATCTGTCCACCGACATCACATTCATCAATCAATCCGAAGACCAACCCCTCCGTCATCAGTACTGCGCTCATGCTTCTTCCATCTTCCATTCCCCCGCCGACTCCCCCTACCACGGCATCTGCCCACCACCTTCTTTTTAGTGTTGCAACTTCAGAGTTTACGACACAGAGTAGCATCGCGAAGGGTATTCCTCGAGAAACCATGCATGCAAGGAAGCGGATACACGGGAGTTTTGTGCCAGCCGCAGAAATACCCTGTCCCGTCTCTTCTAAACTAGCTGCAAGCTTCTCTCACTCGTTTACTGGCCAGAGCAATGAGCACAGGGCCTGGGATGGTCGCAGGACGCGGAGTCGGAAGAGTCGGAGTTGCACTCACAACCGTTAAGCTCAAGCTGAATCCGCCCACTTCAGTCGGCTAACCCCACCCTCCACGTTGTGCCATCCAGGAACTTGGGTAATTATCCAGAATTGCTTCCGCTCCATAGAGTTTGCCTCAAAGGCGTTGAGATCGTCTAACTGACCACTAACAAATAAGGGCCGATGGTCTAGTGGTATGATTCTCGCTTAGGGTAACACCCTATGCTAATATGCGAGAGGTCCCGGGTTCAATCCCCGGTTGGCCCCCAAATTCTCTTTTCGTCTCTTCGGACAATTCGAATTTTTTTTTTGAACCCCCGTTCCTGATGCCTAAAGTTTTTCTGTTCTTCGAAAGATGCTTTGCGAGAAGGGGACGGACGGGGTTTTATATATTTTGGGTCTCCTGTGTTTTAATTGGGACTGGGTATTCTTATCAATTCTATTTCCATCTTATCAAGTCTCATGATGGTGGCATTGAACAGTTGATTTGGGCGCCTCATGATCATGAAATAATCTAGAAATCAGTTTCTTACAAGTGACTTACGAAGTATTGTGTAGAAGAGAAAGAGAACTGCCATTCCATCGGTGTTGGCATATTCGTGGAAACAGACCCAATGCCGAATGGGTTCGAGGGGAGGAACGCCCAGTCTGGCGACTGCTTCTCCTGAGTGCAGCATTTCGTTTCCGTTGCCGCTGTCTCCCCGATCCATTATCATGCCAGGTTAATTAATACCACGGTGACGAAATCGAGGCTTTGGCATTTTCTGTTGCATCAGTTCCGACGAGATGCACTAGCCGGGAGATATCTAAGAAGGTAGCAAGTAGTCTCTGAATCTACGAGTGGGTAGCTGTGTACAGCTTCTCAGAGTTGGGAATCTCGGGGAGTGTCCTTGCCGAAGTGTTGATTTCATTCATCGACCGCGACAGAAAACGGGATACCCCAGATCAGAAATCTTGTCTCCCCATAGACCTTGAGCAATGCAAAAACTGTCGTCCATTCGGGGGAGGGTGACCAAATCGAACTATTGGCAATCCCCATCTAAAAATGTAACGGCGGCTCACCGGGAACTTCAGCCATCGATCCCACCCACCCAAATCGCGCATCTAAACCGATTAGACTGCAGGAAAAATTACTCGGATAGAAAAAGAGTTCGAAAAAGAAAATAAAAACTGATGCAATTCAACTATCAAACCAACTCTCCATAAATATGGGCGGAGGAGGATTGATGATGGCTTCAAACATGAAGGGTAAAAAGTCCAAAAAGAACGGCCTCGGCCGGGATTCGAACCCGGGACCTGTTATAACCACAGTATTGTGATGGGAATGGGTTTCCCCGCCCGAAACAACAATCATACCTCTAGACCACCGAGGCACCTTGCTTCTTGTTATTGGTCTGCTGTTCCTAGAAGACTATATATGGCTGTAACGTGGAGGCAGCTGGCAAACCGCCACGAATTTCTGTTGACAGCTGTCGTCATTGTTAGCGTTTTTCTGTCAAATGAAAGGCTTTGGGAACAGGTGAGATCACTCAGCTGGAGGTAATTGGAGCTTTCATGGGTGTATGCTTGTGAGAACTGTTGGAGACAAAGGAGGGAAGAAAGAAAAAGTTATGTGTGTTGTGTGTGGTGCTTTGTTGTTGGAGTTGTTGTGGAAAAGAAGGAAAAGAGACAGAGGTCGGAATGGAGTGCGAGTCTGGAAGCTCGTCTCGACGGTTCGGCCTGGCTCGGCGAGCTGGGCGAAGACACTGGCTATGTGCTCTTGGGAGACAATTGAAGCGTTGAAACAAGTTGACGCGTCGAATCGACAGTTATGATCGCCCAGGATGGGGCCCTTGCCCCGACACTCGAGTATTGTCGAGTGTGCAGTTGGAAGGAGAAGAAAGGTTTGTAGCGGATTCCACCGAAAGGATATATGGGGAAGAAGAGTAAGTGAGGATTTCTATTTTGACGGAACGAAAAATCATGGCAGTCTACCTCTATGACCAGCACAAGCCCTTATCTACCCAACCATGAAGCTATGGACCATTGCGCTTTCCCCCACCTTCTCTAATGCTCATACTCCATCCTCCCCTCCCCAATAACACCCCAAAACTCCTCCACAATCTCCCTCTGCCCACCCGGCGCCGCCCTAACAGCAAGATACTTCCTCTCATCTACGCCCGGCTCCCACACCCCCGGGTTCCCACCAACCATCAACCCACCCGCCTCCGTCAAAATACACCACCCCGCGCAAACATCCCAAGCATAGCACCCGCCCTCCCAATACATGTCCAACTGGCCCGCCGCCACAGCCGCCAGGTTCAAAGCGGCCGACCCCATCGACCTAAGCGAATGCACCATACTCCCCCCCGTCTCCTTGCTCGCCGTCAATTTCCGAAACGTATCGGCCTTGACCTCGAAGTTGGGGCCGTCCCGCGCGGCGGGCCACTCCACCGCCACGAGCGCCGTGTCCAACCCCTTCAAGGGCGTGGGGTTCTTGGCCAGCGGTAGTCGGCGGTCGATGGTGGAGCCTCCGGGGCGCGTCTGCATGAAGGCTCCTTGGCCCTTGATGGCCCAGTAGAGGATGTCGAGGAAGGGGTTGTAGATGACGCCGATGACGGGGACGCGAGATACGGAGAGGCCGAGGGAGACGCAGGCGTGGGGGAAGGAGTGGACGAAGTTTGTCGTGCCGTCGATGGGGTCGACTATGAAGGTGGGTGTGTCGGTGACTTTGGTTCCCGGTTGCCAGGTTTCTTCGCCCATGAAGGAGATGGTTGGGTACGCTTCGCGGAGGGTCGTGGAGATGTAATCTTCGACGGCTTTGTCGGTTTCGGTGACGATGTCGACGGCTGTTTGAGGGGGGACGTCGTTAGCAGGTAGAGCTTTGGAGAGCGGTATCGAAAGCTTCTGGGGCGGGTTTCGACTTTACAGTTGAGCTTAGTATCCGTGGCAAAGTCCTGCTTGAAATTGGCATCCAGAATCATACGACCGGCTACTCGAGCAATGTCGACGAGCTTGTCGCGAATGGCTTTGAGGTCGAGGTCCGACATGGTGATGAGTTATAACGGGAACGGGCCAAGATAGTGTCCAAGAATGGCGGTTGGGAAACAAGGTAAATTAAGCCACAAGAGCTCCCACAGATGAATTGACGTAGTTAAATCTTCTCAATAAGGTTCTAAGCCCAATATAAATACGCGCCCTGCAGAGTCGACCGAGGGGTTCCTCGATGACCACCAAATCACAAAAAGTTGTAGTGGGGGCGGGGTAGCTCGTTTAGTTGCCCCGCTAGCGTCCGGGCGCATTCGTCTGTGCATCCCGATCAGTCTGAGTTGGACATGCCCAGCCAGCGGATGCGCAAGTCGGGGGCAGTGATTGGAGAATAGGACAGACACTGCGAGGAAGCAGGCGCATGGTAGTGCATCTGCCAAGTTTAGTCGAAATGTAGCCACTAAGTGAAAAACAGCATCGCCTAGCTTCGGCGCGATTCTGAGATTCGGAGAATATTGTTAATTTACCTTCATGAAGTTTACATAAAATGAAATCAGGAAACATTGATTTGAACGCCGAGAAAAAGGAAACCTCTCCCCCATAAACAAACCGTCAACCTCCCGATGAATCCCAAGCCGCCCTTCCTTCAAAAGCCAAGTCGTACAGTGTGTCATGCCAGGCATCATACAGCCAATTCTGTGCTCTCCGTTGAAATCTCCTCGTCCTCATTCGCATCGAATATACCACGTCCGCCATGACATCTCATCCATGCCCTCCCCTTTTCGACTTGCATGGAAAGCACATTCCATCAACCTCTCCCTCACCCAAACTTCAAGCTCAGTCCTCCCCCCCTAGACATCCTCCCTAAACACCGACCTCCGATTATCAGTCGGACTGTCGTCATCCTTCTTCCCCTGTTTCCCCGCGCCCGTATCAATCGGCCTAGGACTCATCCTCCTCACGCTAATATTACTCGGCTCCGCATCATCGTCAAATGGATTCCTCTCCGCCGGCTGCCTTCCCCTCCTCTCCTCCTGCACAGGCGTCCTCGCCGCCGGAGTCCTCGGGATGTTCATCTCGTATCCGCTATCGCCGAGATCATCACCCAGACGGTTTCCGCCGCTCGGAGCAGTGGTATTGGCGGCTCCTCCGCGGTAGCTGGTATTTCCTAGCTCCGCCTCCTCGTAGTACCCGTAGTCGTCGTGCACGCGCGAGTCCCACGCATCATCGGTATCGAAGCCCGATCGCGCAGGGCCGCCAGAGGGCTCGTATGCACCGCGGGCCGTCCGGTTGTTTCGGTGCTTGAAGTCGCGGACGCGGTCGTTGAACCAGCCGACGACGCCGCCTCGCGCGGGGCGGGCTTCGAAGGGGGAGTTGTTGGATTTCATGAAGGGTATGTAGGACGATAACGGGGGAGGCGGAAGCTATATATAAATGGGCTGTTAGAGATCGGATAAAATGGCCCAAAGCGAATGCGAATGATGGAAGCCCGCGATGAAAAAAGGAGCGACACTTACGCCGAGGCGCCTAGCGCGCAGTTGGGTGAAGATGACCCATCCCGCACCAGCGACGATGAGTATCACGATAATGGCGATGACTATGCCTCCTGCCGCATTCACCATTTTGATTGATGCGGACCTCCGCGCTCAGCTCTCTCAGTTCGTGATGTTGCCGTTGTCGTGTGTTTTGTTTCATGCGGTGATACGAGATCGAAATTGCTCAGGTGGTGGGCGGCCTTGGATCAGGTTGCCAGATAACAGCCCCGCGAGCTCCGTGTGTTCCTCAATTCGGCTGGGTCGCTTTTAATCGTCGGGGAGAGTAGCTTCTCCGTAGATATTTCGCAAAAGGAAAAAATTGACGATAAAAAATTGACGATCGGGTACGCCTAAAGGCTCGGTCGGAATATTGGTCGGTGTGGGAAGAGGAAGGTTCGATTGGGAGACAGAAGTTCGGTTGCCGGGTCTAGCTTTTGTCGGGTTGTGCGTCGTTCGTTCGAGATGACGTTTACCTGCTGCTCTCTGGCTCCACAGCGGGTTCCCAGTTGGGCGGCGGTGTTTTTTGGGTGATCAATTTGATTCCTTGCCAGACCAGGCGGCGGTTTTCAGTGGGTTGGCAACCTCAAACAGGCTTGATTTGATTGATCAAGACGACACGAACGTGGTTAGATAAGCAAGCCACGACTCGCTTGTCCGCTCGTCGCAAGCTTCAATCGTGATCTATTCTGCAACACGGAATTGACTTACTCGTTGTCACCCACCGGACATGTCCTTCTTTCATCGATGGTTTAGAGGCGCAGCCAGCATGCCTGCGTCCTCGCAGTCTTGGCGTCTCTTGTTTCTTCGTCTTTTGAACAGCTCCGCGCCCTAGGCTCTTAGCATAGGCGACTCAGCCTCAAGCGACCGCGCAGTCCAGCCAGGCGAAGCATCATTGAATTACTTTGAGCATTCACTCTTTGGGCCTCAAACCATCAAGATCTTTGATGTCTCGGATTCTCAACCGTTTCATTACTTAATGTACATCAATGTACATTACTTGCAGCCGAATCGGAATGTCTTAACTAACCGGAATGATCAGACATGCTATAAAACAATGCAACCGTCCATAAGCTCCCATATTGTCCTAGACGTTGAAAGAGAATAGAAAACCGTTCGAATCTCCCGTCATTCCTCCTAATCGCTCATTCGGGTATCATTGTCATCTAGGAAACACTGGTCCCAATGCCCTCCACCTCTCGCAAAACTCAACCCATCAATAAATTGACCAAGCCTACACCTCCCCAGCCCATCCGCCTTACATCCTTGCAAAGGCACAACTCTATCATTCACGATGACTCTAACAAGCTCCTCCTCGCCCTCCGCGGAACACGTCATCTTCTCAACAAACATGCGCCCAGCAAAAGGAACCGTCCAGCTCGCCGCAAACCCCTCCGTCTTCCCCGGCGAAGTCCTGTCCAACCTCGGCAGCGGTTCGGTAAGGTTATACAGACCCAGGGCGGCGTAGATGGAGAGCATGGTATTGTCATGACTAAAATCCGCGTAAAGCGCCCGATCGAGGGGAAAGGTATCAGGCGAGCCCGTGAGCGTCGAGTTCGTCGACGTGTGGTCTTGGACGGGACGGCGCGTGAGGCGGGCGACGAGCTCGTTTACGAAACCGACGCCTTGCGTGGGGCCTAGGGGATTGCCGTTGGCGTAGCCGTAGTACTTTCCGAGGGATTGATAGTAGTCGTAGCTTTTCCACTCGTCGTGGGTGAAGAGGTGGCAGAAGTCGGAGACGTTGGTTTGTGGGTTGGGGTTGGCCACGGTGTAGAAGGGACAGAGGTCCATTATGTTGATGGCGTCGTCTCGAGTCAGCGCAAGGTCTCCTCCGAGGTTATCGTGGAGTCGTTGGAGGATGGGCGGGGTGAATTTGTCGGCGAAGGCGTTTCGTGCGTGGTTTCCGACCTGGCTCTCGGGTCCTTCCTCGAACTGGGAGCAGCGACCGTGGTCGAGGGTGTTGTTGAAACCGTGCGTCTCGGGGACGATCAGAATCGAGCCTAAGTATTCTTCTTCGTCGGGCACGGGGCCTCCGTCGCCGGCCACCAGCTCCCCGTAGAACCCATGGGCCCAGTTCTCCGCCGAGTCGATCACGCGCTTCTGGCCTGACGCCCTTATAAACGGCAAATTGTCGACAAATGCCAAATGTCCGTACCTCTGCGCAACCTCACGGCCCTGGTCGAGCATCTGCTCGATGCCAAAGGCCGTGAGCTGGTCGGCGCCGAGGGTATACTCCAAATCTTTGAGGAACTCGTATCCCTTGCCGAACTTTGTCGCGCCCTTCTGGATCCTGGCAAGGGTGGCGTTGTAGATCTGGGTTTTGTAAAGAGTGGGATCTCGCGCACCATGTCTTGAGAGGACTTGGGCGAAGGTGATGGTGCATCCCTCGGGCACGGCAGAGTCTATCTCTGAGGGGACGGGGAAGTAAGGGGAGTATTGGCCCCAGAGCTTAGTTGATACTTTTTGAGGCTGCGACGCGTAATCGAATCTTTTGAGCGAAGTTAGCGCGAACCCTCTTGGGGGATAGAAGAATAAGGTCAAGGTCCCCCAGTATACACGGTTGTAAAGTTTCGACGGGCGATAATACTCACCCCAAGCCCGAAGTAAGTATCATATATGCGACCAAAGCCGCCGCCAAAGTCAAGGTCGCGATTCTTAATAACCGCCTATTCCGGGCTCCCCAGGGTGTGTCGCGAGGCGCATCGTCGTCTGCTATATCGACGGTGGATGAGGCGGTATCGAGCGTCGCATACTTGGGACCAGACGAGAAACCGGGGATTCTCGCCTTGATGTCGGCCATGACGCCGGAGAGGCTCATCTGTGGCATATTTCCCCCCTTGCTTTTAGATATCAGGGAGTGTAGGAAGATGGGTTTCCGGTGTGTTTTCCATGAGGAATGGGGAAACCATCCGGGTTGTCGATTCTCTGTGATGGATGTGTTGTTGAGGCGGTGTGACAGAAAGTCTACTTCGTACAGGGCAGACTTTTCCCCGTGATGAATCAAATCGTCCAAGTGCGGGTGCAAGTCCGCGTGCAAGTCCAAGTGTCAGGCAGGTTGGGCTTTTCCTTTCTGAAACCCAAGTCCAAATCTTGATCCCTGCCCCCGTTTCGTTTCCTCGAAACAAGCACAGCCAGAGCAGAACACACTCGCTTTTCAAGAGAAATGCCTGTGCACCGCCCACCAATTTTCCAGCGCCCGAAGAGGAATCGAAAAGGAACAATACAAAGAAAAGAGAAAAGAAGAAAGAAAGAAAAAGGAAATGTTCAGCAAGACATTGTTCCGCCCTCCTGGAACCCGAAATCCGGGGTTGTTTGGGCATATGACACCTCCTCAACGTCTCTGGCCTATCAAGTTACGTGGACGAACCACCCCTCGCTTCCACCCGTTTTGTCTGGTTCATGTACGTAGAAGACCTCCTTCAATGCCGACGCCAATGTTTGACATGAGATGGAGAATTGAAGTTACATCACTAAATCGACCCGTCGCTATTTTAAAACTGGGGCACTTTGGAGAGAAGACGTGGGGACTATGATTAGAGAGAGCTCACGAGAAACTGCACTCAAATAGCGGTGAGCTCGGTCAACCAGCCAACTATTCCAACCCAAATCATTCCATTGATTTTCCCACCAAGTTTTACAGATGAAAATATGCTATTATGTATATGAAGAGGACAGATAAAACGAAAACAAAAGAAATCCGACCGGATATCCTCCCATCTATCAAATTTCCTTTCCCTTTCGAAACTCCCGTTTTTGTCCTTCTATCTAACAGTATATCAAAGGAAATATCCCATCCATCCAGGGACCAAAACGAAAAAAAAAAGACATCGAAAGCTCATAGCACCCCGCGACCCAGTTGCGAGGGCCTAGAGACCATCTGGATATATCCCCCATACCAAGGACAATATGCAAAAGGATAAGAAGAAAAAAAAGGGAACTAGAAAGCAAAGACAAAAGAAAGGGCAAAATGGTATCATGACCGTAAAGCAGATCTAAACCCAGTTAGAATGCAACCCCAACAACAGTCGCCGTCGAAGCCGAACCCGCCGTCCCGCTCGACGCCTGACTTCTTCCACCCCCAAACGTAGCCATGCGATCCAGCCGCTGCTCCGGAACACCCAACGCACCAGCACCAGCACCAGCACCACCATTCTGCACATCCATCTCGCGTCCCATCACCACCCCAGGACTCTGACAAGGCGAAAGCGTAGTCCCCATCGTCTCCTCCTCCTCCGACGCCCACGTCGTCACCGTCGAAACACTATCCCCGCTCATCCGCCTCCCCGTCCCTGGCGGACTAACGCACTGATAGAACCCGTCGGCATCGCGCACGGGTCTCGGGGCGTTGGTGATGGAATCGACGCTGAGGCCTCGTTCGTGCGGGAAGAGCCAGGTCGAGACGCGCGAGAAGGATTTCTTCTTGCGGAGCGGGGGCCGGAGGACGAGGGGGAGAGGGGGTTGGAGGGGGCGGTCGGAGGCGCGGGAGCGTGGTGGGGTTGGGGGTGCTTGGAAGGGGACGATATGGAGGGGTGCGGGGGCGAGTTCGGAGAATTGGAAGGGGGTGGTTGGGTGAGGGGGAGGTGGGAAGCGGGTTGGCGTCGGGGCGGCGAAGGGTGAAGGGTTGGGGAGGGTGGTGGTGGAGTGGTTGAGGTCGGGGTTGAGGCGTTCGGCGAAGGAGGGTGCTAACGGGGGGAGAGCGGGGATGGCGGGGACGGACTCGGCGCCTGGAGGCGATGTTAGCAGGGGCGGGCGGCACGGGGAAAATGAAAACGGCCGGGGAAAAAAAAAAAGCAAGAAGGAACGTTTTCGGAATACGTACTAGCGAGAATCTGCGTCCTCATGGAATGAGCCGTCGACGGCCGACTGCCAAGATAAATGCTCTGCCTCTCGATAACATCCTCAATCATCTCCTGCAACCGATCCCGTTCCAACATCGCCTCAGCAATGCGCTCCTTGAGGTGATCCACCTCGGGCGCCGTATAAGCCCTAGCTCTCGACTTGGGCGGGACGGCAGGCGGCGGAGGTGACGGCGACGACAACGACGGGGAGTGTCTCTCACCCATCTGCGGTGACCCCTGCTTCGGCGTGCTCGCCTGCGACGAAGAACCGTCCACTCCTCCTACCCGCCTGCGGGGGACGTGGAAGGAGAGGTTCGACCTGCTCCGCTTGAGGACGTATCCTTCGCCTTCCCGAGGCGCGTCCCTGAGCCAAGCAGCCGGCGGCGGCGTGACGACCCTGTCGTCGGACTCGAAGTAGGGTAAGATCGGGGACAGCTCGGTGGTGTCCGCGCCGAGCTGGAGGGGTTGGAAGGGAGAATCTAGTCGTCGCGGATCCTGGAACTGCCGGTCCTCTTCCTGGCGCGGAATGCCTACGTTGACACCTTCGCGGTGCGAGGTAGTAGTAAACGGGTCGGAGAACTGGTAAGAATGGGAGTATACATGGCGGAAGTTAGTTGGGGAAGAGATTCGCAACCTGTGCGACCGCGGTGGCCTTTGTGGGAGGAAGGAAAGGTTTCTCGCGGAGAAGCCTCGGAGGGTGGACGTGAAGCCTTTGCGGGCGGGTTGCTTCTCGGTCGGGGAGCTGAGGGTTTCTTTGGTGTAGGGGTTGAAGGGATCGTCTAGTTCTTCGAGGTAGGGCGCTTGCGCTGTGGTGGGTTCTTCCTCTTTTGTGGGTGCGAGGACCGGGAAGTCGGCTGCTGCTGGTGTTAGATGTGGAATTCTCTTTTTAAGCTTTCTTCCCATTTTTATAAGAATTCTTATTTTGTTATAATGGGTGTTGAGAAAAGTAAGGTGAGAAGGGAAGAGGGAAAGAACAAAAGAAAATTAAAAAATGTTCAATCAACATCTATATAAACGACGTACTCTGGTGAGATCGGTGGCTATAACATGATGTCAAGAGCGAGCAACACTGAGAGATGGAACTAGCCCAAGTTGCGCAGAGATCGGAAAATGCACCATTCATGCCCTTCATACTGTGCCGAGGTCGAATAATTATATCGTCATACCAAAAAAGAGATCCGAATTCAGTTTCTCCTGTGAAGGCAACACAAAGAAGCGAAAGAATGTATAATAGATCTCTGACGGGGACCACGGATCTGGAATACTAATCGACGTGCCAATAAGGAATGGGCGGGATAAAGAGAGAGAGAGAGAGAGAGGGTGCAGAGAGGGAGGGATGGATGGACAGAGGGAAGAATGAAGATTGGGGTATTAGACGAATAGGACGACCCGCGGTAAAGTACGAGGGGGGAAGAAAGAGAAGAAAGGAAGTAGAAGGCAAAGGGGAAGTAAGAAGGGTGGGAGCAAATGAGAAAATATCAAAGAAGAGGGTGTACTGAATCTTTATGGTGGACGCAGCTAATAAGAAGGAAGGACTACGAGCGTAACGAAACAAGAGAAGCGAGAAATGAATGAGAGAAGAATATACAAAGAACAAAGAGACAAAAGAGGCCAGGCCCGAATATGCTTTGCATCAAAATTAAAGGTACCCGGTATCGAACAGATGACCTCACTCAAGCAACACATCGTTTTCCTTTTAGGAAACTTGGAGGGGGTGCGGCGTTTCCATCGCCTCGAGGAAACCTTGGACCCTGTGGCTCTCTCGCTCCCCCATTCCCTCCCCATTCCCTCAGACTACGACGGATTCGGGAAATGAACTACTGCCTTGCTACATCCCGGGATGCAGGTGCACCAATACTACAAAAGAGAAAGAGGAAAAAAAAAAAATCTACGAGAGTTCGGTGCCCCATCACACGCATTCCTTTGGCGGGCAGCCGACGATGGGGAACCAGTCGATGGTCGTAGAACGACGTGAAGCTCCGATTTTGATAGGATGTGGCGCGCCGGGCGGACCAGTGGGCGCTTAGGATTCGATGGGTGTGTGTGGCCGGGTTGGATCCACGCCTCGACCAGCGCTCCGGATTCGTCGGAACGGTTTTCGTGCATGGGGGGTGTGTGTGGATTTTGTAGTGAATGGGGAATAAAACAAAAAAAGAGAGAGGGATCGAGAGGGATCGAGAGGGGGACAAGAGACTGGAAAGGAAACAAGGGTGTTCTAGTGGATCTGTAAGACGAAGAGTCTCGCGGAACGAGTCGATGGGGGAGGGGCGTGGTGGATGAGAAAAAAGGACACGGGCATGGCTCTTTTTGATCTTTCTTTCTGTGGTGCTTCTGAGGCCTACGAAGTCAGTCGGAGTCGATTCGGCTGCCGACTGCACCTTGCCACAGGAGCCTGCGAGGAGTGGCTGATCTGAGCCCCGGATTGGACGAAGCCTTGCGAGAATTGGGTGTGGACAAGTGAAACATGGCAAACCACAATTTAGGGTTTTGATGCCGGAGTCCCATCAATGATCTTTTCCTGTCTGCGGTCTTCCTTGCTTTCGCTATTTCTTTCGCGTGCGAGGGTTGAGGTGCTGCCATGTTTGCTTCAGGCTAGATCGAGCCGAGTCTAGAACGAGAGAATAAGGGGGATTCATCGTCCCTTCGCCCCCTTCCTCGTCCTCAGTATTGCCTCAAAAGAGTCAAAGTGAAGTGGTATTTTTGCGTCGCACTGCTCTTGCATGGGAAACTATCTGCTGGAGCCCAGCGACAGGCTGGCATTACACTGGACTAAAAAAGAAGTTCGAATCCCATTGCGTCTTTTCCCATCCCTGGGCACCATGGGTCTCTCCCGCTCCCCCACAACCTAATGCTCAATGACATGTTTGCCTGTGAACGGCCAAAGCGAAAGAGAGAAAGCACAGAAAAATCTTCTGGAGACCCGATCTTCGAACGAATCGCGGTACAGGACTGCTCGGGTTCCTTCGCTCAGTTGTTGTTTGGTAGGGCAGGGGACCACGTGGAGGGACGGGAAGCAAAGCTTGCAGACGAATAAATGTTATGGTTTCCCCTTATTTATTTATTTATTCCTCGTCGCGTTTTCCCGCGGTGTGGAGTTTCGTGATGTTTGTTCTTGATGCTATTCGCTCGTCTTGGTGGTGGTACAGACAACACCTCAGCGCTGTGCTTCGCTTCGTGGCCGTGAGATGGTGATGAAATCTGGAAAATAGGGGCGATTCGTAAAACACAGCCAGCCCAGCAGCTGGTGTTCAGCAACACAAGCCGCATCACGGTTACGATTGATATTTCACAGACTCATTCAAGAATTGTTGATCTGTCGAGCGAGTGTTCTAATTCTGGTTCCCCTCCAAGTCCCCTCCCAAGACAAACCATTCGCTTCCGGTCCTCTTCCTTCCACGTCCAACCCAAAATGTCATTCAAACTACGTAACACCTTCAAATATTTGGCTCACTTTTCGTCAAATGTCTCAGATCACTACTAATAATAATATCCAAACCGCCCAACGACGAAGCATCTTCCACCCTTCTCACCCCATCACATGGGGCCTCGTACTCGAGCAGCCATCCATTGACAAGCCGAGGAATTAATTCTCCCGAAAAAGCAAGGAAGAAAGGACCAAGCCACCCACTAGCGGGTGACGTGCGGAAAGGCATGTTGGACATGGCGATTGGCCTGACCCGAACTTTTGGGAATGGGGCTGGGCGAAGTTGGGCTTAACCCCTCTCGATCATGGTGGGTGGTGGAAGACTAATGCTTGTACGGAGTATATATCCGAGTCGCAGGCGATGCCGAGATTGGGGCTTGGGCCCGTGGATTTTTCGAGGCCGGCCATCTTGAAGGATAGGGGAAGGCTATGGTTCTGGTGTATGTGAGTGAGTGCGCAGGCTCGGCGGGACTGCATCGTAAACTGAGCTCCCCACCCATGCCTGTGGTGCTTCCACTAGTAAGATCTAGTTTAGATCAAGATACATGATGTCGTTTCTTGGGGCGATGATGGAGACCTAGTGGCGATCCCTCAGCTACGGATGGAAGAGAGGGATCTGTGTACGCTCCAATGATCTCAACTAGTTTGGAAATTCAAATCGGCACTCCGAAGCACTATAATTAAAATGGCCTGGCCTTGAAAAGGATCGGTGGGTAAGCGTGAACAGTCAGCTAAGCTGAGCGATGACGGACTGTGACGATTGATGCTGAGACTGGGCCGATCTAAACTAGAATTGCCCACTGTTGCCACTGTTGATGGTGGCTGGAGTCTGGAGTACGAGCGCACATGATGAGGGAGACGTCGTAACTTGAGCGGAGTCGGGATTTTTTGTACGAGCATTTTCAGACACATCGATATAGATTATTTCGTGAGGATTGAAGGGTCGCATTGCTCTGCGATCAAGATCGATGATGCCGTTTCTATTTTTAACACTGATCATCCGTGCTGTTCAGCGTTTGCCACTCACTGGCGGCTCCTGTAACTTTTGGGCGGAGTTTTGGTGCAACTGTAATCTCCTGCCACAGGCTGCAGGTCACAGGCACAGGCTTGATGGATCGGATCCGGAGCGATTACGTAAGCCCGATGCTCCTTCGCAAAATCCACCCTGCTCCTTGAAATGATTGGTTCTCAGCGCTTCAAGGTGAACCACTTCACGAGCTCTGAGATGTGAAGCAAAATCTTCAACACCACTTGATTGACCTGTATCCGGGCCTACATCCACGCGAAATGGTGAAACGACCGGCTCGCGGGGCTCACGGGCCTCTCGAATCCAGGAAGCGCCAGAAATTGACCCGCGAACCACCAACTTCCGAAGACGTGACCACCAGTCGTCAGTTGAAGAAGCTGCTCGAGTTTCATCAAGATGTCAGGGACGCCCGTCATGGTATGTCGATCCATCATCCACGGGAGAAAAAATTACAAAAAATTCCCATTCTGTTTCGTCCACCGAGACTAACATGATTCATAGGTCTGCAATCGTTCAAGCTACTCCTTGACGCTTTGACCGCGAACAAGGACAATGAAGCAGAACTGGCCCTATTGTCTGGCTACCTTGAGGCCGTGAACCCGACGGTAGAAGGCCCTGATGCCGTCTACTTGGCGGAGATTATGACCATGTGGTCCTACGCCGCCCAGGTCGGCAACGATGACTTGATGTCCGAAGTAGCCGCCGTCTTGGCCCTATTGCTTCAGGCGACTTCGCTTAGTCTCGGACTATTACCCTGCGGGCGCGGCATCTGCGAGACGCTCCTTCAGGAAAAGCAGTTGAAACTAATTGCTAAGAACCTATCTGCCGACAAGGATAAAGGCTTTGTCATCTCTCCCGCTCTGCGCCTGCTACGCGAGATTGCGTCCTACGATGGCGGCGTTTTCTCGAGAAGAGTGTTTCGCGCGCAGGCCTGGACCTTTGCTGAACTCACGAGGAATCTCGACATCCGCTTTCGCGGCGAGGGAGTTGAGGATGCAAAGAAACCTTCGGTGCGGACGAATGCCGCGAGGTTCTTGTTCGCTTGCCTCAAGTACCTCCCTTCGGACAACAAGAGCGAGCTACTCCTCCAGAAGGGAATCATGCCCGGTCTATTGATGAGGCTGCCCGATGATCCGCCTACGGTAGTCCACGAGGCCCTGGAGTGCGTGACCAAAGATGTGCTCAAGGACGAAAAGATACCTACGAACACAAAGTCGAGGGTCTTTTGGGTGAGGGTGATGGAACGCCTTGCAGGGCTCTACTCTTATGCCCATGATCCGGCCGACGCCGAAGTCACCGTGGCCGATAAAGTGCATGAGTTTCTCATGTTTGCATGCACCTCGCCCACGGCTGGCATCGTCTCCAAGTGCAACGGCTTTTATCCTAACTCTATCAACCTCGACGACTTCTTGACGGGCGACTTTTTGTGGTCCGACATGGGCTTGGAACAGCTCTCCTGGATGGACCGGTACGCAACCGACATTGAAGTACGAAACAGCGTGCTGCTAGAGGTTGCCCTGAAACTGCGCCCATGGGCTAGCATCCAGCAGGGAGAGCTTCTCGTTTCCATATTCAAAGTGGCGCCGGAAGTCGTGCACGTCTATTTCCTCGAACAAAGATCATTCACCTTTGATCCCAAGCTCTCCATGACTTGGATTGGCTACTCCTCTTTCCTCTTCCACACGATGCAGCTCCCCGTCCCGGAATATTTCGGCCTCAAGGGTGATTATCACGCAGCCCCCCCGCCTACCACCGTCTTATTAGCTAGCATCCTCCCCTTGCCGCTCACGCAAAATGCCCTCGTGCGCTGTTTCGAGCCAAAGTGGCCGCTGGTATCTCTCTTCGGTGCCCGCCTGCTCATCTTAGCACTTGAGAAGATGGAAACGGTTCTTGCCATGCATAACGAGGCGGCCGCTGGACTCAGGAATTCTCCCTGGCGATACGCGGCCAAGAAACTGGTGAACGATTTCTGCCAGCGCATACCGGATTTAAAGGAGATTGTGCGGTGGTACAAGAGCATACCGGACGAGAGTATCCTGTGCAAGGCTACTGCGAGCCAGTTGTTGCTGCTATATTACAAGGTACTTCCGCAAGTCGCTCTGGCGGCAAACTTTGATGTTTCTCCGTTCCTAGCCAAGGCCCTCGGGGCTCTCGACAAGCCCTTTGAGGATCCTAGGGATAAGTCCGTGGTGCTGATGGAGTTGGAGAACCTGCTGGAAGCGGCGAGCCTGTCTCCTGGCATGCGGTGGTTCTCGAAGCTTCAAGGATTCCCGGCGTCGCCGTTTACTGTCCTTTTGAGGCTGGCGAGCGTGGGCGTGCAAGACGAGTCTTCCGAGACGCTGCGGAGCATCCTCGAGTCTGTTGCGACGGAGCACCAAATTGTGTTGACCGATACGGGCCTACGACCGGTGTACCGAGCTGCTGAGACTCTTGCAAAAGAAGATTCTGAGGTGTCATTGGACGGGGTCTGGTCGCTTCTGGATAACTGCGTCACCAAGTGTGCTGCCTCTCCGATGAAGTATCTCGACCTTGTGCCTGAGTATGTGGGTGGCGGGGACCAGCCCGTCTCTGAAATTGACACCAGTCTCTTGACGATCGCGTTGGCTGAGCAGTTGCCGTTTGCGGTTAAGTCTGCATCTGGTGCGGAGCTTGAGATGATTTCAAAGTTTCTATCGGGGTATCTTGGTTACTCTGTTGAGTTGGGAGAAAACGAGGTGTGGGTTAAGGCGTTGGTTGCGCGAATGAATTCTGCTTTGCCTGGAAAGACCAAGGTCGCCCTGCCCAAGATCATAAAGGAAGAAGGCGTAGAGAAGAAATCCAAGACGAAAAAGTCGGATAACACTAAGTCTGGAGCATCAAAGGATTCCACCTGGCAAGGAAGCTCTGCCGATGCGTCGACAATAAGCAAGGAGCAGCTCGAGGAAATGCTCCACGAGCCGTTCGCCGGCACGGAGGATAATTCAGCACTCACCAAATGGGTAAACAAAGGCATCGACGACATCATCGAAGACGACTACGCCGTCTCCCTCATCCGCCTCCTCGGCTCCGAACACGCTAGCATCCGCATCGAAGCCCTAACCAACATCCTCAAGCTCGCAACCAAGATCCGCGCCTCCACCCACTCCGAAAAAGACCAACTCTGGCTCCTCCTCTCCGAACTCGCCGAATCCTCCCGCCCGCACGTCAACGCCGGGCCCGCCCCCTCGGCATTCACAGCCTTCGCAACACACGCCCTCCCAGTCCTCATCAACCCCTTACACCCGCTCTACCCCAAGGTGAACAAGTACCTCACGCGGGCGCCGACGTGGCCCGCGGGAAAGATCCCCATGGTGCACGACATCCTGCACGGCGAGCCGTCGGACGACGATAAGTACTACACGGAACTGACCTGGCTGTTCGGATTCCTCTTAGATTGTCTCCAGCGGCCCGAGGATGTCGGGGTTTTCCATCAGACGAGGTGGTTTGAGAAGGTTTTCGCCTCGGCGTGTAATCCGTACATGAAGGCCGGGCTGCGGGCGAGGGTTTTTAAGGTGTTGTATAGGGTTACGTGTATTGAGGGGGGGAGCAACACGTTGGTGACTAGGTTTGGGGTGTTGAGTTGGTTGGAGGCGTTGAGGGTTGCGGTGGAGGGGGAGAAGGAGGAGGGAGAGGAGGCAGCGGTGATTACGAGGGTTATGGAACGGGTGTGGGAGACTTGTGATCGGGGGAGGGTGGAGAAATGGAGTCGGGGTGGTGTTGGCGCGTTGATGGAGAGGCGAGCTTTGGGGAGCGTTGCTTGAAATTTCTAGACCTGCATGTAGAGATTGTTATTGTAAAAGTGAACCAGATACCCAACGAAGGTACCAACAAAAGCCAAGTGTAAACTCAGAAGTGCTGACAGCGGCAATTTGCGTGTGTATGTGATATATATATGAGACTTTGGCCCCGGATTCTCAACGACTCGTGGAAGCTCAAGTGGTCGAGCGGTGACGCACTACTTACAAGCTACTTCCGCAAGGCGCCGGCGTGGAACTCGGTCTGGTCCAACCATGAGACGTGGAGGAAATCGGGAAATGGGATTGGCAAAGGGAAATTGGGACTGGAGGAGGAAGAAGTGGGATATTTTTTCCCCCTTTCTGTTATCTATATTATTCTAGATTTTTGTTTCTTCTTTGACGCGAGGGAATCTCTTGTCCGGGCGCTCTGTGAGGTGGTGATATTTTGAGGATGGAGAGCGGAGGTGAGGCGAAGGGGGAATCTTAGGAGAGGTTATCGGTTCGAAACTGGGGTAGGACTTTTTTATATTCTCTCTGTGTATTCTTTTTCGTTTACCTATTTAAGGGAATTTCGGATCAACAGCCCGTTAAGGAGACCCCAGCGGACACCTCGGGCCGGCACTTGGAATGTGGAAGACAAGCTACCGGCCGGAAAGTAGAGCGCGCCAGAACAGTCGCACAGGTCAAGACATTGGAACCTCCGGAGTGCTTAAAGTGTCACTTCCCCACCCTCTGAAGACACTTCGGTCGCGGTCCCATTTTCATTTGAGGCGTCGATAAAGGCCTTGTGGAGGGAGGAGGATTTTGAGTGCCATGGGTCGCGCCGCGGGGTGGTCCGGTCCCCGGCGTCGCGGACGAGGCGAGGGAAAGAGAAGACGAGGTGATGCAACGCAGCCAGGTGAGGGCTTTGGCTTGATACCACTGGGCCTTCAATTTGGCCCCCACGGGCAAGGAAAGAAAGAAAGAAAAAGAAAAAAAGAAATCTCCCCGAATGCATCTTTTCTCTTTATTCGACTATCTCGATCTCTCAAGGTCCAAGTTCCAACACACGCACACACCACTCGCTAACAAAACAACCGAGGCCTCCCTTCAATCTCCCGACTTCTTCCTAGGCCCAGGAATGCCACCTCGACGGATGAACCCAAGCTCTCGTTATTTGTAGAAACACAAGTAATAACTCTCCCGAATTTCCTATCCATTACCTGCCACGAAGACCAGAATATCTATCTCTTCTCTCTCTCTCTCTCTCTCTCTCTCTTTTTTCATAATGCTGTTGTTCGTGGTTAATCCCCCCCCCTTCTCTGGCCTTCCCCCAAATCTCCAAAGTTATGTCGACCTATTTTTTTCATTTCGTCATGACTCTCGCCTATTTCATATCCTGATATCCATCATGATTTGAGTCAGTGTGATAGAGAAAGAAAAATGTTCGAAACAAGAAGTCAGGTCATTTCATGAGTTGTGATTTATGAAATGCAGCTCTTCCATCCCCAAAGATGATAAAAGGGGCAAATCCGCCACTAGAAAACAAAAATGAAGGGGCAGAAAAATGAAGGAAACAAACAGGCCGAGGATATCGAGGATATGCGGAACAAGAGAGAGATGGAAAATCGAGGGTTTTGAAGTGTTTGGTTTGAGAGCGAGGGAGGGACTCATTGATCCCAGATACAGAGTGAATCAAAGAGGGGGTTGGTTTGACAAGAAACAAAGAAGGGGGGGAAAAGAGAAGTGACCTAGTACATGCTGAGTCTCGATAACGAGCTGCCATCCAAGCCAACTCTGCCAAACTATTTGTACCAAGGGAGGAAGAGAGGGAAAGTTTTGTAGCCAATGAGTGTGTTGATATGGAACAGGACCGAACTGGAAAACCGTTTCATTGCGTTGGTTGGACTAAAGCTACGGAGAATCGCCGTCATCGCCGCTCCGAGCATCCGCCGCCGTCCAAAAACCCAGGTCTCGGCCAGGGCCTATGGTCGGGGGAAACCGCCCCTAGGGACTCCAGGCGGGGGAGGCATGCCCCTCGCGTCAAAATGTCCGCCTGGACCGCCGAAGCCGTGGACGTCACCCGGAGGTCCGCCCTGGAATCCACCCACACCTGGAGGAGGGAAGAACCCCGGTGGAGGGGCGCCGTAAATGCCCGGGGGAGGCTGCATGTTCCTGGGAGGCATCCCGCTCATGGCGTCCGGTCCCGCGAATCCGGGACCGCCAGGCGGGAAGTTAGGCGGGTACATGCCTGGTGGCAGAGGAATGTTCCTGCTAAGGCCGGCTGGAAGTCCGGGAGGTGGCATCATCGGCCGCTGCTGAGATCCTGGTCCCGGTCCACCGACACCACCGCCTACACCTACACCTACACCCTGAGGCATCCAGTTGGGGCCGCCAGGTCCCATCTGATCGAGTCCGGGGGGAGGCGGTGGGCGCTGCAAAATCTGCGTCGGCTGTTGCTGAGGCACGCGCGGCGGCTCGGGCTCGCCGTGATGGAAAGAAGGTTCGTCAACGAAGCCCGGCTGGTGTCGCATCTGACGTTGCACTTGCTGCTGGTGCTGCTGGTGCTGATGCTGCTGCTGGGCATGTTGGAGGAGGAGGTGCTGTTGAGGGTGGTGGTGGAGGTGTTGTTGTTGTTGCTGCTGAGGCTGTTGGTGCTGAAGCTGAGGCTGCACCGACTGGGCATGCTGCTGCTGAGGGGGGAACCTATTGTTGTGGAGGAAGTCGGGTTCCCGCTCGACTACATGACGGATAGGAGCCGACTTCTGCGGCTGAGGCACGCGCAAGATCATCTGGTCCGTGCGAGGAGCTTCAGGCTGGCTTCGCATAAGATTCATCAAAAACTCCGTGTTGCTGTTGTTGCGCGCGGCGTTGGGATCGCTCCGCTGCGCGCTGTCGCCTCGGTGACCGACGAGGTTCTGCAAAAGCTGGTCCTGGCGAGCGGCGGCTGTCTGCTGGGGGAGCATGGGTTGGGGCGCAATGATATCTTGCATGGCCCAGGGCATCCTCTTGCGAGGGTCATCAGCGGGGACGTCGGTCGACCCACCGTAAGGAACGTTGGCGGGCTCGGGAGACGTAGTAGCATTCGCGGCTGCCCGAGTAGGGGGGAACTCGGGCCCAGCCGAGGAGACGGCAGGAGGTGGCTCCGGGAACGAGGATGAGGAGGCCGCGGGAGCAGGGCTAACTTGAAGCGATTGCTTCTGGAGCTTCATCAAAAGCTGTTGGAAGGCAGCCTTTTCTTCATCGGGCGGGGGAAGAGGGTGGTTGTTCGATTCCACATGGCCATCGTTGACGGGGCCCGGGGCTTGAGGTATCACCTCTCTCGGCTTCTTCTCTTCTTGCGCGGCGCTAAAGAAGGACGTAAACCGAGATGACTTGCCAGGAAGCTTGGCCCTTGCCGCCCCAGCAGCATCCTTGGCATCGGAAACAGCTCCAGGGGTACTACTCTCAACAGCAGGTGGCGACGCGAATGCCATGAAGAACTTATCCGGGCCGGGCTCAACAGCTGGCGCTGACTCGGCCTTGGGCTTCGGGGCCTCCGCTGCTGGAGGTTCGGTGGGCTGTTGGAGGGTGGCCGGCTTGCTCGAGGCGCCGCTCTCGCGGGCCTTCATGCTTTCCAAGAACTTCTTGAAGTCTTCCTCCGTGTGGCCACCAGCCTTGTCCTCGGCCGGCTCATCCATCCATTCCGGTTCTCGCTCGACCTTGTGGTCGCGGTCACGTCCCCAGCGGCGGTCAAATGTTCTTCCCGACGATCGATCTTCAAGAGCGTCGTTATCCCGGTCACGGTCTCTCCAGCTCTTGGCCCTATCGATCCGCTCGCGAGCTGTCAGGCCGTCACTAGGGGCGGCATCAGTCTTGAACCAGGACTCGGATTTGCCCCTTGCAATTCCATTGCGTGGCCTGGTATCAGTGGTGTCGTCGCCGACATCCCTGTCTCTCGGCGCCGAGTCGAATGTTCGTCGATTGATGTTGGCTTTGTCGGCGTCGTCCCGATCTCGAGTACGTCGATCATCGCGGTAGCGATCTCCACCACCCATTCGGCCATTAAAGCGCTCGGCGCCTTCATGGCCGAAGCTCTTTCGAGGCTTCACGGTACTCCAGCCATCATTATCCTGGTCGCCTTCCCCACGTCGTCGGTAATTCGTATTTCGTCCGTCTCGGAAGCGATCTCCAACAGGATCATTCTCGGAATTTCTAGTTCGAAAATCGAAGCGACCTCGAGATTCGCCGTCCTTGTTGCTCTTGTCAGGATCGAATGAACTCTTGCCAGTGCTTCGGAGAGTAGCACTGGGGAAGCCGGTTCTGGGGGCGCCAAAGCTCCCAATGGCGGTATCTTCTGGACCTACATAGCCCAAACAGGCACGAGTCAGTAACGAGGAATCGAGAAAGGGAAGTAGGATAAGGTATCCTTGAGTTAAAGCACAATCGCTCCACCGGAGGGGTGAGTGAGTGCTTGGAGGCGGACACTAACTTGTTGTTGACCGAGACAGGAGTCGGTCGATATTTCGACGAGGATTCAGGTCAAAAGAGCCAATTGCGCCCTCTTGGGTTTTAAGCTTCTCCCCTGTAGTCTTGTTCTGAGGACGGAATGTCTCGGGCGGTGGCCTGTGGGAGAACAATGCCGTTAGTAAGAAATGGAATCGCCATCGCAGAGAGAGCAGAAGAAGAAAAGAGCCCAGGAAAGTGAGCCACTACGAAGCATTCTTGTCTCGCGCGCAGCGTTCAGGGGAGGGGATAAAGGGACCAACTTACCCCATCCATTCCTCAGCGGGAGGGAGAGCGGTGGGTTTGACACATAGCGGCGAGTCCCGCAAATGCAGCAGGAAACTTTCTTCGTAACGTATCGTCATGGTGTTGGCGAGATGATGCGACAAGATGGCATCAGTGCTCGACTAAATTGAAGGTTGGTTTAGGATGGTGTTGCTCTCACATGTACAGGCATGGAGAGGAAGAACAAGGGGAGAGACAAAGCAAGACAGATTAGGCAGAAAACAAGGCGCGGCGCGGGCGAGGCAGCCGCGACTTGTTCAAATATATCGAGGCTCTCAGGAGGTAACGAGAGCGAATTGGCGAGAGAGGGTCCGAAGGCAGGGTTTGTGGAGTGAGCGTCTTTTGGCAAGATTCGGGTCGGGATGAATCACGACACAGGGAGGGATACGGTTGGCTTGGGTTGGTTGCTCGGTATGTGATGAGAGCTCGCTTGAGAGGCGGAAGGCGCGAGGCGCGATAACTAGAGGTTCTCAAGTCGAGAGAAGATGTCGAGGATGTTGGGGAAATGGAAAATGGCCCGTGGTAAAGGCTTTTTTTGCCTGCTTGGCTAGGCTGGGGGACGTGGCCAGGTCACGTTGGACGGTGCGACGGTCGGATTGGGAGTGCGTGGCGTTTCGGGGGCAGGATCGAGATTTAGGTTAGAGGAAAAGGGCGAAAGCGTTTGAAAGAAAATTGTACAGAGTCGGAGATGGAAGCGTTCAGTTTGATGGGAGGAGATTGGCAAGGCTGTTGGGTTGGTGCGTTGTCGAGGAGGAATTTGGTTGTGGTGGTGGTTGAGAGAGTTAAGGTTTCTGGTTCTTGGAGCAAGATTGGAGATTGGAGCGAGGAACGAACCACTGGAAGGAGCCCTGCAGCGCCAGCACATCAAAGACTCATTGATGGATCAAGGGATCAATCTGTGATGGGTTGGTGCGACTACAGCTGTCAATGACTGGCAAATACTGATTTTTGCCAGCTGTTTCATTTAACCTGACGCCTCAATTTTGTGTACTTCTCGAATACCTAAGCCCTGAGCTTGCGACCCTTGATTTCCGAACTACCGGACCCTTGTAGAACTAGCAAGTTCGAATCAAGAAAGGTACTAAGAAAGTATCCCCTCATTTTCGACTGATGGGAGTACTTGTACGAAGTACACTTCCATCGATATTTGACTGTCGACCAAGAACCAAGTCTCAGCTTGATCATCCAAGACAAGCACGAGTATAAAACTGTAAATGCGGATGAGCCTTAGGAACTCCAACCTTCGGTTCCATCAAGGTCGAGCAGCCATCGACCACCCCTCGTCCCAGAGATCGTAAAATACCCATCCCGACCAGCGACCCCTGAAGGGATGACGGCAGCGGGGCAACTCGAGGAAATGTCGCCAAACTACGATGAGTCGATAACTCGGCTCTCTCTCAACTAGGCAAAAGACAAATCCCTATGATCCTTTCTCCCTTCGGCTTCGGCTCGTTCGAGTAATAGATCTAGCCTCTGCCTGGGTCCATTGGGCTCCGACGCTAACCCCCTACCTAATCCCCTTCAACAGACAGACTAAATCTGAGTGCTCCATTTCCCCATTTTGAGCGCCAAAGGTAAGTGCCTCGGATTGGCCGGCGGCCGAGTAGGAGAAAGGTTGACGGAGGACGCAAGGGGGACTAGCCACGGAATAGTCAAGGGAGGGGTGCGTTTCTTTTTCTTCTTTTCTCATTCGGTATCTAGGATTCCCTTCTGGAGGCTGTGAGACTCTTGCGGCGAAAAGGGGAATAAAAAAATATGGTCCCAAAGTCCCACACTAGTTTCGAACCAACAACCTCTCCAAGCCTTCAACCCTCGCCTCACCGAGGAGCATCACAACCTCAACAGAGCCCAAAGAAAGACTCAAGATACTGGCTCAAAGAAAGGAAAAAGAGGAAGAAAATATGATAAAAGATGATGTCCAGCAAAAAAGAAATCCCACTTCTCCCTCCCCAATTCCCAATTTCCCTTTCCCATTTCCTCCACGACTCATGGTTTGACCAGACCGGGTTCCACACCGGCGCCTTGCGGAAGTAGTTTGTAAAAAGTGTGTCACCGCTAGACCACTTGAGCTTCCATGAGTCGTTGAATCCAGAGAGCCAAATTTTGATATATAACATATAATACACACCAGGAAGATGTTCCAAGCGAATTCATATATCCCGCCATCCCTCTTCCATAAAATTAATATACTACTCTGGATTTGAGTTACCTTTACTTATAAGACAACCTTTTTATTAACTGTTTGAAAGCTGATATTAGGTTCTGATTCGTACTTCTCGAGAGGCATCGATGACTACTAACGCGGATCAGCTACGCCAACTGTGGAAGTTACCGTTGCCTGGTATATGGATCAGATATTGGCTGCGGATAGAAGCTTTCTTGGTGTCCATCTTGGCGTGGAGAAATGCCGAGTAGGCTGGGACGAGATTTCCCGAAGGCACCGCAGTATCGTGCTAGATCGCAACCTCACTCCCCCACTCCGTTTATCAAGGGTGCCAGGAAGTTGGAAGAGCCTCACAAGTTGACCTGGAGTTGAGAGATTAGTTCGCCTCAGGGGAATTCCCACGGGACTTTGCGGGAGGGAGGGCTTAGATAGATACTGGGCTGTTTTTAGGGGGATCACAAGGTTCAGGGCCCTGCCGAGAATGACTGCCTCGGCCTAGATACAGGTCGATCACAACCTCCGAGACGCAGATCTCGCGATTTTGCTCTGAAGGCCATAACCAGCGCTTAACTTGCTGGGCCGTAGCACTCGCGGCGGCGTTAAGTCAGTTTCAGGTACTCTTCATTATGTGCCGGGCCTAGGTCGGAGCTGTGCCCCACGCGGCCAGCAGCCGGAACCCTTGTTACACTCATGAAGACGGACGAGGCCGGGGCTTTCAGACCTGGTCCCCGAAATAGTATCAGCCCCTTTTCCCTTTGATACTAATTGGTGTCTTGGCGTATGCACCTTCGGCTGTATTCTGTATGTTAATGGATGCACGGAATGTAGTTTGCCCACGTTATCTCCCAACGATTTGTTCGGATCAAGCGATGTTGAGTCGGAAGTGCTGTCCAAGTACTCGTGCCCCGCACTGTTCCCCCGAGCACGAAGTAAACTACGGAGTATGGCTCAGTCCGTTCCAAGACGACCGTTTTAGCTCCATGTGAGGAGCCAGCCCCAAGACAAAGGAAATCATCTACAATTGTAAGCTCTTGGTTTCAAAGGCGTGATTTGGGTGGCTGCCTTGGAACATGCCAATACCATTTAGTCACATGACCTTTGAAGTGTCGAGGAAAGTGATGAACTCCCCATCTCCAGCGCACCTCATATAACATATCGAATGTCTCCTTCATCTTCTTCCCCCACACCTAATACCGCGATGGAAGATTCCGACGAATTCAAGGAGTTTGTTAAGATGATGGGTGAAGTTAGTGATGATGACGCGGAGAGTGAGAGCGGAGTGATCGTCGACTATGATCTTGGAGCTCTAGGGGACGCACTTGCAAGTCATGGTGGATCAGGGAGTGGTGAAGCACGTGAAGTGATTCGCATTCTCCATGACGCCGGAATCCCTTCTTGTGTGGTCGGTGCCCATGCCCTCAGGTATTATGGCGCTGGCCGTATTGGAGTGGTAAGCATATTCCCAGTTTGCAATCACCCCTGAGAAGATCGACCACTCACAATCTAATCAATATGGGAAATTAGGCCTGGGAGGTTGGTGTTCCCACGGAGAAGCTGGATGAAGCTATACATTTGTTCAAAGCCGAGCCTCAATCTAAAGCCTACGAACCGTGGCCTAGTCATCATATTCCTCAGCCATGGTCGTTAGTACATACCTTCCCACACTTCCACCTCAAGGGGGTACACTTCACCTTCTATTTGATTCCGTCTTGGGATTACCTTATGGATTGCAAAGAGTCCAACTTTGAGAAGAGCTCCATGGGGATCCCATACCCGAAGCTAGAAATTCTCGCACAATCCCTCCTCGATACGCAACGATGGGCTGATCTAGAAGACCTTATTGACGGTATGAACTTGAGTGAAGAGTGGGGCAACGAGCATTTGCAACTCGACAGGACCTACGACATTGCCTATGCTGAGGAGAAGAACAAGAGAATCCGAGCGAGCGTCAAAAAGACCTTTCTCTCGAGCCTACTGGAATTGAGTACGTTTCCGAGATTGCTGCGGCCGATATGGGAGGAAATGGTAAGGGGGAAAGAGCGACGAATAGGCCCTGAATTGCCACAGGGCTATTACTTGACTAGATTCTACCCAAAGGGTAGAGGTGATCCGCGATTGAAAGAGAGATTTCATGTCTGTGTATTGAGCAAATGCTAATTTCAACGAATTATACCCCATATACCCCATATACCCCATATATCCCGCATATGTTCCTCCCCAAACTAAAATGTGAAGGCACCTCGCCACCGTAGCCCGCGGCTTCCTCTAGGTCTAATTCTAATCGACCGTCGACTCTCAACAGCAGAATGCTACTACACAATGCCGAATCTCCATACGGATGCTTGACATATTCAGGAACGTGTGGTCGGGTCCAGTTCGTCCCCCCAGCCAATGTCCTGGCCGCCGTATACGTTTACGGGCCCGGGAGGGCGGCGCTTAACTGTGGGGGCCTAGACTCGGCCTCTGCCGATGGAAGACGTTGGGAACGGGGAAGCGGTCGTGTCGTCTCTGACTGAACATGTGTTTCTGTTCGTTCGCTCCAGTGGGCATAGGGTAATTTCTTTAAACCGCGCTCGATCTTCGCCGAGCTCCTCGTGATAATCCGCGCAGAGATATTCTGCGAATAAGTTACTGCACATCTGTCCGGGCGAATCATTAGGTTCAATGACCTCCTCAAATGCAGGGGAATCTTAGTTAGAGAGTTGTATCAAGCCTACCTTCGGAAGTGGTATGAGTTGACTTGATCAGTGTAGAATCGTGATTCTGGTGAAAGAAGCTCTTCAGCATCCGAGGCGATCTCTTGCAGTATCACAAAAGTACCTCGAGGTTGTTCCTGGCGGATAGTTTAGATAGAGTTAGGTATGAAGCTCCAAGGACAGAGTCAATTTGGTATGTTAAGTGCGGTGATGGTCCACCTGGCTGGATAGGATCCCTACTTCGCCATTTATATGCACCTCCTATGCTGCTCTACTTGCTGGGGTTATACCATTGACCATTGATGAATGATGAGTCTACGAGAACGTATTGATCGTTTGCCTTCCTTGTTTCGACTGCTCCTCGCAATTCGTTCCCGACGATTGTGAATTCAGCACATCGCGGATAAATGGGTTGTGACTCGGCATAGGTCTCTAGAGAGTGATGGCCCCAACTGTCAGTTTCCTCCTTCGCCTCCATCTACTACGAAACAGTTGTTCTATCCTTTCTCTCCCCACAGAAGTAGGGGAACAAATATCGCAGCCCCAACAGCCAAAGCGTCAGCTGTAGGCTGCACTACGTCCTTTCTCAAACCGGGGCAACCCCGGCAGGCTTTACACTGGTCGCCCAAGAGATGCAGGCAGTGCATTCCCCAGAAGAACTGTGCACTTTCATGCAAAAGAACCGCTATGTTCTCTGGAATTTTGCCAATACGTGTAAGGGCAGCGGGACGATCGAATTCCGGGGTGGGAGTCGGTTTCGCAACACACACAGCAGGGGCATTATCCTGGGTTTCATTTGTGCTCGGTTTCGTAGCTCTTGCGTTGAAAGAGGTAAGGAGTGACCAGGGAATGACCAGTACTTTCGATTGCCCAGGGGGAATAATAATAATAATAATGATAATGAAGTAGACGGAGCGTGCCCTCTAGTGAACGGGACTAATATGGATCCTTCCAGAATCATCTTGGGCAGCTTTTGAACAGCATAGTCAATCCCAGGTCGTTTCCAAACCCGGACACTTTGTATACTAGAATTAGAGAATCCGCTGTGCTGTTAAACGGCGGCCAACACCTGCCGGAAAATTACGAGGTATTAAAATAAGTTGATAAAGCTATTATGCAGAAAGAGCTAAATGGCGTAGCCTTTTCTATCTTTAGAGTGGCATAAAGCTATAGAAGATAATAGGATGAAGTGTTCCTGTGGGAGATCAGTAAGGAGAAAGCGAAGCTGTCGAAGATGTTACGACAAAGGCTGATTCTGCGGTCGTCGGCCAGAAATAGTCGAGGCAAGTACTTCTCGTTTCGTCGATATTGTACCTGTTATGGAGATTCCAGCGGCGTCTCCCCACGCATTCAGGACAGTCAATATCCGGTTCATTGTCCTAGAGTACGTGGATGGCGTCTCTGTCTGCACATGCGATTCCGTTTTCGAAAGACTCCTGGCATCAGTATGTCCATGCCGCGGACCTAGCGAGAACCGGAATGTACTCTATAAATCCAAGATGCCCGGCGCGGCATACCAAAGCAGGACGAAGAATGTGAGCAAAAGTTCCAAGAAACAAAGCCCGATCTTGAGTATAATATCCTCCAGTCCCCGACTGTGACTGATTCTCTACTGAGGTACGCCACTAGGCCCTTTTCTTCTTCGCCTCAGAAACGCCCAGAAACCACGACAATGGATAGCAACCCAGGAAATGCCCAAGAACCTGCAGGAACAGGACGTGACAACAGCCACATCCCCTCGGAAGGCCAGGCGCAGATACGACCACGACCACACCATGGCCCGACCGAGCCAAGCGATGAAGGAGAACGAAATCTGCCGACGAAAGAACACGATCTGGCCCTCGAGTTAGAAGCACAGAAGCAACTCTACAAACACGCTGAAAAGGCCATGGATGAACGGCAGGAATTGCTCAATGCCGAGAGAAAGATCAACAAAGAATTAACCAAGAACCTCGACGAGCTCAGAGAAAAGCTGCAGAGGGCCTATGACCACATGTTCCTGCCCCAACCTCAACGGACCGACATCACCGAAGCCGAGGCCAGCGAGCAGTTCCGAGCTATTTTCAAGAACGCAGACAAATGGGTGCAGAATTGGCTGGATCCCGTCCTCGAAAAGCGTAATCAAGGTGAGCTCGTTGGTAAGGCCCGGCCTGGCTTGCCACCACAGCTTCCAGGCCTTGTACGACCCCCCGCGCCTCGATATGTCGGAGGTGGCAGGGCGGACGAGTGCTATGTCCTTATAGGCATCATGCAGAAATTAAAGCGCAAGTTATTTAACAAGTCGTTCCGTTGGCCTTTGGGCGGCGATGGAACGGAAGCCGAGGCTGTGAAGTACATTGACATGATCGCAGATGCCATGGCTAAACTCCCAAGAGGTATGTCGAGTAGACTCATAATTGTTTGTTGTTCTCTCTAAGCTTTAAAATATCGAATGAAGCGGACTGTGCTTTAGCTAACCCTCACTTGCCTTGCTCTTCTTTTTCACCTATCAAACAGATACGTTACATTGCAGAAACTGGAGGAGCGAGGCCTTGGCTGCCATCACAAACCCGGAGATCTTCGCCAAAGACGAAGAGCGGTTGATCGATTCATTGACGGAAGAAATGATGAGATATCTCTCTCCCCTTTTCATAAATGGCTTCATGGACGCAACAACAAAGTGCCATAGGGCCATGCGCAGCGACGTCGTCGGGCCAGCGGTCAAGCTAGCCCATCGGATGCAACTGGCTGCGAAGGAGTTTTGCCTCAAGTGGCCGTCCGTCACAGCCGACGGTGTACCGGACCTCACGGCTTACGAATGCCAGAACATCTTGGGCAACACGATTCAGATCGATCCTGGAGACAGAGCGCCTAGGATCGTAGTTGGATTCTGCCCTGGACTCTACGTGGTCGAGGAGACGAGTGAGGGCGAGCGTCTCCTGAGGGCTGTGCGTCGACCAATTGTGTTGTTGCATAATGAGGGCGGCTTTAATCCCTCGCCTATGGTGCTGGCTTGGCTATCGTCTAGTGGCGGGCTATAGTTGATAACAAGCACTGAAGGTCATAGTCGAAAGGGCTGTGCTAGTGGCCCTGTGCAAGAGTATATTGGGAGATCAGTGTGATGGATTCGTGGTACTCTGGAAATCTTATCACGCAGGTAGTTTGGTATAAATTGTAGCTTTTAGAGCACCTGAATGAGATAAATACTTTTATACATACTTAGCACTCTGAAGAGATATATGTAGCCTCTCTTGTCACCTTCTTTTGACTTGGAATTCTGCGACAGGTCTTGTCCGAGGTTCAATAGTGTAGCGACGATTTTAATCCTAGCATTTAGAATTTTAGCTGAGATGGATAAGCAGCTAGATTCCCGGGGGTACCGTGCCAAAAGGGTTTTTGAAATGCTCAAGGAAATCCTAGGATACATGTTAGTCTTGTTCACAGGAAGAAGAAATACTCTATCTGCCTTTGTTCTAGGGTTAATCCAAGGGGTTCATCTCTTCTTATCTCTTTTAATGAAAGAACTATGAAAACAAGCACAAATGAGAATTCACACTACTTCAAGAGCTGACTGGGCGCAGGACTGCAGCCCTGTCAACAAGGGCGTGAGAAAGGGATTGTCAGCTGTTTAGAATTATTTTCTGGACTTGAAAGACTTGAACCCTTTGTTAGTTTGTAACAATCTATGCCTTGTCTGCCATTGGCAACAAGGGGAATAGCCTTGAAAGAGTTGGCTGGTCTCCGCACATATATATATCCCGTTTCCTCTCGACTTCCGCAGCGTCTCGGATCTTCTCACATCCTCAATCACCAACTCTCTCATCCCATCCTAATCCAACCTACAAGGAAGCGAAAAACACAAAACAATGTCTCACACAGAAACAACCAATCCTGCCGGCTCATTAAGAGCCGAGCCTACACTCTACTTTGCCTTCGACGGCAACCTCTCCCTCACGCAGATGGCCTGGCAATGCCCGCAGAGCAGGTACATCGGGCGCGCCGTGCTCAACAGCTACAGGTGGCAAATCAATCAAAATGGATTCGCTAACATCCATCCGAAGCTCGGGCATCGCGCCGAGGGACTCGTCTTCGAACTCCGGGGCGATGACGAGGAGCGCCTGGATCGGAACAAGGCTGCCGCCAAGGGCACGTTCTCAAAGGAGATCTGCGATGTCTCTCTTTACTATGCGCCCACTGTGCTTTTACGCGTGCCGGTGGTCTCCATTATCGATCTCGGCGGGCCCGCTTCTATTCTCGCCGAGGCGAAACAGCGCGGTGGAGGAGAGGAGTTGGCGTCGCCCATCCTAACCAAGGCTCTGGTATATATTGATAAATTGCGAGTCGACGATGGCCCGCCTCGAGTGGAGTGCATCTCACAGATGATATCCGGAATCGCCGACGCCGTTGTCTTGGGAGTTGATCCGAACTATATCTCAGCTTACGTTTGGCCCGCTCTTATGGGTGAACCCAGGCCGCAATCTGAGGAGTCGTCTCTTGTGGATGACCCCAGGCCACAATCCGAAGAGAGTCTGACCGCTATGCCTCCTCATAGCGGTGAAGCGATGCGGCACTCATTAACGCTGAAGACACTTGCGGGGTCTTCGAGTCGTGGAAGGCGACACAGTCTTCGTCGGTGGCTCTCTAAGCATGTTGGTGACCGCGTCAAGGGGAAGGGGAAGGAGAAGGAGAAGCTGCAAGATGAGGATGGCAGCCAATCGCGGGGTAAATAGTAGGAGATGGCAAGGTTTTCGGTACACAGGGGTCTATTTTCACGTCGGGTTTACGTTGATGAAGAAATCGGTATTTCGATATCAAGATGGGAGAATATTTCGCGATGTTACCTAAGTACTTCATTTATACCTAGATTTTGAAATTCATGTTTTAGAGCTAAGAGCTATGACTTTCTTTTTCTCTCTTCTCGGTTGTGTTCTTTTTGAGAGCGTTAGAGACTCACATGTCAATGTCCGAATTGTTCCGGGTTGATCCGGAACTCGGACCATTTGATGACGTTCACAAAAGCCGGCTTTGCCCCAGAAACCCGGACCCACTTTCCGGCACAAGCAGGAGAGGCCGAACGGGTCAAGATCCAACAAAGCATGGAGCGAAAATCTGGCTTCGTTGGAGTTGGAAAATATTATACGGGCTGAAAAATGCGTCTGAGCTGTGAGTGCTCTGCCCCCCCGGCTCGAGTAGTCTGTCTTCTAGAATTTGCCAATTGCTTCAGTCCTCACAATAGATAACCTCAGTAGACAGGATGAAGCAAGGTTCTCGAGAATGGTCTGAGGCCCTGCAAGAATGTGAAACCGTCGAGGATGATAGGGACGAAAAGTCGGTTTGGGTTGCCCCCTTGAGAGAATAACCGAAGCAAATACAAAGGTAACGCTTCTTTGTTCTTCATTCGCATGCTTCGTCTGCTTTAACCTTTAAACTACATCAACTAGTATTCATGTTAAGGTACATATACTAATGTGCAGGAGGGGCTTGGTTCAGTGTCCGCATTCATTGCCTTTGATATTCTCAGGTACAGCCAAATGTGGCTGCCACACACAATATGTGGCTGGGACCGCTGAGGCTAATACTGAACATCGCGTGAGGGGGAGGGGTGTCGGGGGTTCGTCTTTGGCAGTGGAAGAACAGGCGCAAAGCACTTGTCCAGGCTGGCTTGATGTTTTATATGGCTACGGCCCCTAGTGAGTAAATTGCGCTCATTTAGAGGCACGCTCATCTCCTCCGCCCTGCGTAGGTGGGCTCGGCTAGGACGGGCCTAAGTGGGCATATCATAAAAACGATGGAATCCATGGGGAGGCTTCAGAGAGGAATAGAGAGCCCACGGCGTCTAGTTGGCTTGAGTTCGATGGCGAAACCCACGAAAGCGCACTACTAGCAACCCACCAAGAGGAAACATAAGCTGCTACGATGCGACGAAGATACCAAGCTCGATGTACGGTGCAGAAAAGTAGATCCAGGTGTGCCTGCACAAACCCCTCATTCTGCCATCGGAGTCAGCCTTGAGTTGCGACAGGTAGCGTGGATATCTCATAACCAATTGTTATGATGTGCGGTTTATACACGTTTTCTCCAAACAGTTCGCATTGGTCCATTCGGCTGGCACTGCCACGATTGGGGGCTCTCTGGAGCATCGCTTCTGTGGCCAATCCGAACGGCAATGTCTTAGCAGCAAGTCAAGATCTGGAGGAACAAAATGGCAGCCGAGCCCGCAGTTCCTCTTTCTAGCATCGAGAGCCTTTTCAACCCGGTGCAGGGAACCGCTGACGAAAAAAAAAAAAAAAAAAAAAAAAAAAGAGTTCCCACTTCTCGCTCCCCAATTCCCAATTCCCAATTCCTCCACTTCTCTTGGCTTGACCAGACCGGGTTCCACACCGGCGCCTTGCGGAAGCAATTTATACGCAGTGCGTCACCGCTCAACCACTTGAGCTTCCACGAGTCGTTGAGAATCCAGAGCCAAGATCTCATATATATATCACATAAACATACACTTCATGGAGATTTCACGTGATGACTCCCGCAGCACCGGGGACAGTAAATTCTGGTGTTATCGTTCTGAAGGACGTGGGTGCCGTCTGCTAGTAGTAATAGTGTGTTTTTATTCACAAAGCCCGAGCCATCCACCCAGTAGAGCGGTTCGCTGTTTGTTCACTTCAATGGTTCAATAAATAGGCCGGCTCCTCATGTATTCCGGTTCCCACCGGCAATTCATCTCCCTAGGAATGAGTATTGTCAATAAGTAATGGAGATGTATATACTATTCCCTCTACCTAGCATGTATAACAACACACACACACACACACTGTCTCTGTAGAAATGAAACAACTCAAGAACTACCAAAAACTCCCCCAGTTCAAACAACAACATACCCAAAAAAGAAAACAGCAACAAGCAAAGCCAGTCAAAAGCTACCGAAAAAAAGGGAAACCCTGCCTCAACCCCTTCACTTCTTAATGCCCAAAAAGTTCCTCTTCTTCTTCTCAAGCTTATTATGCTTCTTCCCCCCAACCTCCGCAGCAGGCGCCGGCTCAGTCGCCAACGAGCTCGTCACAGGGGGCATTCCACCAGTCCTGCCACCCGAACTTAGCGTCATGGAACCCATGGCGCCCGTGGGAGGCGCAACGGGACGACTAGGCAGTCCGCCACCGCCTCCTCCAGGAGGTGGTCTCGCGCCGCCCATTCTCTGGCCCGAGGGAAGACCTCCTGGGCCTGGCGGAAGTGGGTTTCTACCTTGGGTTTGCGGCTGCTGCTGCTGCTGAGGCGGAGCGGGTCCCGAGGGAGCTGGGCGAGAGTCACGCTCTAAAAGGTGGGCCGGCACACGAGGTTTGGGGCGATCCATGGGCAGATCGAGACGTCGCTTATCGGCGCTCAAGTCGCTCACTTGACGGAGGAAAAGGGCCGGCGTGAGCATATGGCTCGTGATGAGGAAGATATCGCGGCCCAGACGCGACGACACGTCATAGCAGGAGCGGCTCTCGCTGTACGTCGCACCGCCGGCCATATAGACGAATACGCGCTGGCGGTTCTCGGGGGGTCTGCGGCCGGCAGCGGCCCAGTTCGGTCTTCCGGCGCGGAGGGAGCCGCCCTGAGCCGCTATGAGTTCCTCGTTGGGGTCGGCGGGAGGATTTACGTAAGGGAAAGTCGATTGGTCAAGGGTCCCCTTGCAGAGATCTTCGAGCAGGCGTTTGAGGACGGGTTCGAAGCGCGAGAGAGCGTATTCTTCATTTACGGGGCCGTTTTTGTTTTCGGGAGGGAACAGGGGTGGAGGGGGGGTGCGGGCTTCCTTGAGGCCGCGGAGGGGACGGGCGCCGAGGAGCTCGAGGTTAGTGACGATGTCGCCGTCGCGGGGGGGTAGGGAGGCGTGTGCGAGGAGGCGCTTGATGTCTTCGAGGATGAGGCCGTCGCGGTAGAGGACGTAGATGATGATGAGGCGAAGGCGGTCCGAGGGGGAGATGGCGTCGTCGTCGAGGAGGCGGACGACTTCTTCCAGAACATTTCGCGGCCGGCGGTAGTCTTCGTCGAGGCCCGTGGCAAGCGTCTGCTCAACCGAGGCGATGTCCGGCAGCTTGTTGTGCTGGAACCTGTTCATGCACTCCTGCGCCATGGTGAGGTGCAAAGAGTATATCTCCTTCATCTCTTGGAACTGCGGTAGGCCCGCCAGCATGTCACGGATAACGTTGAGGTTGGTGGAGGATTCGGCGCCTTCCTTGGCGAAGTGTGGGTTCTTGTCGAGGAACTTTTGGAAGTCGCCCATGAGCTTGTCGATGGTGTCCTTCATGTGTCTGTGGCGGTTGTCCACCCACACCTTGTCGTTATCTTGGAGTTCCATATCCTTTTCCTCCTGCAAGGGCGTCCCCTCGTTGATGGTCATGTGGTACAGCACCTTTTCCCGCTCGTCGATGGGTAAGAGGTCGTGGGCCATAGCCTGGTAGGTGAACTCGTGGACGAGGGGCGCCATAAGGTCCATCGAACGGTCCGTGATGACGAGAACGCTCGGTGGTCGGCTAGAGTGCGGCGGGAAGTTTCTATTGAAACCGGCGTAGTTTTCGAGCTCTTCGCTGACGAACCGGGCTAGGTATTTGGATAACACGCTCGCTTCGTGGGTTGGGTTCTTTGGGCTGTAGTACCGCACTCTGGGGAGTTCGCCGAGCGTCACGCATACACTCATGATCTATAAATACATTGTTCACATTGTTAGACAGCTACCAAAATCCGCGCACAGCAGGAGCAGGACGAGGGGGCGAAATGCAAGACATATGCATACCCTCTGCGCTAGTATCCTCATGTGCTCGGTGACTAAGTTATTGCACGCCGGATGATATAACACGGGGAAGCTCCACGGGTCCCTAAACGTCACCAAGTGCGACTCGCGGGGGAAGAAGTCTAGCGGTATCGTATCGAACCCGACCACCATGGCTCGGTATGCCGGAGACGATTCGAGGCGGCGACGAAGGGGCGGATCGAGGAGAGATGTCCATAGCAGAAAGCCGGACCTATAGCTCCCGCGCTCAAGATCGGCGGCTACGGTGTCGACGATGTGTGGCTCGGGAGTTAGGAAGTAAATGGCATCTATGTCGGGACTCTTCTCCCTTAGTGGATCTTCGAGGACCTCGATGTCTAAGGAAAAGCGAGGTGTGAGCAAAGGGAGTGATATGGTACTGGTACTCGAGAAGTTGGGGATTTATCTCGTACTGGCGACATTCTGGTTAAGGATATCGTCTTCGGGGACGGCATTCTCGAGGAGCTTCTTTGACGCCTGGTCTACTACTAATATCTTCCACTATTCAGGAGCCCAAATAGTCAGCGACAGTGTCTCACGGTTCCCCACCATCGAAGAGTCCATTCCGGCATTTCGGAGATCGGGGGCCCGGGAATCATGGGAAAGCTCACATTTCCTCTTGTGATATTGCGGATAGTATTTATTATGACTAGGAACCATATGTATTAGCTGCGCAAGCTCCGCAGGCAAGACTTCCTCCTTTCCTGTCCAAAGGGGGGAGCTCGTACTGTCACGCTGTTCCTGAACAGCAGATATGGCCATTGTGGGGAAATTACCAGCGCAGCAAAGCCGCAGCTGCGCTCACGAGAGAAGGCGACAGCACGGGATATTGCCCGAGGGGACTCGTGGAGGTTCGATGGAACGGGGGTTGGGGAAAAAGGTTAATCGGACGTCAACTGCACATGTGGCAACAATGTTAATCGAGGGTTTTCGGGAGTTTCGAGGTTCAATGTTCACTTGTCAATGTCAACCCGGAACAAAGGGGGGTGTGGGGTGGATCGCCAGGTTTGGAGAATTAAGCAGGGAGGCATCAATGCTTGAACTGAAGCGACGTTTGGCTTTGGCGGGGTTTCAAGTTGAGATTATTTATTTTCCAGTGCTCTTTCCCCCCGCTGTGTTACTGTGTTGCTGCATAGGTTCCTCAAAGTATCGGGTACAACGCCGCTGCTGGTCAGATGCCTGACGTCCTGCTTGCAACCTCAAATACTAGGCTCGATCCGGCTTTAGCGTGCCTCGTTGCAGTTGTCTCAGCGCGCTCCCGGCTTGTGAGGAGACCCACTTTGTACCAGGCACTTAAGAGCCGGACTTGAGTGTTGATGCGATCCAGTCCAGACGTCATTCTTCATTGCCCTGGTATTTCTGCTTGGACGGTGTTTAACTTCCATCAACTTTAACGATTTCCATGTCCTGGATCTGAATTCACTTCAAGTAGCAGTTTCTAAAAATACATAGCATCTATATCATTCCCTTAGCAAAGTGGAAAAAAAAAGTCTATAGTCCGAGCCCGTAATATCAACTCCAACCCACCCCATCTATCAAGAATCAGCCTTCTTCGTCTTCTTTCTCCCCTTGCCTGAACCACCCTCTTTTTGTTTCGCCTTTTCCCTTTCCTTTTGCTTGCCCTTCTTAATAGCATCCACAAGCGCCTCGATTTCCTCCGCCTTCTTCGCCTCCTCGGCTTCCTTAGCCAGCTCCTCCTGCCTCTTCTTCTCCTTGGTCCTCTTAACCGCCTGTTCCTTTTCCACCTTTTCGATATACTTGTCCGTCCCCTCCCACAGATTCTTCGCAACCTCTTCATCCTTGACGTCCGTCCGCGCAAAATCCACCTCCATGCACTCCTTGATCAACTTGCCGCCAACGCCGCGCCCGAGTTCCAAATCCATGGCGGCGTAGAGGATAGACTGCGCACCGTAGCGGGGACTCTTGAGGAGGAACCACACCGGAAGGTAACCGATAAGATAGAGAGCCAGACCCCAGAGCGAACCCCGCGTGAGCCACCTCCGCGTCCCCGGAGTCCGCGAAAGTCCCGGGTCGACGAAAATGACGCGGGCATTCATGGGCAACTCATCCGGCCTCTTGTACGCATCGAGGTGTTTCTGGAAAGCCTGGCCAAATACCATAAGCGCCAGCTTACTCCTCGCATACGCCTTGCCCGGCGTCCAAGACTTCTTATCCAGCGTGTCCTTGAGCGGCGGCGATCCGATATAAGACGAACACGTCGTGAAAATAATCCTAACCTCCCGATCAAAGGGTTGCGCGCGAATCGCGGGACTAAGTATCCCCAACAGATGAAAATTCGCCAAGTAATTCACCATCCAAGTCTCTTCCACGCCCTCCCTCGTCTCGACCCTCTTCTTCCCGGGAGGCGTCAACGTCGCGGCGCACAGAATAATCATATCCAACCTCCTCGGCGGCGAATTATCGACCCACTTCGTCGCGAACTGCCGAATGCTGTGCAGTGATGAGAGATCGACCTGCTCGGCGTACACAAGGTCGTTATTCGCCTGGTCCCGCACGTCCTCGATGAACTCAGCGAGGAAAGGGTCCGAGGGCGGCACTTGCGTGAGGAGGACGATTTGGGCGCCGCGTTGTGCGAGTTCTTTCGTTACCTGGGCGCCTATGCCGGATGTGCCGCCTGTTATCATGACTACTCTGCCGTGAAAGTTGCGCTCGGCGGTGCATTTGGCGCCGCTTGAGTACATCTTGATGAGTACGAGGATCGTCACCGTTGCTATGGTCTTGGCGACGAGCCAGGCGTTATCGCGGAGCCATTGCGGCGGGCCGTTTTCGAGGACGTAGAAGAGGATCGGGATGGGCATTTTCGATGGAGGGATGGGAAAAGGGGGTTTTAGGTTAGCAGGAGGTTCATGACAATGTTTCGGCGGTTCTCTCTTCGGAATTGTCGGGGAACGCGGGAGAGGAAAGGAAAAAGAGACCGGCTGGCGATGAAAGAGGGCAACGGCAGGCCAGTTGTGCGGATGTTGGAGCTGTTCCGAGCTGGGTGTCGCTCAAAGTTGCTTTTCTCGATTGGGGATGAGGTGTCGTCACTATTTTTTGCTTACTCATCAAGACCTCCCACACGTTGATATTAATGCACACGGGTCGCATTTGATATCTTTAATCTAGGCTCCAACCATCTCCAGAATTACTCCAACACATGCCTCGAGGGCAGGCTTCCCTTGGGCAATCTGTATTGACTTGAATTTCTCGCGTCGAGTCAATATTTCACCCGTGGTCATCGTTTCGTTGGTTTGAACCTCCTTCACCAAGTTTCACAAACTTGCGCCTCGCACTGGTTCACCTTCGCCACCAATCTTTATTCATCAAAGCCATCCACATTTCACCCAAAATGAACCCGCGCAAACCACAAGGCGACGGCGACGACACCTACGACGACAGCTACGATGACACACCCCTCCAACACCAAAAGCCCTTCGGCGCAGGCCTCAAGCGCAAGCGCGAAGTCGCCTTCGTCCGCGCCACGGACCCGGAACTCCAAACCATACAAGACGTGCAAGCCGTCGAGCGCGGGTCTGCAGTCGCCGATGCCTACCTCAAACTCGTCCTGAAGAAAAATCCATCAGAACAAACTACTACACCCGCACCAGACAACGACTCTTCTTCATCACCCGTGACAACCCCCTGTCCCGTGTGCAACCTGCCCGTAGGCCAGGCCTCGACCGCAGACCACCTAAAGAAGCACGAAGCATCTATAGCGCACCAAGTTTGCCTAACGCATTCTCATCCTCCATCGGCACTCGATCGCACGCGCATGGGCTTCAAAAATCTCGAGTCATACGGCTGGGATCCCGACGCGCGACTCGGACTCGGCGCCGAAGGTCAGGGCATCCGGGACCCGCTAAAGGCGAAGCCCAAGGATGATACGTTGGGCTTGGGGCTCGTGATATCGAAGGAGGCGATGGAAAAAGCCAGGGAGGCGCGGAAGAAGCCGAAGAAGTTGAACATTAAGGAGATGAGGAAGAGGCAGGCGGAGGAGAAGAGGAGAGGGGAGAGGTTGAAGGAGATGTTTTATGCGAAGGATGATGTTTTGAAGTATCTTGGGACAGGGCTATGATGATTTCCCCCCTGTTCCTTTCTGTCACTTTTATGTGGTGGTTCGGTCGCATTTACTGGCGTTTTGGTTCGGATTAAGCATATGTAGAGATGATCGTCTTCGAGCCGAAAGGCAGCATCAAAGGCAACGGTTGCATATTGGTAGAGATACCCGGTCTTTCAAGACCACACAATAAAATCAGCATAACAAACACAGTTCCATCTCTACAATGAATTCCCCATCAAGTACTTCCTAAAGGCTCCCAATCCAAGCACCAAAGTTTTTAACTTCACCCGTCCCCCGAAGACAAATGCCATCATTCCAAGACAGACTCGCCCGTAGATCGGCGCCTATAACTTAGCCCCGTGTTCCACAGTCTCCGGCGCCCTAAAATCCCGATACACATATCCTTGGGCAACGGGACTGGCCCAGTTCTCGGTCTGGGTGCCGACGGCTTTCCAGAGCTTGTCCGTAAAGAAGACGGGATGACGTCGAGATGGGTCGAGTTGCACGTGATTGCCTAATACCGCCGGCACTTGGTGGTGGGGCCGGGGGAATTGCGCGCTCGTTTGAGAGGTGTTCATTGTTTTGTTGTTTCTGATTCTAAATTTTGGCGGAGCTTTCTTCTTCTTCTCTTATTCTTCGTTTGGTTTTGAGGATGCTCTTTTGGATGAGAGGTTTGGATGGAGGTTGTTGTTCGGGTTGAATGGGAAGAGCACCGAGCAAAAGCTGGGAGATTCTTGTGGGGAACTAGTGACGTGCTGATACCGAGGCACGCCTCCAGCGCTGTCACTTTGTAATAACACATTGCCTGGCTGTGGACCACAACGCATGGTCGGAGATGCTGTTCCATTCTTTTCTCATCTCAGATTTGCAAGCACATTTACTTTTCGTTCGGATTCCGCTGACGACCTGCTCGAAACTTGAAGAGGAAAAAAATGATAATATCTAGGAACGGACCCGAGAAGAATAAACGGGCAAAAAAAGGCAAAAAAAAGATGTTTTAGCATCTCCCATACCAGGAATCGAACCAGGGTCTATGCTGCACTCTCATTGATGAGAGAGCATTATGCTAACCACTACACCATATGGGATTTCGGTGTTTATTGATGAAAATTCTGTGCTCCTGATGGCATTTTCTACCTCAACCTCAACCTCAACCTCACAGACCATGAACGTACTTGTCATTCTCTCTTGGTATCTAAGAAATACAATTCCACACTTGAGACCACCCGTCGCGAACCGAGTGATCAACAGTTGCGTTCGGCGGGGGAGGAATAAACTGATATACCGAAGCTAGTTTCCCGGATCCATAAATTCCCCAAGACAAAAGAAATAAAGTAAAAGGACAGGAGTGGTGAAAAACTACCAAGAAGAGAAATGGGTAAGAAGGAAACAAAAAGAAGAAACATTTAAACGCCCAGTTTTTACATCGCAACCTTCCCGAACCAGCTCAAACCGACGTCTTCAGCGCAATCACAATAGTAATAATAATCAGCACCAGCACCAACCCCAAAAGCCCCATCAGCTTCACATTCTTCCACCACATCCTCCTCTTCAAGTCCCGGCTCCTAACCCGGAACTCCCTCGCACTCCCGCCCAACCTATCCGTCTTATCAACCAACAAATCCATCCTCTCCCCCCTCTCCAACAACCCCTCAATATTCCTCGTCATAATCCCCCTCACATCATCAATCTCCCTCTTCGCCGTCGTAATAGCATCATTCTGTCCGCCCGCCGTAGTACCGTAATCGACCATCAGATTCCTCAAATCCGCATTGAAGCTCCCCGCGCCGTAGTTGGGCATGTCGGCGAAGTCGGTCGACTCGACCGGGAAAGCATCGAAGAAGCGCTTGCGGATCTCGAAGAGGAAGCCAAAGGGGATGCGGCGCCCGAAGCTGGACTCGGCGACTACGAGGAAGGTGAGACCGCCAGCGTCGGGGTGGTCAGGGTGGTCGGAGGGTGCTTCGGCGATGTAGTGGATGTGGTGGGTGCCGTGGGTGTAGGTGAGCTTTTGGGGGGTGGTGTGTTGAATTTTGGGGAGGATGAGGGAGGCGAGGGAGGAGGTTTGGGAGGAGGCTGAGGTGGTGCATTCGGAGAGGATGGTGCTGTGGTGGGCTATGCAGGCGCTATTGCGAGGGGGAAAGAAACGGTTAGCAGATGTGAACTAGGCTGATTTGCGGCTATTGGTGATTGGGGAGGGCTTACTAGAGGAGAGGCGTGGCCGGGGTTGAAGACGACGCCATTGTGGTGGTGTCCGGCGATGGTGCCAGGTCAGATCAGGTGGAAGTCCGGAGGTGGTTTTGTAAATTGGGCGCGAAATAAAAGGAATGTAGCGCCAGATTCAACGGGTTTGTAGGTCTAGGCAATCGTAAAATAAGTCTCAAGGATTGAAACGTTGTGCCCAAGGCGAAAGACAATTGAGGGTCGAAAATAGCTTCGTCGAGGCTGTTGAGTGAGCGAGGCATGCGGATGTGATCAAGGCACCAAGATTCCGCGATGAGACGAAGCGGACGCACTGCATGATGACGAACGCTGGTCGTGGCAAAACCCCGAACCTGATTGGTCCGTCTACCGGGACGATGGGGCCATTCGGGACGGGGAATGCAATTTTCCGCGATTATGTAAACCTAGAAAAACTTCGGGATCGCGCTTACCAAAAATAGCTATCAATTGTAGCATTCGATTTCCAGCGTTGAAAGGAAATTTGTGAGAAGAACTAATGAGGGAGGATGCACTTTGCCTCATGATATTATCTTTTCCTTCATTTCAAATAGCAATAACTCATAGATTCTCATGATCGTTTAGATTCTCTCATGGCTTCTAGCCATGTTTAATTGTCTAGTTTCTCAATTTCTTTCCTCGACATCTCGGCGCAGCCCGATCTGCCGCCGTCATGTCTCGCTTTCTCAGACGAACAACTCCGGCCGCTTATAATGGCATCTCCAGCTCCAGGACGCTGCCCACCGTCTGCAGCGCCTGCTACACCAGTCTACTAGCGCACAAACTTCCCTCCTCAGAATGGACTTACACCACACCAACTCACGGCCTAACGCGCCTCTCGAGACAGCAGCGGTTCTATGCCAGGCCCACGCAGAAGAGTCGCATCTCCTTATTCCAGGACATGGTAGAGACGCGCTTCCAACAGATCGCGCCGTCTAGGAAGCCCTGGCTAGAAGTGGAAAAGCAGCTCGGCCCCTTCGGAATCAAAGACATGACCCATCTCCGAAGCGAAGAAAAGGCCTTCCTCCGCGCCCTCAAATCCTCCTTCGCGCTCGCCGAATCAGGTACCACGGAGTTCTTCAAGAAGGAGTCCCTCTTCAACTCGTTACGGCTAGCTTTCATACGCGGCGACGTAAAGGGTCTCTCGTCACAACTCCACTACTTGTTCATGAACTTCCTCCTCCGGAACCGCTTCTCCAAGCCCGTGACGGAAGCTCAGCGGCAGCTCGCCGATCTCCGCTATCCCTGGGAATGGTTCCCCGCCACGCGCGCCCTCCAGAGGACCGTCCATCTCCACGTCGGCCCTACCAACTCGGGCAAGACCTATCACGCGCTCAAAGCTTTGGAGCAGGCCAAGACGGGTCTCTACTGCGGGCCCCTCCGTCTTCTTGCTCACGAGATTTACACGCGACTCACGGCCAAAGGGAAACCGTGCGCGTTGCTGACGGGTGAAGAGCAGCGATACCCCAAAGACACGGACCGGTATTACATCAGCTGCACAGTAGAGATGACGCCGATGAGCGAGCTTTACGACGTGGCCGTCATCGACGAGATCCAGATGCTCGCGGATCCCGAGCGCGGCCCCGCGTGGACGGCGGCGTTTTTAGGCGTGCAGGCCAAAGAGGTCCATCTCTGCGGCGAGGAGCGGACGGTGCAGATCATCCAGTCCATCTGCGCCAGCATCGGCGACACATGTATAGTCCATCGCTACCGGAGGTTAACGCCCTTGAAGGCGGCCGACGAGTCCATCGGCAAGAGTTTCAAGAATCTGCAAAAGGGGGACTGCATCGTCGCCTTTTCGAGAATGGCTATTCATGCTATAAAAGCCAACGTCGAGCGGCGGACGGGGCGGCGGTGCGCCATCATCTACGGGAGCTTGCCGCCGGAGACGAGAGCGCAGCAGGCGGCGCTGTTTAACGACCCGGATAACGATTACGATTTCTTGGTTGCTAGTGATGCGATTGGGATGGGGCTGAATTTGGAGATTAAGCGGATCGTGTTCGAGTCGGTGACGAAGCATGATGGGTATGATTGGCGGAACCTTACGGTGTCGGAGATTCGACAGATTGGTGGACGAGCTGGGAGGTACAAGACTGCGAGGCAGGCAATCGACGATTCAAAGTCTCAGGACGCAGGAGAAGAAGCAGCAAAAGCGACACGGGAGACGGACAAGGTCGGCTTCGTCACGACCCTGGACCGGTTAGATCTCCCACTCGTGAAAAAGGTGCTTTGGAAGGACGCCCAGCAAATCGAAGCGGCCTTCATCTCCCCGCCCGTATCCTACATCGAAAAGTTCTCGACCTACTTTTCCCCAGACACACCCCTCTCCTTCATTCTCATGCGGATGCGCGAACTCGCCACGCTCTCAGACCGCTTCCAACTCTTCATCAAAGACAGCTTCCTCACCATCGCCGATACAATCCAAGAATTTCCCCTCTCCATCTTCGACCGACTCGTCCTCGTCACGGCCCCCGTATCCCTCCGCTCCTACGGCGGGCGCGAAATCCTCCAGGCCGTAGCGCGCTGCGTAGCCGAGCGCAAAGGCGGTCACATCCTCGAGATGAAGGAGATCCACCTCGAGCTACTCGACGCCGACCTCGCGACGATCCCCAAGGCGCAGGGGGTTCTTTACTTGCAGCATCTTGAGGCTCTGCACCACGCTGTTGTGCTCTACCTTTGGGTGTCGTATCGGTTCCCGCGCATCTTTACGGCGCAGGGCCTAGCGTTCCACGTGCGAGATCTCGTGCAGGAGAAGATTAACGAGTATCTCTCGTCGCTGAACTTTGCTGAGGAGGATATCGATAAGAGGCGTAGTCAGAGGAGAGCGCAGGCGCTGAAGCGCGATCAGATGCAGAAGGATTTGCTGGGTGACGAGGCTACGGAGGATGTTGCGATTGAGGAGGGGCCTGGGCGGTGGAGTGAGGAGGGCCACGAGGAGCCGTTGGCGCAGGTGCCGGAGGAGATTGCGGAGCTTACGAGGACGAGCCTGGGTTCTACTAGCGGGAGGGAGTCGGGAGCTAGAGTGTAGAAAAAGAGCTTCTGTGTATTTTGTTGCGGAATGCCACGATGTTATGGCGCTTTGTATTAATATAAGTTGTATAGAAGTCTGGCGGCGGATCGCTGTAAGAATACCAGGGAAACGGAGAGGGGATTGGTACGGAAAAAGCGATTCAAAATAGATTGTCGGATATCGATAGACAATGGACGAAAACATCTCCGTCAAATGTAATAACAAACACTCGATTCAAGCTTCAGAACTGATTCATGCTTCCATGTCGACTCGATGTCCACCGGTGTGTCTCGGTATGCCTCGGTGAAGGAGGGGTTACCTCCAAGCTGAACTCAGTGCTCAATTATTACCCCACATTCTACATTCCACATCCCACTTCGTTCGCCCTGTCCGACTAGAACAATTGATCTGAGGGTCCAATTGTCCATTCTCATTACGTAGTTTTAGGCTCCTGCTGTTGCGCGTCATTCCTTCTTCTCGAGCTATATTGTGCAACACTCTCTCTTCTCCCTCTCTCTTCTCAACATCGCAAAACGCAAACGAATCCCAAAAGCTTCTCCAAACCCAGCTCCATCCCAGAAAACGAAAAAAAGAACACACCCGTCCCATCTAACCTCACCCCCCCCAACCATCGCCAACCATGACCACCACCACCTCCGACCAAAAAATCGCCTTCATCCCCCTCGAAGCCAACCCCCCCCTCCTAACCTCCCTCCTCCACAAACTCGGCGTATCCCCCGCCCTCGCCATCCACGACGTCTACTCCCTCGACGACCCCTCCCTCCTCGCCTTCGTGCCCCGCCCCGCTCTCGCCCTCCTCCTCGTCTTCCCCGTCAGCGAAACCTACGAGGCCCACCGCCTGGCCGAAGACGCCGACAAGCCCGACTACGCGGGGAGCGGCGAAGGGGAGGGCGTGGTTTGGTTTAGGCAGACGATACGGAATGCGTGTGGGTTGATGGGGTTGTTGCATGCTGTTTCGAATGGGCCTGCGCGGAACTTTATTGGTAAGAGATGTGTTTCCTCTTTTCCTAATGCCTCTTCTTTTATCTATGCTGTATAAGAGCTAAAGGAAAGGAAACAACAGAACCAAACTCAACCCTCTCCACCCTCCTCGACCAAGCAATCCCCCTCCCACCAAAAGAACGTTCCGTCCTCCTCGAAACATCTCAAGCTCTCTCCGCCGCCCACCGCGAAACCGCCGAACAAGGCGCCACCTCAGCCCCCGAGGCCGCCGACGACGTCGACCTCCACTACGTCTGCTTCGTCAAGACCGACGACGGCCGCCTCTGGGAGCTTGACGGGCGGCGTAAGGGACCCCTCGCGAGGTTGGAGGGGATGAGTGAGGAAGAGGACGTCTTGAGCGAGCGGGCACTGAAGGCGGGGCCGTTGGAGTTTTTGGGGAGGGAGAGGGGGGATTTGCGGTTTAGTTGTGTGGCTCTTGCGGGGGCCTTGGATTAAAGGAGGAGGAGTCTACTCGCGGGTGAAGAGGTAGAAGTTGATAATGCTCGTAATATCATGCATCAAAAGAGTTTTTTTTTTTTTTTTTTCCTTCTTCTTCCCTTTTGGGGGAAGTGTTCAACATCTTCGTCGGCAGCAACACCGCTTCCTTCGAGCCGCTCGTCGCAGACGCGCCTCTTCCTTTCGATTCCGCCAGAGCTGGAACGTGACGAGCAATCCCAAGAGACGAAGCGTTCGGTAAATCCGGCAGGTAAGCGGTAGAGATGCGTCGGATGGTTGTAGAGGCTGGGCGGGGCGGCGGCGGCGGCAGGGGAGCAGGCGGGATCGGGCCGTTAGGGGGAGGTTAGGGGAGGACATTTTCTTTCGATTCTTTAGAGCTTGCTTTTGCTGGGCTAGGTGGGATTAAAGGAGCTTTGTGTTTCGACAGGGATGTTTTGTTCTTGTTGACGTGGATAGTTGATATGCCGGAGGATTATTTTGATTCGAGGTGTATACACGGCTCTCCGAAGGCAAGAAAAAAGAGGGTGGATGGATGGATCATGGACGTTGCCAAGACGAGAAGAGCAAAAGATGTTATCAAACAAAGCCAGTCTATCAATGACATCGAAGCAAGTCACTCACGTAACTCGGTCTCTCCAATCTTCTTTCCCCATCCCTGTCCCACTCAACATCAGGAAAGAGACGCTCAGAACAACACAGTCTGTGAGGGAAGCTGCCCATCACTATTTCACACCCAAACATGCATTGTATCTCTAGTTTCTAGCCCATTAAATCATCCGCCTGACATATTAGATCGCATCAAGTCACGTACCTACTAAAACATATGCCCTCTGTCAAGAAAAGTGTGGTATTGGTATTTTTCTGTCCAAGACAGCTCTAACATAAGAAAGTCCATAATGGTCATGTCCGTCCACCTGTCCTTATCCATTCGATGATATATGTGCAAAAGATAACTCCAATCACACCCAATTCCTTTCCTATGCCCAGCCCCAATGTCCACAAATGTACATGAACCACATCCCCTTCCCAAACGCCGTGGCTTCATTTCTTTTCCAAGCAGTATACACCGTCCCTCTGGTACGAAAAAAAAATGGAAGAAGAAATAAAAGGTACAGCGGGACGCATATGCGCAGATGACATGATACAACTCAAGGAAACTTCACGGGCCAGTTTCCATGTTTCGTTTCACACTCACTCCACATCAGCGTGATGCCCGTCATCAAGATCAACTCTCCCATTGGCCTTCCTCGCCGACGCCCTCTCTCTCGCCTTTGCCTCCTTCCTCATTCTCACCGCAGCCTTGACATCCACCTTGCCCAGCTTTTCCTCGGCGATGGCTTCGTAGAGGGCAGCTCGCATCGCCTTGACGCGGGCGGAAATGTCCCTAATCGGAAGGGGTGCTTCTTCGCCGAGGCCACCCAGTTCGTCCTCGTCATCTGTCTCGAGGGCATAAGGGCGAGGACTAAAATCGGGTGGCCTCGAAAGAGGCGCGAGAGGGCGGCGGCTAAAGGAGTCACTAAGATATTGTGATGACTTCGGCGGGCTCTCGTATGGAATCTCAGGGATGGCTTCGAAAAGACCCGGAAGCTGAGTTCCACGCATACCGTATCCCGCATCATTGAAGAGAAGCGTCTCGTCGTCCGGCATCTTGGGTCGCTTTGATACCAAAAATGGTTCGCCTTCCATCTCGTCTTCCGAAGACAGATAATCGTCCATGTTGAACGAGCTCTGCCTCACAATCGTTGCCGCCGCCGACGATGTGACAGGTGTCTGCAGTCCGCTCTCGGGGTGCGCACAATATGACGAACTGGTGAGCCCGGTCCCGCTTCCGCTCACCAATGAGCTGTGACTCGACGTAAAAGTGGGCGAGTGTAAAGGCAGGTCCAGCGACGTCTGGGCCGTGTGGCGGGAGTGCGGTCTCCCGAATGGGTTCGAGCTCATGCTGGACGTCGTAGGCGTCGCCGAGGAGATGGACGAGTGACGTAGGCTGCTCCTCCTCCTCGGCACCGTTTCCACGACGTCATCGAGCTTATGCCTGTTCCGAAGCGAGGCGTAGTTATAGAGAGAGTCGGCATCGTAGCCCCCGCGGTCGCCCCTGCGGACATGGGGCGAGGGCGCAGGGGATGCTGCCTGGTCAGCATTCCGCTCGATATCTATTCGGCCCCATTCATAAGCGCCACTAGATGGCGACCGCCCATCGCCATTGTCGCTAGATACCGAGGTTACACTCGGGCGTCTCGCCATGGTCCGGATGGGTGGTGGTATGGCGCTGGAGATAGAGTCGCGCGAAGAGGGTCGTGCAGCTGTCTTTGGCCGCTCTTTCGTGATGCTCTCGGTCGCAACAGATATGGAGCTTACTCCGCTCTTGGAGCGTTGCCTCCGTGTCTTGAAGCTCATAATTTCGGAGAATTCTGGTACGTGCATGGGAGGCGTCTGTCCAAAGTGGGTCGATCCAAAGTCGGAAGAATAAATACCCAATTCATTATTGCCATACATTTGATAGCTGGTCTTCGGCCTCTGCATGGCTCGGCTGTCGGATTGGTATCCGCGGTTAAGGCTTGGCGCCCTGGAACTGTTGCTCGTAACATCATTAGCGGTAATGCTGTTGGATCTGCTTGCCAGTCTCGAATGCCGTCCCCGAGGCTGATAATCTGACATGTATCCGGCATGGCTAGAGTTGATCATACCGACCAGGCGAGGCCTGGGAGCCGTACCGGCTTCTCTAGGAGCATAGGCATGGCCCCGAGATGGGAACGGGACGAAGCCAGCTGAGCTCACAGGTCGCGCTCTAGGGACGGCACGCGGGGAGGACATTACTGTGTTAGTCCTCTCCAGCTCGTCGGCGTCAGAGGCGGCATAATATCGATGGCTGTCCAGGAAAAGACCTTGTGACGCTTCGCGAGACATGGGGAGCCGGCGAAGATGAAAGGGGGTTTCTGTTGTTGTTGTCGTAGTAGTGGAAGGGGTGTAGTAGGATAAAGTGCGTCTGGAAGCGAGAGGAGGCTCCGAAACATTAAGAGCGATGTTTCGATCGGCGACATCCTCGCCATAATCCCTTGCGCCAGTTGCCTGGACTCGACTTCGAAAGCTGGAGGGCTTAATTTCAGACTGGGCATCGAGGATGTCGACAAAGCCTCCCTTTGAGGCGGCTGTAGTAGAAGTGGTCGAACTGTATATTGAGGCGCCGCGGCGATGGGTTGTTAGGCGCGGAAGCGGTGGCGGCTTTACGGCGGGGTTCGGTTGGAATGAGATTTCCTCTACCGAGTTCAGTTTCTCGGGGACCGATCTGTGTGATGCTAGCATCGAGGCCGGGCGCTGCCGTTTTATTAATAGGGGCGATCCGCTGGATGAGTCCCGCTTTAGCCAGCTCGACATGCGCTGATGAGCCAAGCCTGACCGCGAAGGCGGGCGCAACTCGTTGGAAGTCGGCGGCCGAAGCTCCAGGACTGGCTCGTTGAATCTGGGTACAAATGGAGTTGGGGCAGCATCAACATCGTCCTCCTCAGCCGCTTCATCTTGTACCACCGGTTTCTTCGGTGCATTGGTGTCTATCCTCCTGGGAACATGCTTCCGTACCGGCGCATCTTTTGGCCCGTCCCCAGCGACCGGATAAGTGCCTGTAGTGAATGTAAGCCATAATGCTCTTCCATTTACCTCAGTGCCAGAGGATTGTATCTGAGGCCAGAATCAAAACACAAACAATACCTTTGACAGGAGGCTTCGAGGCAGTTGTGTTGTGGTAGGCCTGAGCTCTCAAGGGAGCCTTGAGGCGCTCATTCTCCCGTTTTAAGAAGCTCAATAAGCCCATTGTCACCGAGCATGTAACGTAGCCATATGTGGATTCTTCCTTTCCTGGTCAATGGAGCAGGCCCGCTCAACAACTTCCCTATTTCTCTCGATATTCCCTTGACCTTTGGCGGACTTCACCTCAAGTTTTGAATTATTGTATACGGTAGAGTCGAATAAAGGGGGCGAGTTTATGCGGTAAAGGTGGACAGCAGGTAGGAGGAGCGTACAATGACTCGGCGAGGTCGGTGGGACAGGGATTTTGGTGTAAGAGAAAGTGTTGCGCTCTTCGTATCAGTGCGCGAAAGGATCCGGTCTCCGCTATTATAAAACGAAGGATTCAGTAACACACGAGAAAAGGAGAGGACTGCGCGTAGAAATCGCGGCACAGAGTAATTGGGGAAAAAAGGCGAGAGCGGAGAGGGAAAATGGAGGAGGGAGGATCTGAGGGCAGAAGGGGTGAAATGCTATGATATAAGAGTGGAGGGACTTGGACGGTGCAAGTGCGGGAGGTGCATCCATCCAAGTGGTTTGTACAAGTATCTCGAGGGCGAAGTGAGAAACCAGGCTAAGCTAAGCTAATCTGTACGTGAGTAGCGTGGAGACTAACTTTGACTGGGACTATACAGGTACACTTAGAAGTAGCCAGGCACATGTCATTGTGCGAAGGACATGTGGAGTGTACTTCGTGCGGAGGAAGTGTCTTGGTCCTCTGGCAAAGGCACGGAATCCCGGGGGCGGTTGATGGTGGCAGGAGCAAGCAGCGAGAGCAAGAGCAACAGGACGGACGAGCGAGACAGGGAGGGGTGCATGCAAGCCAGGAAGCAGGGAAGGTAATACAGCAGGGAGGGTGTACGAATATTACGCTGAAGGGGGTGTGGGAAGGAGGCAACGATCTGACTGTCTGGAATGTAGGTCAAGTGCAACGACGGTGTTGTGTACTTGGGTACTTGCGTAGCGCTGCAACAGGCAGGCAGGTTAGTGTCCGTGGACTGGACCTGCCTCCTGCACAGTGCAGGTACACAGACAGGCTCGGTTGGGTCAGTCCACGTCTCCATGATCAGAGTGAATGTGCTACGCACTACGGAGCGAAATGGCCCTTGGCATCAGCGGTTGATACTCCTCCTCAGCTATCAAATGATTCAATTGATCTGCAATTACTCCGTACATGAGTGGGTGCGAAGAGCGAAGAGCGAAACGTGTACGAAGAAGGGTCCCAGAAGAATGGTGCCTGGCTGTTTGGCCATGTTCTACGTTTCTCATAAAAAAGCGTATTAATAGCTGAACTTAATAACAATTGTTTCCAATGGCCACTGCCGTGCATTAAACTAGATGGATAATACAGAGCGGTATCCGCCTGGGAATAATGCTCTCTCCAAAGCCGTTGCATTCAGCTTGACCAGCCGCAGCGTCAGAGTCCAGGGACCCACGATCTCAGAAACCGACTTTCCTTGAGGCTACAAAGTACTTCCGGGCAAAGAGAAGATCAAGGATTCAACGGAAGCAGATGCTATCATTGATGTTAGATCAACCCACGTTGACCCTTCAAGCGCAATGCGTGGTGGTCCCACATTGGCATTGGCAATGGAGACTCCAGTCTAGGGCCCTCATCGCATGGCCAAGATTGAATCAATAGATCGATCCCAGGGCCATGAAATGGGACCTCTATCCATCGGCAAGTGGTTTAATAACCTCGAAAGTAATATATGTTGTAACCCAGGGATACACATTATCCGGTGTCAAAATTTCCCCATCTTGTCCATCTCTGGTTCAACTCAACGCTATCTCATCAAACCAACCACCCTTCCCGCTTGTTTGTTCATGCCTCTTCCTTTGTCTTCTTCTTCCCGGTCGAGGGTTCGTCGCGTTCCAAGTAACCCATAATTGGCTATATCAGCGTTCGAAACATCAACAGCCGGGTATTTGCAACTTTGCAACGCAGGCAGAAGAGACTAGGGACGAAGCGAGACGGGAACGGGGTAGGTGGAGATGGACCTGCGAGATGCCCCCCAAGGACGTGGGATAAATAAGGCTCCCTGCGACACCATCTGTCCATTTCCTCCCATCTTGAGACGGCATCGTACGGGAAGAAAGGAGTATCTGATACGCCCCTCCCTCCCGTCTTGAGTTTTGTGCCATAGATGAATCGGAGTTATCATTAACATCAATTGATGTACCCAGGTAGCAGATCATTTCCGTTTGCCGTCTGCCTGTGGTACCACCATCAAATTTTGGCCAACGGCATATCGTCGATAGTTCTTTTGTTATGGTTCCCCAAGGGAGGTTATTATTATCTTTCAATGCTACTATCGAGCCGTGGACAAGGGAGCTGAATGAGATCAATGAGACAATACCCCAGTGCTGGCACCGGTGAACTGCCTTGCTTGGAGGATATCGGCACCTGAACGATTTGTATGACCACCAACTGGGCCTGTAACACACAAACGCTTCAGCCAAGGGTTTGTGCATCAGGCTCGTGTATCGCAAATCGCCGAGTCGGCGGCGGTCGGTCGGTCAGAATCGTGACCCCGTTAAGCTTTAGAGAACAGCTGGAAGCGACATCGTTCCCGCAACCGCCAATCTGTTTCTGGAAGCTCCGGGGCGACGACGGCGCAGTGCAGAAATACAACTCATCAGCAGCCGTTATTGGACATGACATCACATGCGTACAAGTAATTCCTGGATCTGCAGCAGCGACCTGAGCAGGGATGGAGGGGAGAAGGCGGTACCATCCACCATCAATCACAAACCACCGACGGCAACCACGATCGTCTGCCTCGCGGCTGCCCTTTTCTTCCCTCATCTCATCCCATCTAATCCAAGATCCCCTCAATTCCCATCCTGGTAATTTCTCCAAGTTATCATCAATTGATATTTCGTCTCACACAATTGCAAAATATTGTCTCTTCTCCACTATCTCCAATTTTCATTTGATTTCCTCTCGTCTATGGGGAACAGAGGCGCTCTGCTGCGGACCGCCGATGCATCCCGTGCCGAGTGCACGGTCAAGTATTGCCTCATTCATCTTGTTGCCAGACTGATGATCCCTTCATCTTTGTTGCTAGACCGATGATCCCTCTCCATCTCCCTCCCTATCCCTCTCCCCACACCATTACGACTTACGAAAGATAAATTCCACGTACATCGTACAGGTCATCCAAGAGGAGCGGCCCGTGCAAAGCTTTGAATGGCCTCTTGTACGAAGTACTTCATCGCGAACGGACTCGATGCAACGTGCGTTCAAGAACCGCTTTGTACCTTTGATCTGTTTTAATTTTATTTATTATCATTTTGTTTTCTTGCTCCTTCCATTTCCACACAAGTAGAGAGTCTGCATGCGCCAACTGCGTCCTTAAGGACAATGTTTCCTTGTGCTGCGAGGATACTGCTTGGTTGGACGAGAGCGGGCGCAATGCAAGCGTAATGCAATACCATGCCGCAAGCTGCCAGGCAGAGCTACCGCAACAGCAACAGCGATTTGATGAAGCATCTACATCTACACTTCTACTCCTTTTACGAGGCACCGCCCGGAGTATGTCCGACCAGGTAGCAGTCGCCGAGCACATTCCGACAATATGGATAGGGGCCGACTAACATCCCTAGCGCAACTTTTGGTCGATTTCACTCGTACGCCAACACCAATTTAGCCTCAGGTCATCAAAAGACAAGCCAGAAAAGGGAGCAGCACAGGCCACTGTCAAGCATAGACACGAGGCATCCAAACCGTCTGTTCCCTCCTCACTTCGTGACTTACGAAGTACGCGATCAATAGCTCAACAAGGGGGGTTCGGTGGCGTCAGAGTTGTCCCCGCTCATTTCATGGAAAAGGATGCGAGGAAGCATCTCTCCGTCTTTCGTGGTGGTCAGAATAGGACAGACTAAGCAGGCCCCTTACATGCGCATGGCTTGATTAGGCCAGAATGTCGGCGACTTCCACTTCTAGAAGAGAATTTCTTCTTTTGGCTGGCCTGGCCACGTCGTCGGAGACCAATTGCACAGTGGATGTCCGTGTGAGACATGCTCCGCCTGAATTTGGGACTTGCACTTTCAGCTAGTTAGTCGGATTCTGCTTCTAGAACTCACTTTCTTTTGCTTTTTGTACCGCCGAAAGGCTTCGCTGTCACCCGCTAAGTAGGGGGAGCAGACAGATATTCGAGCACCTCGAGGTGGCTTCATCATATCACTAGCTTCTAAGTATGGGCTAAACTAAAAGATGGAATATCCTCTGATTTTCCATGCGAGGACATGGATGTGTGAATCTGGTGGAACAGAGGGAGCACGAGAAGGCAAAACGCCACAGAACTGACCGACAACCTTGCAACCCTGCCACACCAAGGGATGACGAGTTCCCAGTCGCCTTCGTCCAGACTAATACCTGAGTATTCCCGCAAACAGGGCACAATCTCAACGGATCCGAGTTCAAAGAGATCAAGCCAAACCCCCCAATCTCAGCCCGCCGTCAGCCTCGTGTCGCCGCGCTGCTCGACACCATTCTGCTTTGCCCTTCCGCTAGCACAACAGATTCAGGTTGGCGGAAGAGCCCACTCGGCGCAAGACGAGGGTGTGTTGCGTCTGTCTTTTAGTCTGATGAGCAGACATCTAGCGCGTCTTGGTTCAAATTAAGAGAAACCTTTTTTTTTCCTCGCCAAGCGTGAATTTTCCTGTCCAGACCCATCACCTTCAGATTTCCCCACAGTGAAAAGGGAAAAGCGTCCAAAAGTTGCGCAAAGGTGCGTCTCTAGTCTCTTGCATGCAGCTTGGGGGGGATCTTCCCAACATGAAGCCAGACTAGATTGAGTTTGGAAGATTGTGGTTGCTGCCATGACGCTCCTCGATGGCTTGGTGAATTGTTCTTGGCGCCTTTCTCCCCTGTTTTTCTCGAGGGGAAGATGCAGAATGTAATATGCGATTTCCCATTCTTACTGGGCTTCGTAATTACGAAGCAGATATTCGCGCATGGCGGACGGATGCTGGAGACACGGCATCCCGAGCTGTCCGGTTGTCTTACGTCCGATATCCCCATTTGCTTGAGGGCAGTTTGATTGGCATACAGCTGGCGACTAGAGGCTGTACGAGATGCTGTGTGGCCCTTCAGCTCGAGACTACAAGATCCAATATTCAACTTGCTGTCGACACATGGCCGATCCCTGTGACGGAGAACTTATTATTTAACTCACGGACTTCATACTAGCAGGTCCGGTGGAGAACGGAACAAGAACAAATGAGCCTTGATGACGAGCCAAATGAGCAGAACCGCGGCATCCGTCAACTCCTACCTGGATATTGCGAGGTACGCAGAGATGCCATGTACGAGGTACGAGTACACTGTGCACGTCCGCACCAGAGCGGATCGATACATCGACTTGGCCTGCGAGGAAGACACTGAGATTCGGAATAGATCAATAGATCACCAAACCTCGCACGAAGCTCCTCCATTCCATGTGGATGTGGGCGAATGGGCCAACTGACCAATTGGGCTCCGAAGTGTATTACTCCCTCTCCCAAGACCGACCGGCCTTGCGGCGGGACAAAAGTAAGAGCGCGGATGTGCTCTTGCATTTTCTAGCGTGAGTGGGTGCAGGATGCGTCTTCTAGCCAGCTAGCCCCCGTAATTTTGGATGTACGAAGTCAGTCGGAGGAGGATCCTACTGAGACGCTACGCCAGCTCTAGTTGTGCACATCTGTCGGAGTGCGCCCAGTATGTTTCGGGAGGTGAAATGAGAGTGTGCTTTCGCAATGGTCCACTCTTATTTTGCTGTTCTTGGGAGATGAGGGAAATGACTTGCTTCCTCGATGATACCTCTTTTTCCAACAGCCCTCTGGCCATCATTTCTCACGTATCATTTGTCACCGCCCCCAGGTAATTTACGACATGCAAGCAAGCACTCGCACGAACCCCTTCGGGACGGGATGGATGGCAAGCGAATCCCGGCCGGAATATTAACAGGTCCTATTATACTTGTATTATTCTGTGATTATTATCGATATCGACAGCTGACTCTTCAGGAAATCCATGCCTCAGGAACTAACGTCTTTTCTCTCTGCAAACGCACTGATGCTCGTACAGCACAGCCTATTCCGAATCAAGTCAGTTCTAGCTACTAACTTATATGGCAAGGAGTGTCCATGTTGGGCAGGGATGGGCAACACTTTTTTCTTTGGTCGTGATGTGCAATGAGGGGGGACGAGGCTTAGGCGGGAGAAGGTGAGGGGCAAGATGTCTGACAAGAAACGGTGAGTTTGGGCACGATGTGCTTTTCGGTGTTTTTCCGGTTTCTGGTTTACAAGTATGTGGCGTGTGTGCTTTTGTGCTTTTCGTAAATATTGGGATTTCATCTCTTTAATTTGTTTTCCACCACTCGGAGAATATTCAGGGCGCGAAGAAGGGTCGGCGAAAAAGCAAGTTGGAGGAAGAAGGGAGGATGTGATGGATGGGCGCTAAACGAAGGTGGTGAGCGATTACAAGGCCCTCTCTAACGCCGTCCGTCCAGCATCGCCATGACGAGCCAAACTCTCTTGTCTTCCTAGCCGCAGCAAGGACCGGACAAGATCGGGGATTGAGTTCGTGATGGGCCCCTGTGCTTGTCGTACTCTTTCCTTTTCCTACTGCTTCGTATTTCCCTCGCAGTGGTTCGATCTCGACCTGTCAACTCGGCGTGTCAAAGCCGAAAACAAGGTCCCAAGACGTCGATCACTAAGATCATGTTCGTCCTTGTCGGTCCGTGTTCTTGGGATCAACGGCTCTTCTTTTCTTCTTCTTTTTATCTCTTAACTCATTAACCTCGGGCTTCGTTCAATCCTTGACCGCCTCGAACTTACGGAGTAGATAGCCTCAAGTTGGGAAAAGCTCGATATGCATGCGCTTTTACATGCAAAGAGGGAGACTAGCGATGATATCCTACCTGAGCAGCCAGTCGCCGATGCATCTCTAGATCTTGCCCTTGCATCCTTGGAGATTTCCACGCTGCTCTTGATTGCTTTTCTTTTTCTTCCATATTTCCATTTCATCTCGCCTGCTTCCATTACCGAGACAGGGCGGTTACCTGTGTCTTAGTCTCAAGAAGATCACTCAGTGCTTTGCTTTTTTCCCTTCTTCATCACAGAATCCACCTGTCAGAGCAAGCCCCAGTCTCATCTAGCCTCTCATCTAGTCCAATCCCAGTTGAGCCCGACTTTTTGCAACCCCATCATGCGTACACCCCCCCTCAAGCCCATGAAAATCATCATTACTTCCCGCATTCCAGTCCCCACAACCCGCAGATCCCATCAGATTTAATCCCAGTTCCCAATCCAACATTAACGCATCGAGACAAAGATGTGATGGCGAGGGCAAAATGAGACTTGTCACTCTAGACCCAGAGACGGAAAAAATCAATATTGAAACTCTACACTATGAAATTCGAATGGAAAGGGAAAAAATTACGAAATCCTTCCCGTTCAGCTATTCTCCGGTACGCTAACATTCTGGCTGAAGGCCTCATATCCCTGTTTCGTCCAACATTATTGGACTGGGCAAGGGGGGGAACGAGCGAAGGTGCAGCTTGTTGGATCCATGGGTTTGGGTTTCGGGAAGTGCGTTTGCCGCCGTGATTATTGGCGAAGTATGACGAGACAGGCATAATATTGGGAGGTTATATCAGGGCTTAACCTTGCCTTGTCCTTGGGAAGGGAAGTGGATGCATTGAGAGGGGACAAAGAGATTTTGCAATCCCAGACTCCCTGGCTCTCTTTGCATCTCTAGCCCGGCATCAGAGCCGTACTATCTCCATGATGGACAACCGCTGCTCCGACCTCCCCATCACGATCGACAAGGATACAAATCCGATAGTTCATCACCAACGCTTAGCAAACCCTGCCGTCGATCCAGACCCTGTCGCCTCCCTGTCCTTGTCCCTGTTCATTATCCCCGTCCAGTGTCCACTATCCCAGCCGCCAGATTCAAGAAAAGTCGAAAAAAAAAAAAAAAAATCACCCATCCACAGAAACGCATCGACGTCCTAATACCGAGAAAACGGTTACTGCTTCGCCAGCCAAGCAGTTGAGTCTTATACCAGGTCTATAATACCTCCATCCATCCCCCCCCCCCCCAAACGAAGCTGTCCCGTGTTTCCGGCGCCGAAGGCACCAACGCAGTGAATCTGGACCACTACCTGTCACTCTGTCCAACAACCTCCATTCCCCCATAGCCCCCTGTTCACCCCCGTCAACCTGGGGAATCCCAGTTCTCCATCTTCAGCTTTCCCACTTCCGCACTGCCGGGACTTGGGGGGGCCTGGACCAATAATTCGCCATGAGATGTTGATTTTGGCGCATCCCGACTTCCACGGCTTCCGGTTTGTATGAAATGTTAATTGGCAGTAATATGTTTCGTAATGCTGGACTGCTGAACCCGGCCCTGGGCTGGCTGAAATCTTTTTTTGTTATTGTTGTATGTAACTACGAAGTGCGAACACGATGGAGCAGATTGTGCTCGAAATACCTCGGTATATCCTGGGCGGAGGGAGGTTGGTAGTTTGGGAAATACGAAGCAACTACTTCGTATACGAAGTAGAGAAAGAAGCTCAAGCTCTCCACAGTCAGTCTTGAGTAAAGTACAAATTTGTCCGAGAGGTCGAATCAGATCTTCACCGCCAGGCACATCTCTCGGCGAGATTAGGCACACCGAAATCCACTTACATTACGATGTTCATCACTTGCAAACTAGTCAAAGAACGCCAGTGTGAACAAGTCATGAGGTTTTGAGTGTAATAATACCATTTCTCTATCTCCCCAGAGCGTATTTGGATTAATCTGTTTTCTCATGTCCCATAATCTTCTATGACCCATCTGTCCCATCTGTCCCATCACTAACCCTCCATATTCGCAGCATAAACCAGCCGTGCGCCGACATCCGAAAAAGAAATCCCATCCCATGATAAACTACCGTCTCTCCCCTGCAAAACCCTTGAAAATCAAACGTCATAATAATACTTCGTAATACAACCCATGTCTCTGAAATGCCCCTCCTCCGATAGCGTATACTTCGTAGTGCGGCTGGCCGGCAAACCAGGCAAGTCTTCTGGTCAGCCTAGCAAGCCTGGCAAGCCTAGCCCAGCCTAGGGGCCAACTAAATCGCAGTTCCATGCTGCTCCATCGACACCGCAGCCCCATCCTCCACCGTGCACTCGCACCTAAATCGCTCCTTAAATTCCTCCAGCTTAATCTCATCCAAGTAGCCCAACGCCACCTTGGCCGCGTCCTTCTTGGCAAATCTGCCGCTCTCACCCCTGCCAGCGGCGAACACCACGCCATGGATGAGCACGCCGGCAACCACATCCGTATCCGTGAGACATCCCACTCCGGCCTCCTCCGCCTCGGGGGCGTCCTCCTTGACGAGTACGCGCCACTCCTTGCACCCGAACTCCTGTGCGAGTCGGTGCGCCATGATCGTCACGGGGTGGCTGTAGGCGAACGAGTCGTAGAGAGACATGTCTTCAAAGTAGGGGCGGATGTGTCGCTCGAAAAACTGCCGGACCCGCGTGTAGTCAAAACCGGAATCCACAAACATGGCGCCCACGTAGGCTTCGACGATGTCGGGGAGGCACTTGGGGGCCGACGGGACGTTAACCCAGAAGCTGCGCTTGTACTTGTCCTTCTTGCCTCCCCGCTCGGACCGCGCCGTCTCTATCGCCTCTTGGCGCGCGAGCTCGATGTCCTCGGCGTACGTCTTGACGCTCTGCATAAGGGCCGCGTGGATCGAGAGCATGTGGCGGTGCAGGCCCAGCTCGACGCAGAGGCACCCGAGGAACTGGTTGGATACCATGGCCGTCTTGTGCTCCGTGAGCCACTGCGGGTCGGCGTCCGGGAACTTCTTGAAGAGGAAATCCACACAGACCATATCGAGGATCGCGTCTCCTAGAAACTCCAGCCGCTGGTAGTTGGGAATCTTCTCGTAAGGGTACGATGGGTGCTTGAACGCGCTCCGGAGGAGAGCTGGATACTTGAATTCGTAGCCGAGATTTCGCTGAACGAGCTTGGCTACTTCCACCTGCGAAGCTGACGGCTCTATCGCCTGCCAGTCTGGAACCTTGTAATCCGAAAAGTAATCACTCCAGGACTGCATCTGGTGCTTCTTGCTCTTGACCACGGCCGTGACTGCCTTGACGGCCATGTCAAAGTCTGGCATCTTGCTCGAGTCCTTGTCGACCTCCTCGTTTGAGTAGGATAAGTACGCAGCGCCGATGAACGCCTCGCACACGTCTGCAAGGCTCTTGTCGGCCAACGAGTGGCCAGCCTCTTCCTGAGGTGCCTTTCCCTTCGCAAGCCGCAAACCGGCGGGATACCACGTTCGACGGTTGAACGACTTGGACCGAACATACTCCTGGAGACCCATATCCACCGCGGTGTTAAACAGGTTCTGGTTGCAAAGCAACAGCATACGCTCGACATGGTAATCAAATTCGTCCTTGTCTGGACGCTGCGTAAACATGACGATTGTCGTGGCCATCTTGAGGAAGGCGTCACCGAGGAACTCCGCTCGTTCATAGTTTCTACCCATTCCTCCCTGGAAGTTGACTTGGTGTTCACCATGCTCATTGGTATTATCGCTATCCTTTGTAACCGCCTCAAGAGCCAAGTCAGATCGAATCTTAAGCCCAAGCTTGTCGGCTGCCTCCAGAGCGATGAGAACCGAGTCGATCCGGTGAATAATAGCGGGGAACGTAAAGGCCATGGCCACAGCCTGGACAGGGAGCTGTGGGAAAACGAGATGTTAGTGACATTATAGAGGAGACACGCCTCTAGAATATTTACATACCGCAGAGACGTGAAGCGGCTCCATGATCACGAAACAAGTCTTCGGCTCATTGTCGTCATCTTCAAAGTTGTCAAGTAGATTACGTCGGAGCGAGACAAGTTCGGCCTCGACAACGGGCTGGTCCTCTTTCCAGGTTCTCTGCGCCCTCGTGCGCGACCAGATGCTGATACTGTACTCCTTGATGTTATGCTCCACCGTTTTCCATCCCCTGAATGCCGGAGGGGGCACTCCCTCGGGGACAGGATCCAGAGGCTTAAGGTCCTCGCGGACACCGATCGAGTAGAGCTTTCGTGATCCGCTGTATGGGTCTGTAACGTACCTGTCCCGGTAAAACTCAACCGGGTCGTCGCCTTCACTGATCTCAAGTCTCTCATTAGATTTGACCACATCGATTGCTGCCCAGTCGATGGCTTCTTTGGGGTTGTGGACCTCGGCGAACTCATGTGCGTGGGGCTTAGAACACGGAGCGAGGAAATACGGCAACTCCGCGGCGGTTGCGTCGAAACTCTTGCTGAACACATCATCAAAAATCCGAAGCGTGAACGTCCTGAGACCTTCCAATCGCTCTTCGTCCTCGGCTCCGGCAATCGTCATAGGCTCATCAAGCTGCACCGGCTTGACAACAGAATTCTTTCCCGCCCCGAAGAAAAGCGGGACATCAGGAAGGGCAGGCAGTTTCATCCTAGAGAGGAGAACTAATGGACAACTCGCCCGACCGATTGCCCCCGGATTCTCCAAGACCAGCGCGAGGCCGTAAAGACGCCCGGGCTGTCCCAGGTCTGTGGACCAGAGACTCGGCTTGAGCAACATCTTGTATTGCTGGCGCTTGTTCTCACTCAGCTTGAGTCGAGCGTTTCTCATGGCGGGCAGCCTCTTCTTCATGGTCGGCTGCAGATGAGTATTGATGAATTGCTTCTTTATCAGCTCGAGGCACATGGTGAAGGCCGCTGAGCACTTGGCCGCCTGCTTACTCTTGTGCTCTTCACCCAGGATCGACCGTATAGGAAACTGCTCCGGAAGGTTCACTTGCGCCACCCACATTTTACCCACCTTCGTGATGGCGTACTGGGGTACAATGGGAGGACCGCTTGGTTCCTGGAAGCTGGCGGTAAAGGCATCAAGGACGTTGAGACTCTGGCTCAGGGTGAGCGTGGCCCCCGTCTCTTTGATGATGTATGTCTTGAAGCCCAAATCTCCTTGCCAGTCGATGAAGCGGCTCTGGTTCGAATCGAGGCGACGATTCTCGGGAAGCTTCGAACAGAATTTACGAAGGATAGTGGTGTCGTGAGAAGCCTGAGCTAGTCTCGTAGCCTGGGTGTGGTTTCCTTCCTCGACCATGTTGATGTAGACTGACTGGTGATGCCGAGCCCGACCCTTGGATTGAATGTATTGGATCATTGATTGGCACACATCGAAACGAATGATGATGTCGCAGTCGGGAATATCAATTCCCTCCTCAGCAATGGAGCTTGCAAACAGGCAGTTAATTTCACTCTTTCTAAACCTGTGAATCGCTAGCACGGCGTCTCGGTAGCTCATACCGGCCAGACCCATGTCATTGCTGTGTCCGATCTGTCCAACCCACTTGTCAGTATTTAGACAATGATAGGGCAATTTCGTCTTCCGGGGTCAACCGGTGCTTCTTCTGCCCCTTCCGAGACCACTTACCAAATATCCAGGTTTCAGATAGGGGAACTGGTTGCTCAATTGCTGGCAAATCTCCACCAGCATCACCGCCGTTCGCCGTCTCTCGACAAATATAATGCACTTATGGTCGCTCGGACGCGTAAAGTACTCCTCCAGCTTCCTAAGCAGAAGCAGCGTCTTAGAAGAAAGGTCCCTGCTCACCCTCTCGAGAGACCTCAGTGAGTGCTCGCGCATGACTTCGCCGAGCTTGTGGATTGCGGAAACCGGGTCCATGCCGTCCGGGAGAAAAGGGATCTGGCCAAACGTCTGCTGGGCCACCGCCTCTGCCTTGGCGATGAGTTGCGGCATCTCGCCGTCCGCAAAGCACAGTTTCCAGAACCGATCTGTGCACCACGGGCCCAACTCGTAGGTGCATACCTTGGAGAATTCAACGTGCTTGGTGAACATGGGATTGTATTTGATAAGCGGCCCAATGCTCTTGACGAGGGAAGTGTCGAAGCGTTTCTCTAGCTTCTTGAACTCGAGCACGACGTCGTCGTGGACTCTGATTCCCATCTCGTCATTCAATTTGCCCGTGGATACGGTGGCAATCTGGCTGCACAGGAGCGCCTCAAGCTGCTCCGCGGCGGCCTGGATGTCGGCTTTGCCGTCCACAGGAGAGGCAGTCATCCCCAGAATTCGAGGTCGGTCTTGGATATCTTTCTCCTTTAGGTAATAGTCCTTGATGATTCGGGCGTAGGGGTGGTTTTTCTTGGCATGATGGGCCTCATCAATGATGAGGAGGTTGATCTGCTTCATTTTGATGAAGGAATGTGACAAGGCTTTTTGGAGAATCGCCGCCGTGCAGACAATAACCTTGTTTTCATCAAATGCCTTCCTCCAGAAGTCCAGGTTCCAGTTGCTGTCTAGTTCCTTTCCGAAGAATCTGGCAACTGCATAGGGGAGGTTTGCAACTAACGCAGACCACTGCTGGTCCACGAGGGCGACCTTGTCAACCTACAGACAATTCGGTTAGTCTATTAACACTTTTTTTCTGCTTTACGTGTAGCAGCAACAGAGAGGACTGGGCCACATACAAGGAAGAAGGATATCTTGGGGTCATATCCGGCGGCCCGACGCTCTAGTTCATGCTCAATGGCATGTCGAAGGAGAAGAATGGCAATAAGGGTTTTGCCGGAACCTGAGCGATATCAGCGGTTAGCATAGAGTAATTAGGTTAAACGGGATAGATGATGAGGTGAAGTCATTACCAGTATCAAGGACGATGATTGTGTTCTTCTCCTTGGCCCTCTCAAACAACTCAATCTGATACTCGCGAGGCGAATCCACAATTCGCCGACTCTGACTCTGCCTCACGAGCGAGGCCGTAGTCATCTTGCTTTTCACTCTTCCAACTCTTTCACGTACTTCAATGCGCTGCTTCTTAAAAGCCTGGCTCTTCTCCTTAGTCCTAAGCCACGCCTCGAAAATCGCAGCATCAGTCCGCTTCCTCTCCGAGACGCGTTTCGGCACGGCGGGCGCCGACACGAGCCGATACTTCTCCCCATTGTCTTCAATGTCGGCGACATCCCTGTCTTTATCCACCACCGCATTCATGGAATCCAGAGCTTCGATATCTGGCGAGGGGGGAAAGTCGAGATACTCCGTCTTGCTTTCACTAGCAGGAGCAAAGACATCGTCCGACTGAACGATCATGGCCTCGCGACTTCCCATCTTGGAAAAGAGGTGATCGGAGTGTGGTTCGGGACGGTTCGAGAGCAGGTAACGTGGATATTCCATAGACGAGGCCAAGCCAGTAAAAAGGTTCTCTCCTACCGCGCCATCATCAGAAGCTTGAGTCTGGCTTTCTCGAGGACGCCCGCCAAAGTCACAATTAACGGCAGGAGGCAGGCCGACGCAGTCCTCGTCCTGTCTAACAGGGGAGAACTGGATTAGGTCCTCTCCGTCCCAATCCATGGTGACCCAAAGAGCTTCGTGGTATGAAACAATCTAGACCAAATAGGTTCGGAAGTAGATGTAGATGAAAGCAGGAAAGATGAAGGTCCTGAGACATGATAGGTTAGAAAGGGATTGCAGATTCAGGAGATGTAGAAGAAACAAACTGGAGATTGAGGCGAGAAGGCTGGGTTCGTTGATAGATTGTAAATTGTTCTCTCGATTTTGACCAGGGCAAATGCAGGAAGGTGAAGTAGGGGAGCCGCCGGAGAAGAGTCAGAAGGAGCAAATGAGAAAGAGAAGCCAGGAGAGAGCTAATGCGGCACACCATAGCTGGCTGTCCAAGTAATGGGGGTTGTTATGTATAGATGAAGAAAGGGAAAGCAAAGTGAATATATATAAGAAGCAAAGAGTAGCAAACACAGGTCAGTCGTGGAAGTCGCCAAGTCAACCTCAACCTGTAGACAACCTGAACCTGTAGATGGAAAGAAAAGGAGATTTCAAGAGAGAAAATTAATCGCACAAAGACAAACAAACTCTCAAAATTAAAATCTGGAATTCACATGTTCACATACCTTGGAAATGTATTAGGAAGAAACCTACTGGAGAAGGCACACCCTGAGGGATTCACATCACCAACATTGGCATCAAGTGACAAACTCAGTTTGAACCCTCAAACAAAGGGGAAAACCACAAGGCCACATCACCATTCACACTCCTGGAAACAGAACCGTATGCACTCTTCTTCATTACATAGATACAAAGGGATTGTTTGAGTAGGGTGATGTCTTCTGTTTGAGTCTCAGGGACGCAAACAGCCGTCCCGTTGATGCGCACTCAAGTCCAAGTTGACATTACGAATCAATACTTCTCTACACTCTACACAGCTAAGCTACACATTTATCACTGGATGCCAAAGACCGCGACATTATTGTAAACTTTTCATTTCCCTAACGACCAGTAAAACTCCTCTCGGGGGGTATCTTTAGTAAACTGAGTAACAGAACAAGAGGGTATAGGACAAGCAGAAATGGAAACCTATTTCAAGAACCTCAGACCCCAACACCTCCTCTCCTGTAGCCTCAAAAAACGCCACGCTATGCCTCGAAATGCATATCCACCACCCCTTCCTTCCTTGGGAGTACGAAGACAACAGAAAAAGGAAAGAAAAAAAAAAAAGAAAATAAAAGCTCATGATGCTCATGATGCTGATGATGCTCGTCGGTGCTCCTCGTTGCTCGGTAGGCACAGGAAAAAGACGTAATCAATCCCAATCCTCATAAAAGATAGAAAGGTCCTTCAAGTCCGGATCATTGGAGAAATCCATATGCTCGGTGACTGCGGTGCATCCTCCCCAGGCCATATTCTTGCCCTTGATGGTCTTCTCGGGAATCTGGTGAGCATTCTCCTCGGTCGGGTCCAACTTGGGCTGCACGGGCTGGAGTCGGTCCTCCTCAGTTGCCATGCTAGAGGGCATGGGGTCCAACTGCTCGGCACTGAACGGGGCCTGATTGCCCTGAAGGTTCGCTCGCATGTTGATCATGACCTCTGCGGAGTCCACGCCCTGTGCCTGGGGCTTCTTTCGAAGCTTGGGGACCGGAAGGGCAGGGGCGGGGGTCGTGCTCTCAGTGGTCGTGACTTGACCGCTGGTACCCAGGACACCTTGGTCCTGAGCAGAAGCTTGGCCACTAGGAGCAGCGCCAGCAACCTCGGAAGGACCCTCAATGTCCATAACCATGAGAAACGGGTCCCACTCAGGAAGTTCCTGAGCAGGAAACATCTCCCAAGGCCGGGACATCGTGGCCTCCGTCAGCGCCTGCTCCCGCATGATGGCAGCATACTCGTCCTCGAAGAAGCTGCTGTACGGCTGCGTGCCGGCCGCCGGGTTCCCCTCGTCGAAGAACAAAGGGCCCTCCGGGTCGAGCGTCATGGCAGGATCAAACCTGATGACGGACTCGGAACCCGGAGGAGCCCTGAACCTGCCAGGGAGGTCCGTCGGGACAAACATGTTGTCCAAAGTGGGAGGACGAGCCGGAGCTCGATCCGCCACACGGACAGCAGCGCCCTGCGCCCCACTGGCGGCGTGTTGGAAGGTGAGCGGGCCAATGTCCGGGTTGTCCTGGTGGATGGTTACGGCCGTGGCGGGGCGCGGGGCAATGGCTCGAGGGATAGGGGGCGCAGTTCCTTGCCGGCTAGAGCTCGCGGTGGCATTCTTCCTTTGCTTCCTGCTCTTCTTCGGGGCTTGATTATCCTGAGCAGTCGATCGTCGGGTTCTAGGCAGGATGCTGGCCTGTCCCTGGTTGGCAACTTTGCCAAGAGGATGCTGCTGCGTGGGAGTCTGTGCGATCGGGCCACTAGGCATAGAGGTGATAGGCATGCCAGGATTGAGGTTGGGAATATCGAAGTGGGCAGAAGCATACTGTCCTCCTGTAGTAGTGGCACCTTGGCCAATGGCAGATGTCATGTTACGCGGGTCATAGCCAGCAGGCATAACGGCACCCTGAGCGGCGGGAATCATAGGCTGAGGACTAAAGTGCTGGGAACTGCCGGGGACAGTAATGGCCGGGGTAAGCGGATGATGAGTTCCTCCAGAGGCGTGCATGCGAGCAGCAATGGCAGGTGGAAGCGCCGGGGGCGGGGCGTCTAGAAGCATCTGAAAACGAACATCTACAACCGCAGAAGTATCTCAATTAGTATTTCGTTTGATTTTTTCATGCTGGAAAGGGACAAGAAAGAGAGAGAGAGAGATAAATTATAACGAAAGGTAATGGGGAAGAAAACATACCTTCGGGCAAGCCGCCATCACCGAATTTCTCACGAACCGCTTCAGCACCAATCTCAGTCTGAATAGCATGCTCAAGCGACCACCGCTGCTCCTTCTCGTCATGAACGTCGAGTCGAGTACGAAGGGTAGGTTGAGGAGGGCCAAATTGGATGAAGCTTTCCTTTGTAAAACATCCTTCCTCCCAGGCTTGGGGATTAGGACCAAGGTTGCATCCAGATAGAGTCGAGGCACGCTTGCTTAGGAACTTGTAACCCTCTGTCTGGGGCTCCTGCTGGAATTGTTCAAAATCGGGATACCAGACTGGACCATTCTCGACATCGCCCGAGATATCAACGGTCTGGGCAGCGACATTGGGGACATTGGGGACATTGCCAGCAGCTTCTGCGGCCTCAGCAGCAGCGACAACAGCGGCATCAGTGTTACCAGAAGCTCGAGGGGCGGTACTGATCTTCTTGGAGGCATTGCTGGCTACCTTAGTACGAACGGGGTTCTTTCCTTTCTTGGTCTTCGCCTGGGAATCGGTGAGGTTAGCATTGGGTTCGTTCTCGCTGGCGGCACTCGAGTAAGTTTTCCAAAGGACGACGGCAGGGAGGACCGGAGAAAGAGAAGAAAGATCGAGCTCCTGTTCCTCAATCTCGTCCTTATTTGGAGCCATGTTTGATAGACTCGAAGATTGAGAATCAAGAACTGGATGAGAAGATGGCACTTTGAGACTTGAAATGATGGTCAGCTCTGTGCTTCCTGAAAGAGGTGTGTGTGTGAGAAGAAAAAGAAAAACTATTGTGGGAGAGGTGGGAAACAGGGAAGGGGTTTTTATCTGGTGCCTACCCTTGGTTTGTTCTCAAAGAAGAATCTCGCGATGCCTCCTCTAGTGGTCCTCCCTTGTCGTCATCTGGAACCTGGCTCAGCGAGAAAAAGGATGTTTGGGGATACTTACAATTCGAGAGGATGGTTTAGCGCAAACTGGGCTAGGAACTTCCTCATCTGAGAGCTGAACAGTAATGCTGTCACGACAAGGTGTGGTACTCTCTTGAGGCTGAGCTGTGATAGCGTCGTGGATTGGGGTAGCAGCCCTTGGGGCGTCTTCTGAGACTTCAATGGAATTATAGATGATCTCAGGAGAGTTACCACAGTTCTCAATCCTGGGATTGGGGTTGTTAACATTCCTAGAGCCTCGAGGTCTGCCTCTAGGCCTGCCTCTGCCCCCAGCGCGGGAAAGAAGACCTCTGCATCGTGGAGGCATGATGGGTGATTGAAAGTTGCCAAAAGTGTCGATAGACAAAAGGCAGATGAGAGTTGGATGTAAGGAAAAGGGAAAGAAGGAGATTAGGAAAGTTGACGATGTCGACAAAAGGGAGATGAAGGTTGGAGGGGAAGGAAAAGGAAAAAAGACGAGAAGGGAGGATGATGATGATGTTGACAAAAGGTAGAATCGAGACTGGGTTTGATGATCATTTCGGCGGACATTTATGTGCTCCAGGTCTAGATGAGAAGGGAAGGATCGACCTGGGTAGGCTCGATCTAGAGATGAAGATGAAGTGGAGGATCTCTTTGAGAGGCATCACAACCTCTGCTCCCAAAGGGAAGGAAAGGCTGGTCATCTTGGAGGAATTGTGAACTGGGACAAAGTGAGGAAGGGGCGGGAACTTCGGATTCAGGTCTGCCTTCCTGCTAGATGAGATGGCCTTTGTCGACCTGGACTCGCCTTGTGCTGGATGGTGGGTGTTGTTTCGAAACGGCGGGCGAGAAAGAGGTGAAATCGACGTCTCGATGGGCTGAACTCCCTTGGATGGGAGACGCGGCATCTTTTCTACGTCCGCATATCTACTTGCACATAAAACTCATCAATACTATAATAGCCCGGCAGCATGACTGCAGACAGAGGTCCTACCAGATGTTCTAAGGCAAGGGTTATATTCGTTGCTATCACTTCCCCTTTGCATCAACAATGATCTATGCACACATCCTTCCAAGTAACAAAAACCTCAGGGTATCTACCCGTCAACGCCATGGCCCTATCATACAGAATACTAAACCGAATACAACAGTAGGGAAACAAAAAAGAAAGCGAATCGCTGAAACATGTAGACATCAAGGGAGTGCCCGTCTTCGGTCTGTCATATCGTCATATGCGCTTCCATCGGGTAAGTGAAGGCGAAACAGAAGAGGCAAAAAGACAAAAGGAGGAAACAATAAAACAAGGGAGAGGAAACAGCTGCACTCGCACACTGTATCGTTTCATCATACCCCTTACAAGAGAGTGAGCAATGCTCTCCTCACTGCGATGGATTAACGTCCACGAAAGGAGCAAAATCACTCCGGCCCAAATACCGATCCGAATCCATATTCCCACCGTCCGAAACATCGTCCATATCCATATCATCATCATCCCTCGTATCTTCGATCCTCCTCTTCTTGCCATTACCTTGTGGCGGCACTGCAAGCTGCTCGACGCCTCCACTGACACTACCTTCACCAGGCACAGGAGTCTTCGCGCGGTGGACGTCCCGCCTGGCGCTCAGAATCGCCTCCCACGCACACAAGCTCCTCTTCGCCTCCTCATCGAAATTCGAACAAAACCTCTGCGCCGTGATGAAGTTAACAGCATCGACCATGCCCACGCCAAACACCGACATGATATACGCCGCCGCCACGACGGTAGCGCGATCATTCCCCGTCTGACACGTAATCAGCACCTTTCCCCTCTTCGCATCATTGTCAATAGCCATGGTCCCCGCGGCATTTCCAGCGCCAGCGGCCTGCTGACGATACACGGACAACAAGTTCTGATTAATGGCCCTCGTGATATTGTTAAACGAAGCCGTAAGATGATGCGTCGCCGCCACAGGAATCAAAAGCGTCTCAATATCCAGCCCCGCGGTGAACTTATCAGCAAAGCCCTTCAAAAGATGCCCGAAACCATTGTCGTGCACGAGCACGATCATGGTAATGCCTGTGTCGCGCAGCCACGTGGTGTCCTTGACGACGGTGCGCGGGCCCAGGTACAGGTAATCGAGAATGCGCTGAGCCTGGTGGCGCATCTCGTAGGTCCACATCGCCGAGCGGTCGTCGGCGATCTGCGCGTCGTTGTTGGTGATGATGTGCAGGTCTTCCTCGGTCAGCGTGCCCGGGTCGAGGCCGTCGAAGGTGGGCACGATGCGGAGGGGTTGCTGGTTCGTGTCCATGGGGTTGACTCTCATGATGGGGATGAAGGGAGGGCTGGGGGCGCGGCGCGAGTAGGGCGCGTTGGGTTTGGAGGTGGAGGAGACTGATGTGACGTCCATGGTGGGCGATTTTATTTTAATATTCTTCCTTGGATCTTGCGCTGGGAGATCTCGCGGATGGGAAGGATACTCTTGGTAGTTATTTCTACGCGGGGTGTGATGAAGGAAGGGTTATTCATTCAGTCAGGAGATCCTTTGGTCTTTTCGTCCCTTGCCTAGCTGACGGGGACGATCGAGGTGAATTGAGAATGGAGATGAGGGAAGAGAGAAAAAGAATAAAAAGGGGATGAGTGCTAGAGAGAGATAGAATGATGAGGTGGATAATGTTTCTGGATTGAGGAATGGAATGGCTCAAATCGGAAGCCAATTGTGCGCGTCGATTGATTCCAGGCTGCCAGGGGACCAATCTTGGAGCTGTTGCCTTGCGACGACCAAGGGTCAAATCGAACCAATTCGAGAGTTCATTGTTCAGTGTGGACTCTGGAGGCTGGTGGACAGCAAAGAATGGACTTGGTGGGGTTGAGCTGGCGAGAGCTGGGGCGAGCTGGAACAGGCAAACACGGCGAGACTCGGGAGTGTGGAGCGCAGAGTTTGACTCGAGAGAAACAATGAACGCATTCGGACGTGGGATAATTGATCTGTGCTGTGCTGTTGGATGGTCCAGGCTGGGCGGCCTGCCTGGATGTTCGAGGTCAATTGAGAATTGGAGAGGAATTTAGGCTGTGGCGGGGTGGCGGTGCAGGATAAACTTGAGCACAATTCACTGTTCTTTGTTGGATGAAGCAAAACGGAACATTGATGTCAGAGTTCTGAGGCATCAATTCAATCAGAGGAGGAGATCGACAAAGTCCAGTGCTGGTTCCCGAAGAGACCAGATCCGATTCCGGGGAGCACGGACATCAGATCGTGCGAGTTAGCTCGCGTTGTACAATTCAAGGCGTCATGCACCGAGTCCTTGATTCATCAATTCATCAACCAAATCTTCAACGAAATTCATCTCGAGGGAAATACGCATTACAATTATAAGACTATGCAGCGCAGCGCAGTGCAGATATATCCAAAGTATGAGTAATGCCCAAGTAAACCCCTATGGTCCATGAAATGCAAACAAAAAGAAATGGGCCAGAGTCAACAGGTCAACCAGCTGATGATCCAACATGCCAACATGCCTCGATGTGCTCCTTCCGAAAGAAAAACCAAATAAAAAACGCCGAAGTGAACAAAGACATTCTCTGCGCCATCCAATGTTTCCCCCCAGCAACCATCGGGACGAGCTTATCCTCGAATCCAATCGAGTTCGAGTCCTAACGATAAGACCAGACGCCACTCGACAGCTCCAACCCTCCTCTATCCACCTGAGCATCTGATGTTTCGAGATTCCACAAAAAAAGTAAAGTTCAGGGCTGAAACTAGGGAGGATGGAAGGCAACAGCCCCGTCCAGAACTCTAGAGCCACACAAAACACCGTGTGGGGGAAGTACCATTGAACCTGAACTGGCCGTGCCAGATCCCTCCTCTAGAATCATCATCCACGGTTGGAATTGTTTGCCTAGCTCGAGATTGGGCAAACAAATCTTCGTAGATGCCACCAGACGCTCTGAAATCCGCCGCTTTGTTCAAGAAAAAGATGCTCCATCTTCGCCGGTTTCAGAATGTAAAAGGAAAAAGAAAAAAAAGATTCGTTTCTTCGGGGGTATCAGTGTGAACGACAAATCTCCAGTCATTCTTTTCGCCTGTTTGAACCCAGCAAATAGCTTCGAAAAGCAACAACAAATATGCAAATCCATGCACAACGACGCCAAAAACCAACCGATATCGAAAAGAAATTTCGCCGAGGAATGCAAATAGGAATGAGAGAGATAAAAAGGCAGATTCGGCCATGCTCCGCAAGCATGTCTCTCTTCCGAGACATTGACCACCCACTCGAGATTCTTCGAGTGGTCTCGGGGCGGTATACCAAAAAACACATCGTAAACCGAGCAAGCAAATTATGACCGAGGTGTTTCAGCTGGCGTCAGATTGAGACCCAACCCCACTACCGCCCTCCCACGCCTGCCGTCATACAGGCCCTCACGCTCCTCCTCCTCTTCATCCCCCGCGTCATCTTCACCCGAGTCGTCAGCCGGACTCAGATACGCACTCGCCTCGGGCCGAAAATCCTTCTCCTCGCGATAGAACCCCCCCTGCCTGACAGCAAGCTGCATATCCACCATGGCATCCGTAAGCAAATCGTCCTCGCAAAGCGGCAGGATGCGATAGTTCAGATTCTCCATAATACACCTCTCCGTAACATTAAGCTGCCGACACGACCAGATGTCCCCGCCCCACGCAGAGCAGTAATACCTCGTCGACGAGTGCGGGTCGTCGAGGAACTTAACGGCGATGGTGAGGGCGGCGAGGATGATGAGTTCGGGGTAGACGGAGTCGATGTGGAGTTGCTGCTCGCGCGGGCTGCTCGGGAGGGTGTGCCGCTTGTTCGAAGAGGAGGAGGGGAAGGTGGGAACGGAGGTTAGGGGGCACGAGAGCCGCCAGGAGAGGGCGAAGCGGTTGTCGAGGGCGTCGAGGACGCAGACGGCGAGGGCGATGGATTCGAGGGGGAGGTTGGCGCGGCTGAGGATTGCTTGGACGAGGGGGACGGAGGGTGTTGCGAGAGAGGCGGCGGCTGGGATGAGGTTGACGAGGTGGATGGCAGGCCCTGCTCACGTGTCGTCGGGTTAGTCGACAGAATATTCGTAAAACCTTGGGTATTCGGGAATTGGAGGTAATATAGGAAATAAAACAAAAAACCAAATGGTAAAACTCACCTAGATATCTGGGCTTTAACCGCTCTCCGTCTTCCAACGGATTCTTGGGACTCTGCGCTGCCGAGGACCTCAACGATGGTGGCGGTGTGGGAAGATTGGAAAGAGGTCGATAGGTCATGTACCCATCGTACTCGTCGTCCGACGACGAGAACTTCACCCTCTTACTCCTTTGTCGCTGCATCGTCGAGGAATAAAAGATTTCAGAAAAAAGAGGAAAAGTATTTTACTACTATTCAGTGGCAATGGCTGGAATTTTAAAAGCGGGATCCCCCTCTTTTTCTTGTCTTCGGATTGCTCGTAGGTTTTGTTTCTTTTGGGTGGATGTTTTACGTCCCCTTATTCTCGCGTGCGCTCCTTTTCCAAAGCTTGTTTCAGTCCAGAAAACGGGAGGAACGGGAGAAGACCATGGCTTTCTTTCTTTTTCGTCTTTTTTGTTTAGAACCCAGGGTCGGAGCCGTAGAATTCGGGCACTAGGCGACCGAGAGGGGAGGATAGGGGAGAAGAGGAGAGGACAGAGGTAATCATAGATGGATATTCGGGAGAAGGACTATTGCAACAAGTAGCAAAACCTGTGAGGAGCGGGAAGAGGTGGGGAGATGTGATTTCGTCAAGGAAGTGGAATAGACGGTGAGAGAGTGGAGAGGAGACGTGTGTATGAATGGGGAGGGAAGGAGTCGGAGATTGGGGTATATATTGAATATATACAAAAAGATTCTGTGGCAGTAGATGCAAGTCTAGGAGTCCAAGTACAGTTCTTCTCGGAGACAAAGCTTCGTCTTGGAGAAAGAAGAGGAGAAAGACACGAGTTCAAGCTTATGAAGGAGGAAATCTGCAGGGTATCAAGTGTTTTAGTAGTCGGAAGAGCGGCTGCGGAGAGGATGAATGGGATGGAGGGAACGAAAGAAACAAGGGGGGGTTCTAGGAGTACGTACACGACCAGGGTGTGGACAGGACTCCGCAGGATGGAGCCAAGCAGCCAAGCATGGACAGGACAAGAACAGGGTGGGGAAGGGGGGAGAACAGAAAAAGGGGACGAAATAAGGCTGAGTACCAATTTCCAGAATCGGCCCCGGGTGTGGCGAGCCAGCTGAGGAGACTGGTAAGCACCAAGAGAAGAGGGAGGGTGTGTGTTGTGGTGTGAATGTGCTGGCTAGTTGTGTCCTGGCCTCCGCCTGGTGAAGTCGGCCGCGCCCCGCCCGTGGTAAGATGCAAGAACTGGAAGACGGCTGCAGGAATCAAAACTTCTCGGTTGTGCCTTTCAAGATTTGGGAAGATGGGACATGCAGCGTACATTCAAGTATTACGAAGAACTATGAACAAATTGCGAGATGCGTCGAGAACAACGCATCGCGATTCAGAATGGCGGTGGCTGACTTAGACAGGACAGGCCAGGCTGGTGGGCAGGGATAGTACCGATATTGGGCTGCAAGAGGTTCGAGTTAGAGTCTAGTGAGGGCGTATTCAATGTCATTCCCACTTCATACACCCACAGCTTTCGTCACGTTGTGTCTTTCGATGCACATCAATCTCAAAAGTATCAACCTAAACTTCAAGCGTTGCAAAACAATAATGTCGGGATGTTTTAACCCTCCTTCTGAAGCAACCCCCCCCCCCCCAAAATTTGCCCTGATTTTCTTGTCATCGTCGAGTATTGGCACTATACGAACGTGCATTAATTAATACAATATTTATTACTAGATTTACAACGAGCGTCGATCTTTTCCCCCCTTCTCGATGATTGCGTACTTCAAAGTTGTATTCTGAGTTTCTGAGAGCGTATGAGAGAGACTCCACCATCCATCGGATTTGACATTGACAAGTCTGGCCTTAAAGGATCAATTGACGTGTACGAAGTACCGTACCTACATGACTGGTGTCGTATTCGACACCAACAGCCGAATGTGGCGCTTCACCTTCATTCCAACTGCTCCTCAGGTCGGCGTCCTGATTCTGCTGACCTCAGCGAGGGCTGATTCCGCAATCTCCGGTGACTGTGGCTTGGACAAGTTCCCTTGAGGCCTCTCCTCTAAGGATGGGTTGGACAACATCAATCTAGAAGCAATCTGGTGTACTCTTGCTCCCTCCCCTTCTTGCGCGAAGCACAAAGAAAAAAGCCGCGCAGCAAACGCTCAGACTCGTTAGTTCCAGCCTAGCCCTTCGAGCTTCGATTCACCGAAGCTTCCACGGCGGACGAAAGTCCCTGCGCTTGATCTCGTCAATTTTCATGACCACGTTCCCTCCAAAACGCCGGATTGGGTTCGGATTCGAGCTGAAAAAAAGTTTCCACCACAGCATAGCTGTGGGTATTATTGCTGTACTTCGTGCATACGCTAATACTTTCCCACCACGGGCGGAGGTGAGGCACCTCGGGCAGAGGAGGAGGCTGCCGCACGGGCGACCACTAAAACGGACCCTTGACCGCCGGGCACAGGGGTCCCCAATAGTAGCGTAGCGTAGATCTCCTTCGTCTCCTCCTTCAGACAGCATTTTTCAATACCGTATGTTGGCAATGCATCAAGCCCGGTGCAACCAGAGCCTATTGACTGCCACTCTGCTCTCTCTCGTCATCGGGGACTGAGCATAAACGATAATCTCCATCCGGCGAGGCAGCAAACTTCCAATAGTCCTCGCTGCTGTGTCCACAGAAAGGGGAACTCGGCATTTACTTGCTGGCGAGTACGACTTCGTATACCTGTGCGAGACCCGCAGTCGTTCCCTGTGGAGAATTCTCAAGAGGCCAGGCTAACCCAATAGATCAGATTTTTAGATGTGACTGAAGCCTATTTGGTGCTCCCACAGTGTTATTGGAACCACCAGAGTAACGGTGGCTTTCCCAATTCGAAACTCTTTGCCAGGGCCTAGTACCGGCGGTGAGCACGCACTGAGCAAGACCTTGCTAATAATAGCCCCATTCATCTTCGTTTCTTTCTCGGGGGAAAGCTCTTACGATCCCTGCCCACAGGCCTGGGGAAGCAGACAGAGCTCGGAGACCGAAAACGCCTGGCCTGGGCTTCTGCTGTGCAGCGTCCAACATCAGAGGCTCCCGTCATAAGGTGTTAGATCCCGAGCTGCAGAGGCCGAGTACGCATAGGAATATTTAAACCCGATAGACATCGCATGACAGGTCTGGAGTTTGGCAAAACAGGTAATTTTGTTTTCGTTGGGATGTTTCCTGGCCCAATTGATATTGTTTCCGCATCACAACTCGGCATTCTCTTCTTGGTGGAAGAGCGGCACTCGCCGAACATTGCATTGGATCTGGCCACTTAATCATCATGCGATGACAATGAGGCTTCATAGATAGAGAAAACCTAGGTAAGGTGTACTCTGTAGTAGCATCGCGCGCTGGAGGTCCGTCTACCCGTACGCTATAATAGGCCGAGAGGCTTTTAAATTGATGGCCGGCCATGGAATCAATGGGGAGCATTGAAGAAAATGGCTTAAGAGAATCCGGGCTGGAGCCCTTCTTGTTCAGGTCACGAGAAAAATCTGATTACGAGGTTTCGTTCTCCACATTGGGGATTCTCCACCGTTAAAAGGCGAGAAGAATTGAGCTGATCGCCTGCCCCGTGCTCAGGGGATGAGGGGATTTACAGCGGCCAGTCCCACCCTGATCTTGGCCGACTTTGAGGTATGTAAACTCCTCCTGGATTGCAACTAAACTATTCCAGGGGGTCACAACGTCAACTTTAAGGAGTGGAGTTCTATACGTCGTACACAGGTGTGGTGTAGTCATTGCTTCAAGCCCTCAACCATCGACAATTGATTCCCGAAGCACTCACCTCTAGTCTAGGTGTGCTTCGGACACTACAAAGTCCAATATTGGACGAAGCTGTAGACTTCCCGTTCGGAAGCTGCTCTGTGCATTAAATAAAGTCTCCACCCGCTATCGCGCTCGATACCATTTCCAAAGCGTCGACACACCACAATTGGTAAACGGCGACATACGTCCCCTTCTATTGGCTTTAATGTCCCGGTTGTCTAAATGGGGGTACAATTTGTACCGAGCAGCATGGAAAATGTGTGCCTCAGAAGACGTCATCCTCGAGCCCCACCACCAGGCTCAAACTCAATTCTGTCCGGTCCAGGAACCTCAGGATTGATCTCAGGTCACTGCGATTTCTTGACCAAGTCTTGGTCCCTCCGCTCTTAATCTCCACTCTATCCACTTTGCCAACCCATTGCAACAGCGCGATCAGTGCTCTTGCGTGTCCCCTGATACAAAAATTGTGTTGCCCACCTCGTATCCATTCATTCCGCTTTATGTCTCCGATCGTTTGCAGAAGGGGCGAATCCGAGATCTCGGATCCTTCGAGATTCCCGAGAAAAAAAAAGAAAGTTGGAATCTTGCTCAGTCACCAGGCTTCAATGGTGTCCGCCCCTCCAAGCTGGGCTGTCGGGCTTGATCAGATGCTTCTGCCGAGCAGTTGATTTTGTCAGCAGGACAGTCATGAGAGAGACATGCTGTGCTCCAGTCACACCCCTAAAACCTCTATGCCACAGTTGAGGTGATTGATTCGCCGAGAAAATAACGGACTTCAATCCCATGCAATTGGAAAGAGGCGTCCAAATTCCTACTTCTAGAAACGGGCAATGGCGCTCGGCTTAGCCAGATGTTAGTTCCCTAGCTACCTCGAACGAGGAAGCATCAAATTTCTCCGAGCCAGGTGTGCTCTTCAATATTTGCAGCCTTTTTGTCTAGAGGCTGGCGCTATCGCTTCCTTCCCACCGCCACGGCGCCACCGGAAGGACTTAGCCTTGGCCTGGCTCCAATACCCCTGGAGCTAAAGGAAGCTACAGATCCAGGCGCAATTCTGGCGCCTCCTCAAGATGCCGTCCAGTTCAACCCTTTGGTGCGGCAGTACTTTTGTAAGCTGAGCGTGCATGTGCTTGCACCGAGGCCAAAGAGTAGCCAGGGCAAAGTAATATTACCCTCGTTGCCCAGATTGGTATTCTCTTTTGTGGTCCTCGGATCTGGGCGGACGCTTCAGCTGCACGTGGGATGGAAGGAGGAAGCGCAGCGGCTGAGAAGAAAGAAAGAAAAAAATGTTACCCTCCCAAAGAAACGCGGCCGCGCTCTCCACTCTTATATCCTAAATAGGCTTCCTTCGCGTCTTGCGGCGGATCCTTTCATCGGCGTCAGCTCGGGTTCCAGCTGAAGCTAGGGCTGAAATTTTACAC